CGGTCGGTGCTCGCAACATGCGCAACCTTCAGGCTTTATGGCTTGCTGCTGAGAATCCTGGAGCGGATTCGAGAATCGCCCTCCGACCCCAAGCTACGCTCCATCAGCGCCAGTGCCAAAAGCCTGCGCGCAGACGTCCTCGAGGTTCCCTCTGGGCTTTTCAGTTCCAGGCTTGAAGTGGGAGTCAAGATGATCATCGGTGATCGCCGGCGATCAGCCCACCACGTATCTTGCGCATGTCGAGGAACGCTGGGATTGCTTTGCAGCAAACTGAGGAAATGCAGGCATGGTCTCCTGGGTATGAAATACAACAGTATACAACAGTACAACCTCCGCTATGCGACTGAGTGCTTCGTTCGTGTTCTCGCGGTTTATACTCTTGGGAAAGAAGACACGCTTGACAAGGTGGACGGAGGCCCAGAGCTGTTGCGATGGGCTGGCTTCCAGCACATTGGCGACCGCTGCCTGGCTTTTCTTTGGCTTTGGTGCTTGAACACCGAACCACTTGCAGACCAACCCAAGTTCCATCCCTAAGGCTTCCAGGCCGACTTGGAGGCCCTTGGGCCAGAGCTCGCTGCGTCGCGCCATGCAGAGCTCCAGGCACATGCGCTCCAGGCCCCTGGGAGTGCCGGCTCTCTGGCACATCATTGTGAACTCGTGAGGATGGTGAATCGCGATGAGTTCCGCCAGTTCGGCAATGTCTCTTTACTATTGACATTGGGTCTGGCGAGGCAGACGAAAATTAAAAACTTCGAACTGCTATTTAGTCCGGCTCGCACCAGCCTCAAGGATCAAGCTCAATTAGGAAAGCCTCTTGAACTCTTGAAGCTTCAGAAGCGTCAGTGGGAACGTCAGCTTCAGGTTGCTGAGAGGCTATAGTCCCTAGATTCCAAATCTCTCCCTCGTACTCTTCCTAGCCTTCCCCATCATGTTCCCATCATTTGCACAATTCGCAATATTTCACGATGCACAACTCCGAGTCCGTGGCCAACGCCAGGAGCGTGACGCAAACTTCCGCCGGGAGCGTGATGCCCGGATTGAGGCAGAACGTCAAAGGCTGTGAGCCCGCAAAGTTCTCTTGTGAAGCTCAAGTGGGTTTGTGTTTTCTTGGGGGGCTCAGGTTTAAGAAGGGCACACGGGTTGCACACCCACGAAACATACCCCGAAACATACCCCCGAAACATACCCCGTAACATACCCCCGAAATTGCAGGCAAAGTAGCTCATGATGCCGCGAAACATACCCGAAACATACCCCCGAAACATACCCCGAAACATACCTAGAAACATACCCGCGAAACATACCCCGACCCCAACACGTTTCGCGCGCCTCCCCATTAAAATACAAACCCAAGTCTCTTCAGCCACCAGCAGAGAGATCTAGGGAGAGCACATTGTTTTCGTATAGGATAGCTTTAAAGCTCGGTTTGTTCCGAAGTCCCCTCTCGGAAAGGCGTTTGCCCACTGGTGATACTGGGCCGCCCCTACGACGTTTTCCGGCAGCAACTCCCTTGCGTCTGTTCGAGAGCGCAGCACTGCAGATGAATTAAGGTTGCAGCGATATGCTAACAGGTGGAGGCGTTTCAGCATTCTCCATCTTTCTTGCTTCATAAGGCTGGGGAGGCCGTCTGCCCAGCTTTGGGAGAGGAGCCCGCGGCTTCGGCGACACCTATGGCCTGGAGTGCTCCAAGCCAGGGATGGGCAAAAACATGTCTATGAATGCCTTGCATACCAGATGTCCCTTCAGCTATCATAGTCACTCTGAGTCAGTCTGCTGTCCACGCATGACAGTGTGAGAGTCGAAAGGTATTTAAAGATGCTCTCGTGTAAATCTTGGAAACTTGTGACTTGTGCTCGAAAGACCCATCACGTTGTGCACGTTTGGCGCCGGTGCGGTCGTCGTCTTTGGGCTTCGGGTCGCTTCTGTCTGAAAGTGATGCAATATGACGAGGATGGCTTGTGCTGATGTTTTCGGATGGCGATCCCCAAGAAAGTTGTCATGATGCGCCATCACCATGTCTGGTCAACTGTCGCGGGTACCGAGCGTGTCTCAAAAAATGGCAATCCTCGCTGTTGTCGCTTTTATTCGCTTTTGGACCCTTGATCGTGCTCAGGCTGTGTTGGTGTCATGGTTGCTGCACTTCCCTGTTCTCAGGGTGTGAATGATGTTACCTTTAGGGATCTTTAGGGCTCGTTGCAATGATGTAGTTCATCAGCGGCGCCTCTGTGAGCCCTGAGGATTTCCACCCGAGTAGTGCTTGAAGCAGATCCGGACAATCCCAGAGGCTTGAAGCCGCTGGACGTGTCTTGCGTACTGGAAGAGGGCGCAGAGGATGGTGCGGCCTACGAGTTGTATGCCGTTGTGCAGCACTTGGGTGCAACCCCTTTCTCAGGTCATTATGTGGCGCGCCTGGACTGACTTGGTCACCTTTGGTTGCACTTCTCAAGGGCCCAAAGCAGTACCCATAGTACCCCAAAGGCCACCTGACTGCCAAGTATCGCAGATCCTACCAAGCTTCCAGGTATTGCTGGCATCAGCCATCTGCTTCCTGGTGGTGCTTTGACGACTCCAGCGTTCGGCGCGTGGACGCACACAGGACAGAATGAGAGCTCGCCAGCTACAATCTGGGCATCGCAGCTACACACGGTAAGGATTGCCTTAGTTTGCACGCTGCTAGTTGCTGGTGTCACCCGAGTTCAGCAAGACCAAGACCCAATGCCAACACTTGGGCAGGATTGGAGAGGAGGCACTCAACGACGGTGCATATGTCCTCTTCCTGGAGAAAAGCCAGATACACGGACAAGAGCCCGAAATTTCGCAGATTTCACTGTGAGTGGAAAAAAGTCCGCTGCTGAAAGAGATTCCAGCATAGGCCAGATACTTCCAGCCCCAGCACAGACAAGTCGCAAGACAAATCGTACCTGAGCCACTGTTGACACGGATGCCTTCTCGAGCTTTGCAAATTTCTGGGCTTTGCAGATGGAGCATGAACGAACTTTTCCCCCGAGTGCTCAGACGTGGTCTAAGTCTCGACAGCATAAGGTGTTCTTGGGCGGGTCTTTGGGCTCACGGGATTTGTGGCTACGCAAGTATCTGAACTTCCCTCATGCTTGGCAGAGCTTGAGTGGGTTTGAAGGTGGCGGCCTGCCTTCGTCCTTGTAGAAGGGCTTCAAGGGTATTAGGGGCTTGGGATGCAGCACGAGCGCGCGAAAGTGTTTGACAATGGGGCTTCTTCGGTTTCGAGCTTATGAACGTCAGACTTGAGTGGTTGGGCTCCTGTGGCAAAGCCTAGAAATAGCAGCTCCCTTGCCTCTTCCCCCTTCCCCCTACCCCCTTCCCCCTCCCCCATTGGGTGAGAGAGCTTGCGCCGAGGTGCGGGCGGAGCAGCTTCGGCCAGCACCAAGTGCCAGCTGCCCTAGCTGCGTTGCCTGGAAAGGAAGAAACGTTCGGTTATACTGAGTCATACTGGCAACTTCTTATGTGTAATCTTATATGCCCCCCAGCGCCAAGGCTTTGGCCAAATCTCTGGACGATGGCGGTGGCGCCAGCGCTATCGTGGGAGGAGCTGCTTGGCAGCCTTTGGGATGGGAGCCTGGAGATGACAATGTCAATGACTACGATTCGCACATGCCAACCGGCCCGACACAACAACTGGCTCACAGTTGTGCATGATCACAGCGGCATAGCCACAAGAAGGTGCGTGCCCCCAGCCTACTCTGCCTCCAGCCTTATCTTTAGCAACCTGTCCGGCAACTTGCTCTTCGGGGAACCATGTGTTGTTTTTTGTTCACACCTTGCCGCTGCTTCTTTCCATGTTTTGTGATGTTTGGAGGTTCCGTCCTTTAATGAATGGGTCTCGTTCCTGAGCAATCAGAAGGCCAGGCCATCGGCCTTGAACCGTCTGGAACCTGTTTGCAAGCACCAGAAAGCGCTTTATGTCCTCGACAACATAGACCACAACCGATTCAAATCCACAGCAAGACGAACTGCTGCTGTCATCCATACCGAACACTCTGGCACCTTTGGTTTAACTGGCACCACGGATGTGGCTGACACATCTCGCCGCTAGCACAAGTGATGGCCAGAGGCATCTAGATGCCACGTGCGAAAAGGGATGCCCAGTTTTACCTTTTACGGTCATGTTTAGCTTGCATGCATATCTGTCTGGTATAAGTTCATGCTGTTGCCCTCAGGAAGGTGAAAGGGTATGTAATCCTGAGGCGCACTTCCCTACATTGTTGCGCCCCCGTTCGTCGGGTCGGGACTTTTCAGTGCTGGCAACAGCCTTTGCTCCTTGGCTTACAGAGCGAGATTCAGATCGGGGCATGGCTGTACTAAGCCTTGGCCAAAAACCGGTAGCAACGGCATGCGGGAAGACAAATCAGTCCCCACGCCGCCCACTGCGGAATTGGACAAGAACAGTGCCAAGATAATCGTACTGAATTCACCCTGGTATGGCACTGGTGTCCTTTAACCTCCCCGTCGTGTCGTACTGTTTGTCGGTGAACACGAGTCAGACCCTGCTAACCCAGCCGGACTACGAGTGAAGGTACGCTCTCCCACCTTCAATGCGGAGCATTGTGCCCCTCAGCATACCCCCAAGCTGCACCCCCCGAGCTGGCCTAGGACATGACAGTAGGGAACCAGCTCATCAGCGAGGGCCGCTGGATGCAGCCGGAGGTGGACCTGCTCAAGGCTCTACCCGGCAGATGTAGCTTCTAATTTTGATTAATTTTGGTAACCGTGGCGTGGGTGATTTGCTCAAATGCTGCGAGGCATTTCTACCAGTAGGTGGCGTGGCTGTGGATGCTGGGGATGCTCGGTTGCAGATGCTGGTTTGGCCTGGGGGCACCTCGCATTCAGCCAAGAAAAAAACGAAAACCGGAAGAACAAAGCCCATCGAAGCCTGGGGAACTTGGGGAAGATCATGTCTGTGCGTAGACGAGAAGCAAGGCCTGGAACGAAGGGTTCTCCATGAGAGTTCTTCAGCAGGTGCTGGGATGGAGGGCTTCGAGATTTGCGAAATCGCATGGTCAAGCTGGCAAAGGCTTCATGCGGACACTGGGCCTTCCGAGGCCAACATTGGTGGCTTCGCGCTTCCTTTGTCCAAGCATGTGGGTCCCGATGGGCAGGCGATGTACTTGAAAGGGAACCTGAAGTCTCAGCTGACACTGACCCTGCAAGTTGCAAATCATTGGTGACATTTGTGAGTAAGCGGTGTTGCACGTTTTGAAGCAGACTTGCGGTACATTTGGGGCTTGGTCGCAGTTCCCGGCGACCTGGCAGCAGGTCCATGCCTTCGAGCCCTTCCGCAACATCTTTCAGGTCTTGACTGCAAACTGTGCCGTGCTTGAAACCGCATGTTGCAACTAGTTGCAGATGGTTCATGGCAACTGGCTGTGTCTCAGAAGACAGCCTTAGCCCACATGTCCATGGAGATTGCGTCTGAAAGAGATGATCGGCAGATTAGATGGCCCAAGGTCCTGAAGCTCCACACCATGAAGCCAATAGTCCCTTCCTGGAGAGGCAAGACAGACAGCTAAGTCCCTGTTCCTCAGGAACACAACTTCAAGGAGAGCAAAGTCTGAAGTGTCCAGGAACGATAGAGCAAACCCCGAACCAGTCGAGAACCATCGAGAGCCCAACAAGTTTTCCAAGCCAAAGAAATAGACTGAGCCCGTTGTCCAAACCGTGGGCCTCACATCCTTCAATGGGACAGTGTCCATACGACATCATGCAGAAGATTCGGACATGAACTTGCATGAAACGCATGCAGCTACAAAGGGGCTTCGAAGTTGAAGGCTTCGAAGCGTTCAGAGAACCTCCTGTCGACCTTCCGCTAAGAGTCGTGCCATTTCGAAGCGGCAAAGCCCAGGTGCAATCAACGGCCTGCTAAGTTGCTTCACCTACCACAATGCCTTAGGCTGGGTCGCATGTGCCTTTGCTGGCCGCACGTTGCCCGGAGAGACAGATGTGACGTGCAGCTAAGTCCGAGGAGATATTGTAGCGGCGTCGCAACATACGTGTGCGACATTTCTTCATGTCATCGTCCACCGAAGGCAACAAGACCGAGCAGCGCCGCCGGCCAATGTCTAGTTCTTAGCTGGGGTGAGAGCTTTACATCAGGTGTTGAAGAACAGGCAAACATTCCGAGCCCCAAGCTCCGCGAATGTACCGAGTTGTGTAACAGAAGGTGGCTAAGATACGGTCAGTTTCGTAAGTTGTGGTAAGTTGCTCGGAAATGTCCCATGTTGCCAGCAAGGCCGGGTCTTGCTGCGGTGGGCAACCCGTCTTGGACTCGGAGTTTCGGGAAGGGGGAGGGGGGGGGGGGGGGGGGGGGGGGGGGGGCATTCTTGCAAGGAGGATGTGGGAGGACGCAAGGGTGGCCATTGGGCCAAGCCTTGGCATCAGCCTTCAGTGAACTCCAGAACTTAAGGGGATACTTAAGGGGATGTGCTGTGAGAACCCTCAAGTGCTGGAAGCCCAGGTCGAAATCCTTTGTGGTGGATGAGGTAGCTTCTGAGCCCCTGGGCGAATCTGGATGCAGCCGGATGCAGCCGCGAATTTGTCTGACAGTCTCGGAAGGCCAAGGAATACAAGGAATAATATGGAATACAGCAGGGCCCATTCCAGTCGATGCGTGTACAGAATTAAGACACTGTGGTAGCAGTGTGCGTGCGCAGCAGATCGAATCAGCCTGCAGTCCCAACATGAGCCTCCGTGCACACCTGCATCACGGGACCCGTCAAGCATTCCTGCTTGACAGTTAAAAGGGCGGGCGGCAAATTTAAGGCACCTAAGTGAGCGGTACAGAGCAAGTCGTTTAAGAAGTCAAAAAGGGAGGTGTTGAAGGCGTGACAGACAGAATCTAGTCAGGCTTCCCATGGCGCTCATCCCGTTGCATTCCAGGCTACTTGTCCACCACGACAGCCGCGGGCGGAGCGAGACGGTCGGCTGAGGGCAATTTAGCAAGCAGCATGTGAGTTAATGGAACCGGCAGGCAAAGTAGATCAAAGTAAGTAGCTTCTCAGTAGACTCGTCCACAGGCACGCAGAGGCATGGTTGGCGTGCAAGCATGTGAAGCTCGAAGAACGGATGTTTTGTACAAATGCGCGTTCTTCTGAGCCTCGGGCTCGTGGAGAGTTTTGCATGGAGGTGCGTGTGGTCCGTCTCGACGACACGCTACAGCTTGACAGGCTGGATGAACCCAGGTTGCATTCCAGCTCATCTTGGCGAGTTAATCGAGTTCAGTGCAGCAGATTGCGTACCAGTGAAAGTGCTGCGGCAAGTATCTTGCATCTTTGGACGGCTCCCAGGTAATGAAGATTGACGTGGAAAGCGGCGAGTATGACGCTCGGAGTGGAAGCGCGTTCTCGGAATTCCCTCCCATCCCCGCCCTCAATCCCCTCCTCCAGAAGCACCCACGCAACTCCCCATCATTCGTGAACGAAGCCAGCAAAGGAGATGCTCCTAGGAGCTGGCGCGACCATCCGCTCTCACCAGCCGCTGATCTATGTCGAGGACACTTCCGCCGCCACGCTCGCGGCATGACTGCGCACAATCACCCGCCGGCTTTACAGGATTCAGAATCCGACAAGCCACCACCAACGCGGGTGATGCGACTCCTGTCGGAGTTGCACTCCTACTGGTGCGCTTCAGATGCACATGTATTCTGCGTGTTGGTCCTAGTTTGACGAGGGTGCGCAGGCAGATCAGAGACCTAAAGATCCTGAGCAGATTTCATGATTTCGACAGCTTTCAATTCCTAGTTGAACTGAACCGTGGCTGACCTGCATAGCACCGAAAATGAGGTGCTGACCCGAAGGAGCTGGGACTCCAGTTAATGACCTCCACGCTTTGCGTGCCACAGCGAATGGTTGGTGAGGCAGGGGGCTTAAATTAAACGGCTGAGAGGGCACACATGCTCGCTCATGCTTGACCAGTGCAGCTGCCAGTTCGTTGGCAGAATTGGGCAGTTGGCCAGCTTTGTCAGGTCCGTGACCGCATCCGCCAGATCAAATGGACGGGCCCGCCACGATGAGCCTCACAAGGGGAGTTTAGGTTTCCTCTATCAATACATATTGAGCAAGTGTTCCCATTGGAGATAAACAGCACACACACATCCATCTGTGAAATGCATCTGCAAGAGCAACAACCATTCGCCGGGTGCTAAATATCCTGATACTGGTGCAATATCTAGATGTATAGGTACACGTGTACATGCCAACCTGCTGTTCCCATGACCGATTCTGTGTGGACACTCATGTTAAGGCCTAGGAGTCGATCAAACTCCCCTTTGCGGCCCGGCATCGAGAGCAGGTCAAAAAGGCGTTCAGAATGCGCGTGGACGGTGTAAGCATTGTAAGCTCATGTGCACGGGCTCACTCTGCGCTTGGCGGTTTTAACTGGAACCGCTACAGCAAGTGACACAAAAAGCATGCACCGAAGGACCTCCGCCGACTTCCAGACCTTTGTCTATGGAGATGCCAACGGAGGCCAATATGCGGTCAGCTTTGCAGCTCGAGTGAAGCTTGCATGTATTGCACACGCCCATGCCTCACGTTGACAGGTTCAACGCAGCAGACATGTCGGAAGCATAGTCTGATGGCTTTACCTGTGGCCTGTGGTGTTCTAGTTGGACAGAGTAGTTGCTTCCATTGTCTTTCCACACGGCGATATGGTTGCAGCATGTGGCCTCGTATGTCCTGCATTTTTTGCTTGGAGACTCGATTTGTTTGCTGCGAATGGGGCTCTGGTTCAGTTGATAGACATGGCATCGCAGACAAGATAGACCAGACCGAACAAAGCATTCAGTTCTCAATGGTGCATTTGAGCAGCAACGGGGCGACAACGCATGACAACGTGTTAGCTGGTGGACCAACAGTCGACGTTTTAGAGGCCATCGGTCTGGGAATGCATTCATAAAAAGAGAAGTGCACGAGACGCTTGGCTGCGCTCAAGCTGCGCAGAACTGTGCCAGAGCGAGCTTACTATCACTGCAGACTAGCCTCAGGCAGCGGAAGCATAGTCATAGACTGGTTCTCGTTGCAGCATCGGGCGAGATGACGTCGCTTCGACGTCAGCTAATCTCCATCGGCGAGGCGTGGCGGGGAAGAGCAGAATCGGCGAGCTGAAGTGTGCAGAGACTTACTGCCCAGTGGAATCTAACATTCGCTAACACGACGATGCTTTGGTTTTTGAAGATGGAGTGTCGAAGACAACATTATGCCCCCCAGGCCGTCAGCTAAGTCTGTTTGCATGGGGTCTTACACGATAGTTAGCCAAGTCGTTATCAATGTTCGGACTTCGGAATGAACTTTCCGGCATGTTTCGAAGTTTTTCTAGACCGTCAGGACGACGAGGATGAAGCGCCAATGTTCAAAGTGTGACTTGGCTACAATGAACACAAGCTTCGCGGCAGGCTTTTGTATCTCGACGACGAACCTTTAAAAACATCCAGCATCCTGAGCTGCAGAATACAGTCGCAAGTTGGTGAACCCTTAGACGAGACGCATCCAGACGAAACAAATCCCAGGGGGTTCACCAGGCGTTTCCCACGTGGCAGTCAATGCATCATGAGGCTGGTGTGCTCAGTAGCCAACTGTCAGACGCAAGAAGCGTTATTTCTGGAATCTCTTGGGTGCTGTCGCAATTGTGTCACTTTACTAAGGAAAAAGACCCGCCTCAGTCGCCAAATGGCAGCAACAAAGGCCTGCCATGGGGGAGAGCAGTTGGGTGAGAAGTTAACTGTCGTGGGCCTGCTCGGCCCGAATCCGTGCACAGTGACTCTGATTGATCGCAGGCTTAGTTTTGCGTGCTTTATTTTCCTTTTTGGCATCACTGTTCGTTGTGATTATTTGCTCGGCATTTGTTGAGTTTGAGGGTGTTGGTGCATGGAGTAGTGATTCAAACATATTCTGTCAGAGCACCAAACTTTCTGTTTGCAGGCAGTGTCAAAAAATGCGCAGCTCAAAAGACTTGCTCTGGGGTGTGACAGTGGGCCAAATCAGCCCAAATGTACAGCAGCTTAGGTTTGAAGCGGCCGGTGCTTGGCAATTCGTGCAGCCCACAAATCGACGTCCTGAAGCAGCTTTGCTTTCCTAAACTCCAACCCTCCCGACAGCAATCCCAAAGGCGCCAGCGGATCTGAACAGCAGCTTCCGCCGCTCTTCGAAGCCTAAGGGCTTGCGGTCCAAGGCAGGACTTGGACAGTTCAAAGTTTGGGAAAGCTTTTAGGATCTTCGGCCTTCGGCCTGGTGGTGGGATGATTTGGCTCCTTGTGTGCGCGACGGCTCCGATTTTCTGGCATGTTAGTTCGGAGTCGTGGCTGTAGGTGTTGGCGAAAAGTTTCCGTATGCTCAGAATGTTGGCGCGAGCATCAGAAACGCTCAGTAATACCCGCAGAACGGATCGTTGCATGGAGCGAGCCAGAGAGAGACGTAGCTCGATTAAGAGCCTAATATTCTATCTCTTCCAAACCACCAACCTGTGGCAGGGAGACAAATGTAGGAAAACTCATCCTCCCACACACTGCCAAACCTGTACTGGTGGGAGGCTCGTTGGGGAAGGGTCTCAATTAACGGGCGGGATCAGCAACTTCGATCCACACGTAACAGTGCACGTTCTTGCCCAACCCCAAGCCCAAAGAGGGAGTGTCTACACATCTGGGAGAGAACTTACCTTGCTCGCCTGGTTTGTACTTGTCTGGTGTTCACCAACCAAGATGTGTACACACCTTTTCACACCAACGGACTCGGTAACGCATGCCCCTCGGGGCGGCTCCCTTCGGGGGGTCATATGCACGGAAGGAAGGCAGGAAGGAAGGAAGAGAGAGAGAGAGAGAGAAGCCTGGGGGGCCCTCTCGCTGGGTAGAAGAAGAAGAAGAAGAGACAGACAGAGAGGGGGGCGGTCTCCTCTTCGGGCGAGGGCCATGCGTGCAGAGAAAGAGAGAGGTCGCCAACGCCAGGACGCCAGGGTTGTCGAGTGTCTATGGAGTCGGTGGTAGGGTTTGCCACGTCATGCGTGGGGCACGAGAGTGTCCTGGTGTGCGACACACAGACTATATGCCTCTAGAGACGAGAATAGCACGTAGACGTTTGCCAACTGTAGAAGCCTGCATCAGGCTGACGACGAGAAGGAGGAGCCCCCGCCCCCTGAGCCGACACAGGCACAAAGGGAGATGATGGAGATGGTAGTTCACAGGTTTCCCTTGCTGACAGCACTTGCATTCCCTGATCTTGTGCGGCTTGAGGCCCCCGAGCCAGAGCTTATCAGCGAGCCCATGGAGCCTGTGGACAAGGATTCGGAGACCCTCGGAGCAGGTAATGCACGGCACTTTGTCTCGCACCCTCGTGCCCACGCCTGCATGGCATACCCGCCTGCATAAGTCGGCACCTAGCGCTCTAGCTGTGGGATCTTTCATTTACCAAATTGTCTGTCACGTGTGGGCCCAATTTTGGGATGAGCTCCTGCCTGGTATTGATGAGCCAAGGGATGAGGCCGATGGAGAAGAGTCCAAGGCAGGAAGAGCGTAATGCTGCGCAGTCTTTGAAATGCTAGGGGGCCCCGGCGAAGACCTCATAGGCTCCAAAGTGGCACTCAGAACTCGGCCTTCCGAATACTCCCTGGAAAGCTCCGGAGGCCGTCCTGGCAGCGCGCCTGGCAAGGGCCCAGCAACCTGTCGACTCAGCGATGCAGCGGTCAAAGTGTTGTCAAAGCGGGGTTGACCGGTGCCGAGTTTAAAAGCCCACCAATGGCCAACGCGAAAGTCAGAACGTCATAGACGCGTCTCGGAGACATGCTTCACTCATGCTTCCAATGCCACCACAATAGTGTCCCAATCTCAGCAGAAGAATAATAACTTGGCCCCCATTGCAACTTCATTTCCGTGAGCAAATCACACAGAGAGACCGGAAGCAGCATACGGTTGCATAGCACTGCAAGAGGGGCTTCTCTGGATTGCCCAGGCGTGCAGCTGCTCGCGAACTCGGAGCACCTGCTCCGCGAGCAGGGCGGTACACGGCCATGACAGGTTCGCGGTGTACTTGCATCAAGGGTTTGAGGCCATGGACCATACGTACTTGTTTAGTTGTCAAGACGCAGGGCGTTCAATCGACTTGATGGAATCATCTGAAGAGGTATGCGCCGATAATTGAGCAGAGCCGTCATCCATACCTGCGACCACGAAATCCATAGTCCGGTATCGATGTTTGGCTTGTGCAGGCCTACCTGCCAAGCCCAAACCGGCTCCGCCGCCTGCACCTGCAAAAAGCAATGCAACCAGCGAGCGCATCAAGGTGCACGAAAGCAATTTGCTGCAATTCTTTGCTGCTGCGCATGAGACTCTGCATAGACGAAACGCGGCTGTTTCAGGCTTTGGCTGAAGCTGCCCAAAAGGAATTGAACGATGGCGAAGAGGAGACGCTCACGCCAGAACACTTTGTCGTGGCAACACGTAGCACGCACAGGCACCTTGCACAATATCATTCACCATCATTCACCCCTTGTCAATGCAGGAGGATGCCTCGGACGCCTGGGCCTTGCGACAGCTGGGACTGGGATTGCACCGTCGCCGCGGTGGAGAGGTGGGAAAGGATCCTACTGTACCTGTAGCCAATCTGATGGGACAGCCTTAGTGCGGACCTTAGAGGATTGGAGTTTCTGTGGCAGGCAGTTGAGGTCGTGGAGACTTCGCTCGACGAGGTGCAGCGTTCATGCGCAAGCATGGGCACTTGTTTGGTCTAGGTCGTTTGTCTTAAAGCGCATTCACGCGAGAGAGTATGAGTGCGATGCAGGCTAAGCTTCGTTGTAATTAAGGTGTAAAGCCAGGGCGTGCAGGTGAAGAACTGTTGCGGCTGCGGGGTGTCTTAAGGTTCATGAAGGAGTTTTCATATTTGACTGGCTTGTTTGGGCGACGAGCAGATCATCCGTTAACGGTCGCATAGGTGGGATGTCCCTGTGAAGCAGTTTAATAGCAGTAGCAGTTTGCAAGTACTTGGATTCCATGCCACATGTCGAGCAGGAAATTGCGAAGCTGAGCAGCAGGGACGGTGTTGCCCAGGCAGAGAGTTGGTGCAATAACCAGGTTTTGATTGGCTCTGCTTCCTAGTTCTATCCGAGTTTCATGCAGAGGTCCGCGAGGCTGCTGAACGGGTGGCAAAAGGCGTGTACCTAGTTCTATCCGGGTCTCATGCACTGCAGAGGTCCGCAAGGCTGCTGAACGGGTGGCAAAAGGCCATGATGGTGAGGCCTTGGACGCGGAGTTGGTGAGAATGAGCTTTGTGATTCATCATCACTGCTGCATTCTACCTTTTCTCCTGGGACAGGCTGCCATACGTGCAAAAGCAAGCGCGACTTGCCTTCAAGAATGTGGCGGCCAGCGTCTGACAACAAGGGAGACACAAAGTCTCTCCATCGGCTCAAACCAAGTCGTTGCCCGTGCTGACCGCATGATTTTTGCAGAAACCCTCGTCAAGCAGTGATCGTGGTCAGGCGCAGTCGTCGAGAGCGGGGGAAACGAGAGCGGCAGCAAAGAAAAATCATTCGGACTAGAATGACTAGAGTCTGAGATGAGACCATTCCAGTATATTCCAGTGCCCATCTGGGACACTCGCGAGCTGAACTGTCCAAGGTGATCCCTGCAGCTTCTGAGGCCATGGCCAGGCGGGAAGTCAGACAGCCACAAATCACAAACTTCAGAAGCGCACTCGAGCTGCCATTATCAGCTGCTCTAAGTGGTGTTTTTCGTGTTCCTGGGGGCAATCGAAGTGGAAGCTTGATTCTCAGGCTGCCTCCAAAAACATGCTTGTCTTCTTGTTTCTTTCCCTGGATAGAGCTCCGAGTGTGTGCACGTATGTGCACGTGGGGGAGGGGCTTTGTTGTTTTGCCAGGCTCTGGGCCACCATGAAGGCCCTTGAGAGCTCAGCAGGGGATCGCGATGCGAAGTTGGAAGCCGCTTCGATCAAATGACTACAGTTTAAAATAGTTTAATTTAAACAAGATCTGAAAGCGTGGCTTCAACGGCTTGACACAAGAAACACGCTGTGGGAACTCGCAAGAACTGTTCACAGGCCTCAGAATGATTCAGGTCGACAGTATGAATGTGTTGGAAAGATGCAATAGTCCGAACACTCCGTATCGGAAATCTAGGGGTAGGGGGCTTATCAGCCATGTCCATCCCTTCAGCTGAGGAGCTCACAGGACAGGCCGATGCTGCCCGTGATGAGCTGGCAGAGATCGCAGCTTGGTTCAAATGAGGGGCGGCTTCGAGTGTTGCATGGATTCCTACACAGCCAGGCTCAGGCGCCCTTGCGTAGCAAGACCCTAGAGGATGGCACGGCAGAGAGAGAGGGAGAGAGCCAGGCTCAGGCAGGTTTCCAAGGTAGGCTCCATCCCGGAAACTTACTGTGATTCTCCAAGCCTTCCACACCCGCTTAGTTCTGCATGACCCAAATTTAGAAGCAGACAGGCTTCTTGAATGCCGCCGGCACCGTGTGAGGTCACCGACAGGCGTGTGTCAAAAGGCTGCGCCCACTCACGCAGCCCCCTCAACAAGAAATCTTAGTTCAATCATGCCCAGGAGCGGCGGGACAAGGACATCTCGCGCATGCTTCGAAGCGTCCAGGAGTCGCTTGGACACAAGAGATTTTGCAGGAAGTCCCAGAAGGTGCTTCAAGTCGGGACCCGAGTCGGGTGCGCACGGAGGCTTGAGGTTGAGCGGGACAGCAATTGTTCTTAGGCCTGGCGGCAGGGGCCGGCCCCGCCCCCCAAAAACGAAACTTTAAACATCCTTAAACCTTGGCATCTAGCTCTAAGATGACACCTTCCTGCCTTGTGCGAGTGTGAGAGCCGAAACCTCGGCATCGATCATCCTCATACCTACCAACAGGTTGTGCGAAAGGGGGGAGGCGGGCGGGGGGGGGCATTGTTCGGTTGCTTTTGTCCCTAAGACGTAAATCCAAACCCTGAACCGCGTGCGCGCACGAGTTTGCGGTGCAACAGCATCACGTACACACCTCTATCTCTCTCTCGCTCCCTTGCGCTCGCTTCTCTCTCCCTCTTCTCTGTCTCTTGTCTTTCTATCTTTCTCTTTTCTCTCTTCTTTCTTCCCTCTCGCTATCTCTCTCTCTCTCTCCTCTCTGCTCTTCTCTTGTCTCTCTTCTCTCTTGTCTCTCTTTTCTCACTCTTCTCTGCCTCTCTCTCTCGCTCTCTCTTCTCTCCTTTCTCTCTTTCTCTCTCTCTCTCTCTCTCTCTCTCTCGCTCTTTGTCTCTCTCTCTCTCTCTCTCGCACTCTCTCTTCCTGTTGGTCCTTTCTTGGCCTTTCTTTGCCTCGCTCTCTTTCTCGTTCTCTTTTTCTCTTTCTTCCTCTCCGCGCGCGCGCGCGCGCCCGCTTCGGCGGGGTGATCGTTTGCAACTCAGCATTTGGGCTCGTTATGGCTTAATGCTGAAGACTGCTGGCAGGCACTCGATTAGCAAAAATGGTGAGCACACTGCAGCTCGCGGGGACAGGCAACAAGCATGTTCTCATCCACAGGCTCGAAGAGCTGGCTTGGTCGCTTGGAGGGCTGTTGGACGAGAAGTCGCCCAAGTGCAAACAGGCCTGGACATGCCTGGAATTTGAGATGTCAGCTGCAAGGCGTGTCGTTGGCCATAACGCCGAACCTGTGCACATGAATAGCCTTCGCATATTCGCATGTTTCATAGGACCTGGCGATACCTGGCATCTGCACTTTTAAATCAACGAGAGTTGCAACACAAAGATGTCAACAAAGCGAGAAAGCATTGCATCGCAATGCTAACTGTGTGTCGAGCTTCGCTGGGAGCTGGGAACAATGTGGATGTGCGATGGCTTGAATGCTCGTCGCTGCAAAATGCTTTGGATTTCGACAGCCATGCAGCATGTCAGTCCACGCTGCGAAAAGCGTTGGTGCTTCGATGTTGCCACTCACGTGTGCACGGCTTGTTCAGCTCACCGAATGTCAAAAACCAGAGTGCAGCCACTGCAGGCCGCAAAGATGCTGGCGCAGATTGAGGAAGATTTCTCCCAGCGGCGGACCAAACGGCGGGCCAAGGAAAGATGACCTTAGCCTCGAAAGATATACTATGGTTGGTCGCAGGTAGCTCTACTGATATGCTGGTAGCATAAGTAGCTTTCACAGCCTTGCTTATGGCGGTCACTTCTCAATCAGAAGGTGTATTCGGCCCACGCAGCCATCGTGCTTTCTCGGCCGGCATCTGCCTTATGCAGGTCCTAGACTCTCCACTCTTGTTAGCTCTGACATGAGGCTTCTCTGGGCCACTCGATAGAGCTTTTGCAGGACATAGCAGAAGCTTTGAAAGAGACTGGGGCCAGCCTGACCTACCAAGAAGAGGAGGTAGGGCCCCAAGATGACCTTGGCTTGAGCACATCGAGCCGCAGCATGTCACAGCATTGCAGCGCGAGCGGCAACGCCCAGGCCGAGGATGGAAGCGATGCAGAAAAAGCGGAGCAGGCGGAACAGGCCTGCAAAGCCGCTGCAGACCTTCCAAAGCGAGTCGAAGCGAGATGCCACAAGCTGCCAGTAGAACGTACAGAAGAAGTTGCGTTCCTGAATTCACCATTGGGCGCATCAGTCACCACCGGTGACTGATCAGTCCAGGCCACAGCACGCCGTCGCCAGCGCCGTGGGCGTCGGAAAGGCGACGACGGCTGGGCTGCTTGTCCTGTTGGGGGATGCTGAATGTCAGCGTCGTGAGTCATGTTAGCTGAAGCCAAGTCTTGTTTGTTTGTCATGCGCGCGCTTTCGAACTCCTTCGCCGACCAGACCTTTCACAAGATGCGATACGGTTTCGCTGAGAATAGCTGAGAATTATGCCGGAAATGAGTTTTGCGTAAGGCGTATGGGGCTGTTCTAGCCCTGGAAGCTTGATGTAGTGTGCTTGGACAAACCCTTGCAGCCATCTAACAGCTGAGAGATCCCAGGACACTTCAGACCTCAGCGAGGAGGATGGCAGCCTTTCTGGAAAATCTTTTTGGTCGTGTTCGCAGTTAGAGTTGGAGTGCACTTTCATAACTTAATGTTGAGCCCTGTTTAGTGTGGGCCCCCCCCCCTGAACAGTCGAGGCATGGATTTGGCTCTGTTTAGACGGCCCCGGGGGTTTATATGATTCAAATAGGGAGGGGTTTAGAGGTGTTTAAAAGGGGCAGCGATGCCCGGCATTCTTTTTTAAAGGCGCGCCACGTTGAGTTTTCTTACGGCGCCCGGACGATTTGACTTTAAAGAGGGACTCCCAAACAGTCAGGATGCCCTGAAAAATTCAGCCAAGTTGACTTTATAGGGGAGGCCCCCACTAAACAGGGTCCAACATGAATCTGCTTTCGGTTGGAGATTCGCGGAGGTTGGTACCGGTGCTACCGGCTACCTGCGGGCGATGCAGTGAAACAGCAGTAACATAGTTGTAAACACTTGCGCGCAGCCTGGTTGGCCCGTGCGTGCGCAGATGAAGGAAAGCCAAGTTACACGTCAGGCGGTGTAACACCACGCACGTCATGAGTTCAGAAGGTAGGAGGCCTTGGAAAAGGGGTTCAAGGGGTCTCACAAAGCGTTTTGGAGCCTGGAACCTTGGCGGCATCGGATTGCGGCTCCAAGGACGGGTTTGGAAGGGGGGAAGGAGATCAGATCCTGGCTGGAAGCAGATGCGATTAGCTCTGCCTCGTCGCGTGCGCCTTCACCCATAACAACAGAGTCTGGTAGTTCAGATTGGTTCGCGCTAGTAGGCAGGGTCCCCGTCCCCTTTCCGAACCTTCATCAGCCGCGTTCAACGGCCCTCGCACTGGATTCTGGATTGACTGGATTGACTGCGACTGGATTGAAATGCTTTTGAAGCATCAAACTTTTGCTTGTCTTGTGCAACACTATAACACTCCGAGTGTAAAGTGGAAAGCCCCGCTGGGGAATAGTCAAGGCTTGGAGGCGACAAGGAAGGATCGCGCCACTTTCTCCACTGCTGCCGTTTGGTTGCATTCCGCAACGGATCAGAGTGATTGAAACGGAAGCTAGCCCCCCCCCCCAAGGTGCAGAAGCAGTTGCTGGACGACGTGTCTGAAGAGTTTGCCAGCGCAAGGTCTGTGTTGAAGGCACGAACACGTCGTCTAGGCATCTGTCCGTGAACGCTGGGTGTCGAACGTACTCGGGGGGCAAGATTTCTCATTGGCCAGGCACTGAAGTCTGTGAAGAAGAAGTTGCAAGACGAATACCGTCAGGCCAAGGGTGTCGAAAGGGCGGGCAGGCCTCTGTTTTGAATGGCCTCGTGGCAGTTGACCAATCAAGTTTTGCGTCTTGGCCTGTACCCAGTGTGAGTCAGAAGTCATACCGAGTAGCTACATGGAAGACGGACAGATCTATTTCTCGAAATTTCTTTGAAGATCTGGCTTCGCAGGCGTTCGTCCACCTGGCCTTACCAGAGGTCTTTGGCTTCTTCGTCGACTTCGCCGCGCTGTGGCGCCTTGTCAGCACCCTTTAGCTCGGCTATGCTCAGCTTAGCTTTCCCAAGCCTGTGCAACTTGCCCTGCTATTTCACACACAGCAGACTCAGAAGTATGCCAAGGCCTTCCTGGGCAGAAAAACACAGTGTCGCTTCAGCATTCGCACATACTCCACGTCAGCCACCCTTGAGGTGGGATCCGCTGCGGCTTCTTGCCCGCTCCGACGATGTGACTTTCGGACCTCGGAAGGCCCTGAAAAGCAAGGGTGTCCTGATTGGCAGCTGCATCCATGATGGACTTACTTGAAACGAAGCAGGTGCTTTGAACATTTAATGTTGAGATATGTTGAGGCATCACTTGGAAGGTCCCAAGCCATGACCACTTCTGTGAGCTTGTTCTTGCCTGTACTCCCGTCGAAATGGCTATGGAGTGTTGAATGGGTGCATATGAGTGACGGGGAGTCTGGTCGCCCCGACATACTCTGCTGGGCTGGGGTTTCTTGAGACGCGTGATGTGTACTCCCGGACTGCGCTGGAAAGTCGGGCTGGATACGGCTGCAACAACAATTCGGACACGGGGAATCACGATAAGTGATACTGCTTTCTCAGCTTAGCTTCACATGATGTCGGCCTTTGAGTGTTGGGTCGTGTTTCTCACACTTGGTGCCCTTTTGTCCTTGGAAGCCTCAAGAACCAGACCAGTGTTGTGAGGCGATCACATCAACGCAGCTGGAGTCCTTCGATTGGTTCGAGGACTCGGCACTTGATCCCCATCACCCTTTGGGGCCCATTACAGCACAAGAATTCACATTGCTCTCCCTTACAGGACATGGCTGCCTTCACAGAGCTCTTGGGTGACGATGACCCAGATGGGGAGCTGCTCGGCATGCAAAACTTCAGCAGTGACGCACTTTCTGAGTCCCTGGCCCATGCTGCATGGTATAGTCTCTATTCGACACATAGAAGAAGCCCGTCAGCTTATCGAGTGTGAATGCAAGCTTGAGACAGCTTGAGGCTGGTGCCCAAGATCGTGCAGCAGTGCATCTTTCCCGAGGTGGCACGGCGCCTGCTCTTTGGTCGCCATGGTTGATCGCACAGAGCATGGCGGGATGAAGTATGTGAACTTCTATGTATTCGAATTGGCCGAGTTGTTAACTGGTTCCCGAAAGCTCCTCACATTCCTCAGGCGTGGTTGCTGGGATGTGACTTCGATGTCCCAGAGCCAGCGCGCGGCAGCTTTGCTACTGGTCTGCCGGAAAGACCTCCAAACTTCCGTCTCTGATTTTCATGTGAGTTGCGGTGCCTAAAGGCGCATTCCTGCAGCGCCGCATGCCATGAACAGCTGGCACCCAAGGCTGGACGAATGTTTGCTGTTCGAGGCTCGTGGAGAGAGGGACAACGAGCAATAACACGAGTTTGTACTCATCTCCTCTGCTTTGCCCTCTCCCTCCGCTTTCGCCCGGCTGTCGTCCAAGCGGTTAGAGGGAGGAACCCCAATATCTAGATTATCTAGATCTATCTTGACAGCATTTGCGGATTGGTGGTTTGCGGATTTGTACCCGGCATCGCGGATTCGCGCACGGATTTGCAGACGGGGTTCGTGGATTCGCAAAAGGGGACCGGAGCAGGAGTGGGCTTCTAAAGAGGGTCCAGAGGCGTACTCGATCACTGGCATGCTAGATACCTTAGACCCTAAACCCTGAGCTTGCGGTCATGCGATCGGACTCACTGAGCCCGGTAGCCTTAGTGGACTTTCGTCCACTCCCCTGTGATGGATGTTGAGTGTTTATGCTGAGCACGGCAGTAGCAAGAACTGTCAGATTGATCCTTGCAAAAGAGGTCGGCGAGGCGGCGGAAGCCTTCGGCGAGCTGGCCGAGGCACGCAACCGCGAGTCCCGAACACTGCCGACATCAGCAGCCCAACATCTTTGCCAGCTGCAGAAACACTCATGCTGCAAAAGAAGAAAAGCACAGGCTCACATGGATTGATGTGGGCAGAAATCAACCACTTCTTAGGCGGCCGTCGAGCGGCTGCGAGCCGGGCTGCGGGACTTTGCACCTGCATCTTGGAGAATGTGGGAAGCCGATTGGGGGCCTGCTAAAGTTCAGGCTGCAGGTGCTTGAGGGGCCCAGGCTGAAAGCTGTCCGCAACGAGTAACAGTCGAGATTTGCCATACACGTCCAGTTCCACCAAGGAAGTCTTCGTACCGGCACCACAGGCAGGCCACATCGCAGTGCAAGAAACAGCCTGCCGAGCCCGCTGTTTGGGGTCCCTGCACACATGGCATGCAGGAGCAATGCACGCACGATGCCGAAGCGTGATTGGTTGGATCTACGCAGCGTGCGTTGCGCCACTAGGGAAGGAGCGTTTTGTAAGTTGAATTAGCTATAACATATTACATGTAGCCTGAAGCAGCACACTCCCGCACCCAACGCTTACTTGGAGAAACACTTGAGGCACATGACGTCGCGTCATCCGAAGATGCTAGGCCATGGCCGTGGTTGGATCGTCTTTGGCCATCCGCGCACGACATCGCATTTATCACGGAACGTCTCCGCAAATTCTGCCGGCAGGTTGCCTGCATACTACCACACGAAGCAGCAACCCATGCAAGACATTCTGACAAATTCTGACCACCCCATACAAGCAAAGCCAGAACATGCCAAAGGCTCGTGAAGCTTTGGCACACCGCGTACACCGCAGTACACAACAAGCGCTCTTCTGTCAAGTGCAAGCTTGCCCAGTTGCTCGGGGAAAAGTCTTCATTCGTCGAAACGTTCGTGAAACTATATTTCAGCTAAGTCGGCGCACTGTGGTCTACCACATTGCTAGAAGCCCGTACAAGCACGACATGGTTCATTCCAGCTGCCGACATCTGAATCTACTGCATGTGATAAGAAGCAGATCTCGGCTTCAGGCTTAGGACGGGGGGGTGGGACAACACGACAGACCGGTATTTAGGCCCACAGCCGGCTGAAGCCTACTTCCCCCCACAATCCATGAAGGTCACCGCCTGGTATGCCTCCGCTGCCCGGAAACGTCTACTTCGGCGGAGCTGCAAGTGTTTTGGTGGCACTGTCCTGACAAGCGCATGGAAGTTCTCGACGGTGCAGATAAGATGACTGGGCTGAGTTGGTCACAGCTACTGGTGGAAGTAGTGGGAGATATGGGCGAGCGCCGTGTGGAGTTGGGTTGAATTGTAGGCGGCTGCCCCTTAGGATTGCAGCATGCGCTGCGCAACTGGAGGGACGAATTCCAGACGAGAAGCGGCTCGGAGTACGTGCGTTTGTCATCATCCGCTGTGAGGTGTTCAGCCTTCATCTTGTGGGTTGTAGGCAAGAGCACTAGCATGGCTAGATCACTGAGCAGCTTTCGCACGTCATTCTTGGTCTGGGCCGCAACGCCCAGCAGAAAGTCGGACCAGGCTCGCGCCCGTACTTCTACAGGACATCTTCACCACACGTGCCTTTGGCATTGCAGGGTTTGCAGAGTGCTACCGGCAAGACAGTGTTGAAATTCAGCTTGATCGCAGCATGAGAAGGTAGGCCGCAAGTTGAAGAGGGCTTTGGCGAGTCGATTCCCAATCTGTAGATCCGATTCGGCTTTGTTTCCTGTTCATTTTCCAACATACTCGTACACGTCAGGTATAGCGCCTCATCTTCAGGCCAGATGAGCAACAGTTGTCAAGAGGTAGTCGCCGTCAAGGCCCAAAAGACGTGTCCACGTTCACAAATCGGCAGATTGAGCTTTCTGTTCCGAGCCCTTTAGCGGAACTCCAACTGTGCCGGCAAGCCTCTACAAGCCTCTGCAAGCCTCTGCAAGCCTCTGCAAGCTCAAGCGATGCAAGCATCAAGCCTTTGTACTCCTATTTGCGAATTTTCGTGCAGGCCCCTCGACTTAGACCAGAGGAGATGGCGATTGTGGAGCCTTGTCAAGCCACTGTTGATGGCAAAGTCTGACGAGGGTTCGAGGGATATTGACGCCACTCGTAGCTACTCTGTGTTTGGCAGCTTGGCATATGGAATCCCACAGCAGGCGCGCTTGGACAGTCCAAGTTGAGGTCCTTGCCATACAGAAGTTTTGGAGCGTGACATCTGAGGAAACGTTTGTGGACGTACTCCCCGAGAGGCCTGTCCTGTCTAATTGAGAGATCTAACCCCATTGCTGCTCTCGAAGCTCTGCGCAGATGGTTCGAGAATGGCCTGCCCCAGTCTCTACGACCACTCCGAGATGTTCTGGGACTTGCTGCTGCACCAAGAGTACTTTCGGTAAAGGATTGTTGCAGGGAGGAACTTGTGGAACTTTTCAATAGGCATCTAGGCATGGGAATCAGGGAACTGCGAACTCCCAAGCTGCCACACTGCTGCTTGTACTGAGTACTGTATGAATATGTATGAATCATACCAATCCAAGAAGCTAGACTGGAAGACCCTGCCGAAACTGCAAGGAAAGTTGTGAGGTGTTGGGACAGTAGGCATCAATAGCCCATGACATCCCGTGGCCATGACCTCCCTTACAAAGCCTTTCCAAGGACCGAGGGCTCCACCCAATTCCGAAAGCACAAAATCTGCGGCCATCGCGCTACTGCGGCGGATGCACTGAGCCTTGGCAGTACACGTTTGTTTTTTGAAGCTTTACGTATGGTTGCGTGATGTTGAGATAGAGCCGTCTTTCATGGCAGCGAGGCTACGACGAGGCCCAGGCACTTGAGCTTTGATGACGACGCGGTGCAAAAGCAGACCTTCCGTGCCCGCTTGAAGTGACTCTACGACTTCTTGCTGTGTGCCTCTCAAGGCTTGGGGTTGTTGGACAGACGTTTTTGAAGGGCACCTGGCCTACGCTGGACTTGTCTTCGCAATTAGACGTCGTGAACGGAAAGCGTGCTCTTAGAATACGAAGGCAGGTTGCAATGCAACGCAGGTTCCTGCAAGGAGATAAGGTTTGCACAATGGGGTATAGATGCGGCGCATTCCCAGCGGACTTGTAGCATGCCCGCATCAACTTTCGCCATCTTCACTTCCTAGCAATTAAACCTTGCAACATCAGCCATGTTTGTAGAAGTGTTGTCTAAACGTGTGTCTCGGCGGCTTGCGTGGTCCGCGGCCAGGCGCAGACCGCCTCTCGAGCCTGGCACAGTATAAGCATCATAAGCTCACCTGCTCCTCTAATTATTGTCCTTCAGCCCTCGACAACCCTGTCAGTTCAGCTAAGTGATGTTGAGACGGTCGTGGTACAGTCCCGCGCTGATCCTCACACAGCTCAAAAAAATGCCTCGCACAACCCCCCCAAAGCACGTCGTTCTGTATTGCAACGTAGACTTCAGCTTGGGATGCAAATGCCTGGTGCAGTTGCCTCACTTCGGATGTGCACATAGAGTGCAACCATGCTGGAGCCAATAACCAGCCCACGCGTCCTTGGCGTGGGCCGTTTGCCAGGGGGCTTGGCCAATGCACAACACAACTTTAGCATGCGCGCAAGTTCGCCTGTTCGCTACCTGCTGCGCAGCCCCGTGCAGCCTGTGACAACAAATGGCTACCCCATGCAGCCCGTGAAGACAAATGGCTACCCCGTGCAGCCCGTGAATACAAATGGCTACCCCGTGCAGCCCGTGAAGACGGATGGCTACATCCGACCAGCATCCCCGCATCTGATCCAGACACGGCGGATTCCAGTGGATAGTCAATCAACACCCCGTCTTCATCCTGGACAAGTACACAGTCGCAGCCAAGAGCCGCTGACAGTGATGCATCCAGTGCCAGTCCCGAGCCCAGCGGCAAGTCCTGGTCGTGGTGCGACCAGCCCCTTCCGGGTCTTCCGGGCATCGCCGGCAGGAGATCCAAACGACTGCTTGGTTAAGCAGCTAAAAGCTCTGCAGGAAGCCAAGGACCTCGCGGCTGCACAGCAGGCAGAAAGTGAGCAGATGATTGCCAAGCGCCAGGACCAGCTTAGAAGAGATGCTTGATTGCAAGGAGTATAGGTCGTACAGTTCACATGACCATGACGAGTTACCTTTCATCATTGCATTGGTTTATTGAGCCCCGGTTCACGAATGGCACCCTGCCCAGCTCATGGCAGCCTTAGCTCAGCCTTGCTGAGTCAAGCCAGAGCTGCTGGGCCTGTGAACTTGATACATCTTTAAACTTTAAACAGCAATCGACATACAATCAGCTAATCCTGAGGAGACGTACAAAGCTTTGTACGCCTCTGGCCTCTCCGATGTCGCTTTGCTCAAGCTGGAGTGGTACCATTCGCCCTGGTTTGCCGTGGTCGTAGATTGAAAATTTGCTCAGGACACAGAGGCTCCTCCATAAGCAGGAAACCAAGATCTAATCTCGATTCTAGTTTCCAATTCGCGTTCAAGGCACTTCGGCGCTGGCCTCCACCTTCGCTGAGTCCTTTGAGGGGAGCAGGTGACCGGGCGGACGCGTTGTCCTTCTCGTGATAGATTCCGATAGATTACGTGACTGGGGACGTTTGAGCTTCGGGTTGGAGGTGAAGCTTGAAGCATGCTCCCTGGCTATGGCATCCAGGAGAGCTCTTGGAGCCAGAGCCTCCGCTCGGTTCATCCCTGGAGGAGGTGCAGGACTGCCTGCTTTCCTGTCACTGCATTCTAGGCTGATGGGTTTGGTCCGAGAATGGCCTGAGTCACCCTGCGTCGAGTGTTGGAAACGTCAAACATTCGGGACACTTCTTATACGTACCCTTCTTTTTAAACGGCTGCACTTCAGGAAACAACTTCAGGGAACGGAGGCCGGGCTGAGGTTGCAGTCAGAGTCCGTATTCCCGCCCTATCGCCCTCTTTATCTATCTTTCTCTCTCCCTTTCCCTCGCAGCACTCGCTCCCGAAAAAGTCTGCGAAAGGTGCTCACCCCAATACCCCGCGCAAGTCCGAACGATCAGTCATTGGAGAGCGGTGCGACCCGATTGCCATGCAGTGCTTGACGCCGGAGAACTGCTAAGCACGATTTCAATCTGTCAATGCTTCCCTCCTTCCTTCCGTCCGGGATCGCTCAACATGCCACCAAAGAGCGCCTCCTCCTCCATCCATCGTGCTTGTCGAGGGGCGCCATGCTCGAAACACCGCTACACCTCGGAGGTTGTGAATGGCATGTCAAAAAAGCATTATAAAAAAAATCTCGCCACGTTCCGCATAGTTTCCCAACAGCCCAACACCCACCAAAGACGGAGCTTTCAAAGAAAGCTCCAAGTCCAGAGTCGCATTCCCTGATTTCGATTTAAAACAGGAACGCAGGGATTCCCTGGCAAAGCAGCTGCGTGCCCTTCAGGCAGCGAAGGCCAGAGTCTGATATGCGTCAGGAGCGAGGGACTTCAACGTGGGTTTCGGAGTACTTCTGCAACTCTTAGCTTGCAGCTCCTACTGAGCTACTGTAAGCCTTGCGTGCAAATTCCTCCATCCCTCGCTTGTGGCCTCAGGTCGATGTTTCTGCCAAGCAGGCCGGTCACTAGGTTCGTGCCCGCGGAGCTTTTTGAAAGTAACCCCTCGGAGACCGAGGTCTTTTCATGTCTGGCAAAATCCTTTACAGCCTACAGCAGAGTAAAAGGCAGAGCCCAAACCTGAAGAAGCTGAAGAGCGCATGCTGTCTGAGCCGCTAGGCAGAGAGCGACCACATGGTCTTGCAGCACCAGGACCTTGTTGAGCAAAGCACTCACGAGAGCCATGGCCTGCGCCCCCATCCTCCGAAGGAAGCGAATGCTAGCGAAAAAGCCCCCATTCGATCCGTGAACCCTCAGCCCTGCGCACCAGGCCCCAGAAACCCTACTTGGACAGCTAGGCCCATGACACAGGAGCCCTTCCCAGCATTGTCTGCTCACAACCTCGGCGATCTTCTAAGGCACGGGTTGTGTCAAGTTAGATGCAGGGTTTGATACAGAAAGCAGCTCGGCTTCGCAACGCGCAACCTTCATGAGATGTGTCGCTGTCTTTGCTCCACCCTTCGCTCAGGCAATGCGGCGCCCCCGCTGGGCAACATCCCGATGGGGAGACACCGCGAAGCTGGGAAGAAAACAGGTCTTTAGTTTACTGAGGTCTGTGTGGGATTCTAATTGTAGAGTTTGTTGGCTGCCTGATAGGCTCTTTGCACACACGTTCTCAGAAGTCAGACCTGACGTTGTGTTGTGCTGTCTTGATCCCGAGCCACAGCTCGTTGCGGCCCCTGCCATCTTGAGTTTGAGTTGGATCCAGGATCACCACGCCAGGACAGCACCGGGGTGGAGGAGATTCACCCCGACCCACTCATGCCTTGGCTGAACAACTTCTGAGTGTTTGTGACCTCAGCACTCAGCTGTTTGTACATTCCAGCTCCCTTGAGTTTGAATCGAAAGCAGCTGTGTGAGAGACCGCTTCACTTCCCTAAGTTTCCCATGTCCGGTTACGAACGCTGCCGAACACAGGAGTCAGCAGCGGAGCAGGAACTGCCCAGCGAAACCACAGCAAGCAGACCGAGCTTGCCGGCCCATGAACGGGCCAAGCAAGTATCCAGGGCATCCAAGGCCAGGCCTGAACGTTCGTCATAATCGGCACAACCAGAGGTTTGTACCTTACTTAGTACTCTATGGGGGAGGACATCACCTTCTAGTCGAAAGCAGCCGGATCAGGATGTGCCCAAGTCTCAGAGCTTGACCCGAAGCTCTCGAGGTGGGAGTGCGAAAACATGCGAAGACTGCATTGTTGCGTTCAGGTCGTGGGCGTAGCATGCCCGGTTCAATCATGACGGCTTCCTTCGAACCTGTATGACAAGGTCAACGCTCTTCAGGCACTAAGGCACTGAGATTAAAGCTAAAATACATTCAGAACCCTGGACATAGCCGCGACGCCAGGGGCACGAAGGTGTGACTGCAGTCTGCAGGGTTGAAAACGTTGATTTATCTCACGCAGCATGCCGCATGTGATCAACCAGAGGCAGGCGACCCTCCTCCCCGTTCTTGTCAGCGGAGGACATTCACGAATTGATTGTTTGCTTTGCCCTAGTCGCCAGCAGAAGATGACTTGCGATCGTTTATCCTGAGTTTTCATGGTTGCTGGTTTGTCTGCGAGCTTTCAAGAACAATGGTAGCCGGTCATGTCGCAACGGTATCTGCAGTGCTTTCGGGTCCCGATTTTCTGGGTGCCTTGCTTGCCAATGAAACAACAGGCTTCACTTGCCGGCAGTTGAAAGTTTCAGGGGCACGAAGAAGGAAGGCGAAGAAGCCATGTTTGTTCGCAGAGGCCTGAATGCACACAAGGGCACGAAGGTCCCTGTTGTCATGCAGCCTTCAACCCTCGACCCTGCACTCTCACCTTGAAGCCTTGCAGCTTATTTGCCTCAGCGAACGCACAAGCTCCCGCTAGTACCCCTTAGCGCCGACAGTTTCGAAGTGTGCACACAGCGAAACTCTGCAGCTTGCTATCTTCTGTGGACAAAAGAGAGGAAGCCCGGCGCTGCACGGCCGAACTTGCGGCCTTGGCGAGGAACGTGTCAGCAAAGGCCAAGCGTTTCCAAAATCATTGCGAGTCGATCGAACGTGATCACAGGGCACCATCGACCATAATCCCTCCCGGTCACATGACTTCAATCCTCCTCAGTTCTGTGCGAGCTGCAGGTTCCCAGGTCATAAGTTATCCAGGGTCCAGGATGTCCACCACCGCCGCCCGACCACCAGGAGCTGCGGGAGCTGCGCATGCTCAAGCGGTCCACTGCCTGATTGTGCCCGTAGAGTTGTCCTCATTTTTGCCTGTTTTTATAAAAGGGCCACAGCGTGGTGTTGATTCAGGCTTTCCTACTTGCCCCTGTGTCATGCAGAAATGTGGCAGTATGAAGCATCACGAGCCAGGGACAATCAGGGGTTGGCACTGAGAAGCTTCTTCAATGTCGCACTTGGCTCTGCCATGCTGCAACCCCACAATATCATACACAAACAAATGCCGCATTGCCGAGCCCATGTAGATTCAGAGAACTCCATGCCAGAACTGACAACTCCCCATTCCGAACCCTGAGCCGCAGATTCTTCGCTTATCCGCCCTGAATTCATGGCTGAGGCCTCCTCAGGCGGTGGCGAACTTGTTGGAAGCCCTGAGCGACTTTGCGGGAACAAGCAGATGGCTACAGCTCAAGGGTGGCACGGGACATTAGGAGATCATTTCCCTTTGCCTGACTTTGTAGCATCTACAAGCCACATACTCTAGAACACAGGTTCCAGAAGCCTGTGAGGCTGCAGAAGTGCAGCGCATACCTGATGTTTGAATTCCCGGGGCATGTGCTGATGCAAAATGCTTCGAATCATGAATCTGCAACATGGGTTGGGGGCAGGGGTGGGCATCTGCACCCGAAGTTCGGTCTGATTTGAGCTTCGTGCTTGCCTCATTGGGGCTTCAGGCTCCATAGCTGCAGCCTGAGATCGTGCCGAGGCATTACCCTTGGTGACAAGGACTTACGGCCAGCAAGCTTCCGGATGCTGGGAGGATTTTAGACTCCTGAACCCTTGGGAGACTTTGCAAGGCTGGCCAAGGAGGCCCGAATGCTGAACATGCAACGTAACCCACATGCTCAAAAAGATAACACTCGTGCGAGCCGAAACGCTCAAGCCGAGACACGTCAATACACTGGTATCGTTGCTGCTTCTTGCTGATGCAGATACAGTCGCTGAAGTGTCCGCCACTAGCGGCGTGGCCTAAGAGCCCACAACCAAGCTGCCACACACCCATCATCACCCATCATCACTCAGGAAGCTCCTCTCCGACTCCTTGCCCCAGCGCTTGGGAGCTGTGGATGTCGCTTCCCTAAGCTCCGCGCGGGCTGCCAAGCTTCGGCACCTTGGGATGGACTTTCGCAGCTTGTAAGAGGGTCGGTCGCACGAGTGCAATCACAAGCATTCTTCGTGATCGGGCTGCTTGCATAGAAGCGTGCACGAACCCGTAGTTGGCTTCAGCCGAAAGCTGCCTCAAGAGGGGAGGCCCTAAAGAGTCGAGTCCGGGTTGAGCGACTTGCGGGCACTCGGGGGTGCCCATTGAGCCCATTGATGGGGCTCCTTGAGTTTTGGTTCCTGGGCTTATGGTTTCTGTTTGTTTTCTATGGTCCGTGTTTCCATGCCCCCCCCCGGTCAACTGGTATGGCATGTTGTGGCCAGAGATGTACACGACTTGGGGCATGGTTCTCTTATAAGGTCGCTGCTCGGCTCGCCAGACGCAAGCGTGGAAGCTGTGTCCAGGACAATGGGTGCGTGTCTTTGAGGGAGCAGCGGTGAGCTCGCAGAGCTGGTCGTTTAGCTTCCGTAGCTTCCAGCTTTGGATGTTTTCAGGGATGGAGTAGCCCAGCCAGATGATGCAGTCTCCTAGGCAAAGGGGTGGAGGGTGCACAATACCGACATTGCAAGCAGTGAGCTGCACGTGGTGGTCAAATGCATATTTGTGTCATGGTCGGTGCAAGATTCCTGTACTGGGGAAGAGCTCCGTAGATCTCTTTGCTTTCGAACAGAGATGCCTGATTGTGAGCATGTTCAACCCCTGGTGGGGGGTCAGCAAGTGTGGAAGTGCGCAAGTGCGCGCGCGTGTACGTGTAAGTGTAAACGGAAGTGTGTGTAAGTGTGTAAGTGTGTAAGTGTGTAAGTGTGTAAGTGTGTAAGTGTGTAAGTGTGTAAGTAAGTGTGTGTGTGTGTGTGTGTGTGTGTGTTTGTGGTGTGTGTGTGTTTGTGGTGTGTGTGTTTGTGGTGTGTGTGTTTGTGGTGTGTGTGTTTGTGGTGTGTGTGTTTGTGGTGTGTGTGTTTGTGGTGTGTGTGTTTGTGGTGTGTGTGTTTGTGGTGTGTGTGTTTGTGGTGTGTGTGTTTGTGGTGTGTGTGTGTGTGTGTGTGTGTGTGTGTGTGTGTGTGTGGTGTGTGTGTGTGTTGTGTGTGTGTGTGTGTGTGTGTTTGTGTGTGTGTGGTGTGTGTGTGTGTGTGTGTGTGTGTGTGTGTGTGTGTGTGGTGTGTGTGTTGTGTGTGTGTGTGTGTGGTGTGTGTGTTTGTGTGTGTGGTGTGTGTGTGGTGTGTGTGTGTGTGTGGTGTGTGTGTGTGTGTGGTGTGTGTGGTGTGTGTGTGTGTGTGTTTGGTGGTGTGTGTGTGGTTGTGGTGTAGTTTTGTGGTGTGATGTGTGTGTGTGTGTGTGTGTGTGTGTGTGTGTGTGTGTGTGTGTGTGTGTGTGTGTTTGTGTTGTGTGTGTGTGTGTGGTGTGTGTGTTTGTGGTGTGTGTGTGTGTGTGTGTTTGTGGTGTGTGTGTGTGTGTGTGTGTGTGTTTGTGGTGTGTGTGTGTTTGTGGTGTGTGTGTGTTTGTGGTGTGTGTGTGTTTGTGGTGTGTGTGTTTGTGGTGTGTGTGCTTGTGGTGTGTGTGCTTGTGGTTTCTGTGCTTGTGGTTTCTGTGCTTGTGGTTTCTGTGCTTGTGGTTTGTGTGCTTGTGGTTTGTGTGCTTGTTTGTGTGTGTGTGTGTGTGTGTTTGTGTGTGTGTTTGTGTGTGTGTGTGTGTGTGTTTGTGTGTGTGTGTTTGTGTGTGTGTTTGTGTGTGTGTTTGTGTGTGTGTTTGTGTGTGTGTTTGTGTGTGTGTTTGTGTGTGTGTTTGTGTGTGTGTGTGTGTGTTTGTGTGTGTGTGTGTTTGTGTGCTTGTTTGTGTGCTTGTTTGTGTGTTTGTTTGTTTGTTTGTTTGGAAGCCAAGGCGCCATGTTGAGAGGCGTCACGCTCTGAGGCTTGCACTTTGAGTACTGCCACGGTTCCGCGACCCTGCACCTGAAACTTGTGTTCCATGAGAAGCCTTGATGAAGGTCAAGGCGAAGGCACCCCAACACTTCCTGTCCTCCTTCCGACTCTGCAGTCACCTCGCCTTGCGCATCGCTTTGCCAAAGCTCGACCCGTGGAGGGGCTTGTTGAACGTGCCCCCTGTTTTTACTCAATCTCACCAGCTCTTTGCTCTTGAGAAAGTGAAACTCGCCGGTTTTTTGTGGTTGCCGTCGTCAACAGTTTTGTGGTGCTACTTCTGCAAGGTGCAAAGCTACAGCCCATCTCAACAGAAATCACATGGTCGGCGTCAAGTACCTCAAAACGTCGACCAGTCGAGCCCCTTTTGGTCTTCAACGTTTCTAGACCCCGGGGAGCTCCGTCTGAATTCCGGCCATTGTAACATGCCGCGGAAGGCAACCCAACGTGCTTGTGCGCGAAGCGACCCGAGCAACTATAGGATGACAACTTTTCCATTGCCCTGAACAACTGGGACGGGACTCGATTCGGTCGACAATGTCATCAGGATCTGTCGGCCATGCGCTTCCCTTGCCGAATGGTGTGGCTGCCTTGACCTCAGCTCCATGCTTTGCTTGCGATTTCGCTATAGCAGCACTGATGCCTAGATAGCATGGTGGGCAAGCTCACACGCGGCCCATTCCCAGAAGATGGTCATGCTGGCAGTGAGGTCTGAACTCCTGCTTGTCTCGAGATCAAGATCATCCAGACCTGGGTAGCAGAGAGCAGCAGATGCTCAGATATGCAAATAGTCCAGCACTTTGGCTTCCTCTAGCTACTGGTGTAGCATCGCAGGCATGAATGGAACAAACGTGCAAAGCGTAGGTTGGAGGTGAGAGGATGGGCATTTTCGCAGCCAAGGACAGTTTCAACGCAGAGGTCCCAGTCAGACAGCGGCACACCACGCCCTGCCGTAGACCAGTCATACTTGATTGTGGAGCCAGATCTGTCGCAGATGAGCAGGGATGTGTCTTGGCGGCCTGGGCCAGAGCTTTCTCTTGTTTCGAATGCTGCTAAAGTCATGGATGGCCAGCCGAAATGCCAACCCCTGAGATTCAACGACGAAGCATTCACGTTTCTGAGGAATTGGCGGAAGTGTGGGACCTGACGGTGACGAAGCCTGACATCGGCACTGTCGTGCCTCGGACACATTCGCTGGGTGGCGGCTTCAGGACTTCTTGTCCGCGAAGCAGAGGCGAAACTGAAGTTTAGGGCATTTGGCGGCTCTCCACTAACGCGCATCTTTTTTCGGCATTATTGTCCTACGTTTCTGTGCTCTGAGTTATGGCATTTCGATATCTGGTCAAAGTGATCCTCCATTGTGTGGTACTTTCGCTTCACATCCAAGAACCCGCACTCAGAAAGTCAGAAGGTAGCGAGCTGAACGTACTCAGGTGTTCCATGGCACCACAGATTGCAGAGATTTGGACATTGCCGAAACGGTTGTGCTCAAGAGAGGTTATGCGGCTCGGCTGCACTTGACTGCACGGCTTGCGGCAGGCGTCATCCCCCAGGCAGCGCACAAGGAGCTCAAGCCATGCTTACTTGAGTTCTGCATTTTCTGGCTGGTGAGGTGCTCGTCTACCCAGATCCAGCCAAAAAGCCGCCACCTGGCGAGGGCTTGAACAAGCACGCCACCGTGACGATGTACCAGTGCTTTCCCCCAGGCTGTTGGGATCTGTTTGGCAGTTGGGACGGGGCTGCCGGGCACAATTTAAATGCTTGCATACCGCACAAGCGTGCTAAGCCACGCGTGTCAATAACGACTCGCACGCCTGCGCCCTCCAATAAGACAACCTGCATGTTCTGCTGATTTCTGCTGCCTCAGCATCTCGGAAGTAGCACTTCCATCATTGAGTTCCGTGCCACCAGGTTGCCCGTGCTCGTGCCATAGAACAGCGCTTGAAGTCAGGCGGCCACGTAAAGGATGAGGAAGCGCTGGCGGAGTACAAGGCGGCAGAATGCTGTGCTGGTGCTGGCCGTTAAGTTAAGGAAAGCAAGTCCCGTGTGCCTTTTCAGGTTTCGGCTACCAAGCTGCATTCAAACCTTTCGTGCCCCAAATCTGGGGGCAGACGGGCTGACAAACCATTGGGCAGGTCAAAATCAAAGAGATGACGGAAGAGAAAAGCACGTGCAGATTCATCGACTACGACTGCTTGACGGGTGTTTGGAAGTTCGAAGTCGAGAGGTTCTGAGCTGCTAAGCTCAAACTGTCATGGCCACGCCATGTGTCCTTCCGAGCTGCACGAAGTCAAGAAGTCAGCGTTCATAGAGAAGTTGAAAGGCTTCTTCTTTACGGGTTGGAAGCTGATGGGGCTACTCATTCTTGTTCCAACAGCTCCACGATGTAGTTGAATTGCCCCTGTCCGAGGTCACACTGAGCTGTTATTGCTGTTAGCTTTTCTGTTCTCCAGAACTGGAAGTTGCATGGTCGGCTTTGGATCTCGCAGAGACATCCAGCTAGTCTGTGCCAGTTCTGATCGCTTGAAAAGGCGTGCGTCCGGATGCCAATGCTCGTATCCATACAGGCGACTGCGGGCCGACGACCCCTTACTTGTCAGAGCATCATTAGATGGTAGTTTTCCCGAAGCATGGGAAATTCTGAAGCAGGCTGTTGCGGAGTGTCCCGGACCAGAGAGCCGAACCCAAAAACCAACCCCCCCTAGCTGAAGGCGCCTTGTGTATAACGATTGCTTCAGCACCACTTGCTCAGAATAGGTCAGGCAGGCATGTCGTGGCCCTGCAGTTGAGCTGTTTCACCGAGCCACAGCCCCCGCATCGATGGAGCTGAGATCTACACCAGATGCCAATGTGTTGACCTCTGTTGACTACGCTCCTCCGTCCATGTTCTTAGCCCAATTCGTTGTGCCTTGGCTGTGGGCTGTTGCGGACTCTGGCACGTTCCCAACATTTCCCAACTGCCAAAGTCTCGAGTCCAACAAATGACAAAAGGGATGGAGCGTCTCGGCGCTGGGCAAGAACATTCGGCAGGCAGAGCAATGAAAGGAACTTCGGCGCCGATGTGCTTTCAGCAGCTTTGCGTTCTGCCGCCAAGAAAGTTTTCCGCAGTAGAGGCTTGCATGCACAGGTCAGCTGAGGTCATGATGAAGTGTATCCGCAGAATATTGCTAGTTACGTTGAGGCATAAGATCGATGACGCAACTGTCAAAGGGAACACTGAATTTATTGCCTCGCGTGCTAGTTCGAGTAATCATGGGCGGTCCATGTGTAGGCCCTTCCATCGGTCCATGCCGCTATCAAGCTAAGGCCCCATTTGCTTCACAGAGTTCCGAACCGGCGCCGTGCCGCCCTCGCTTGCCAAACGCTGTATATTCGGAAGATGCGTTCGTGCAATGCCCATTGCTCGTCTCAAACCCGTGAGTAACCAGAGACTTTCACAACAGAATCTTCCACGGGCCCCCTCAATGCTTTGCGAACTGTTGTTTAGAGCTGGCACTTGAGTAGTTTTGGTCCCGGCAGGTTCAAAGCTCCCATGCCCCATGCTCAAGCAGCTTTGCCATGCTTAAAGGGCACGTAAGCTCAATTCGGAACAGTACCCAAGCTGTAGTCGCCAACGAAGCCGTGAAGTGATTGCTGTACAGTTGTGAGAACCGTTCATGTCAACGCTTGATAGTTGACACGTTTTATCACTTTGGAGTCAGGTGCTGGCACAGCTGCTGGGGCCCCGTCGTTGTCTGGAGCAGCAAGGGGGGTATTGTTTGTTCACCAAATTGACCCACAGGGCGCATTTGTCTTTGAGTGTAGATGAAACAGACTTCAGACCCAATATGAGACGGACTCCTCCTGATCGAGCCAGTCTTCACGGGGAATCCGTACTTTGCAATCACAACAAGCGCGGCGAAACTCAACAACCACAAGAATGCTGTCGACCTTTCATCTGCTGTGTGGACCCGAAGCAGCCTCACTTTATCGCTTCACCTCAAGAGCAGAGGTCGTCTTGCATAAGGAGCTTTCGTGACAAGCTTCCTGCTCTCTTCAGGCCTTGTGGCCACTGCTTCCACTGGGTCGGTTCCCAAGTGCGTATAGTCTGCCTTGCGGGCTGCGAGGTGCATAAATACACTATCCTTATGTAAAGTAAAGTACTAAAGAAAACTTCCCTAGTCGCGATATGTCTGCGTTTGCGTGAATGAGCTCCCCGCTTTTCAGTCACGAAGTACTCACACCCATGGATTGCTGAAGGTCATGCCTTCAAAGCATTTTGTAGCAGCAATCGCAAACAAAATTCGCGTGTTATCCCAACTGGACTACTCAGACATCATTGAACCCTTGTTCGGGTGCTATCAGTTCACTGCTGCAATTAAAATTTCAAGCACGATCGAAGTTCACAGCTGAGCCCGATGTTTCATTGCTTCGATTTGCCCGAGTGGCTTGGGCAGCTGTGTGTGTGCACACTCCTGTGTAGCAAACGTTTATTACCATTGTTGGCACTGTTTGTGAAGGGGGCAATGGCCCGCCCATGACTCCGCTGCCAGCGTGAGAAAATGTTGCGCAACATTGCCTTCACGGGATAAGTAAAGATTCCACAGATGAAGGTGCAGTATGCGTACATCCTACGACTCCTTCGAATTGAATCCTGCGCAAGTACATGTTTTGAGTGTTGCTGCACGTATCAACTTGCAGTTTCAAAAGATGTTTCAGGACTTCTTGCATTTTGTACACTCATGTCTGACATCCTCGCGGTGCATTGTTGCGTCGGCTTGTTTGGCTTCATTGGAAAATGCCACATGCGCATGGTGACATCACATGAGTTGGGTGTGCCTTCTTGTCAGCTTTTCTTTGTCTTGCTGAATGCTTGTGGCAGCAACATCCTTGGAAGCCGAGGGTTGCATCGATGCCTGGCTCCTTCGAAGCAGGCAAGAGGAATTGGGAGTGCTTGCATGCTTGACTTTTTGCTTGCCGGTTGTCTAAAAGGATCACGGGATGTTGCGGGAGCATCTCGGGTTTCAACGCTTTCGATGTGCTGGCGCCGCCATGCGCCGCTATGCACCCCCCCTTAGTCCATGCTTCAACGAAACGCTTGAAACGTTTATGCTGTGCTCAGTTTTCCCTGGTCCCCCCCCCCCCCCCAAATTTTCGCCCAGATTCCCGCCGAGCTGTTTGTGTTGGTGTGTGTGTGTGTGCCTGTGCCCAATCGTTTTGTACCAATCTTTAGTGTTAATACAATAGTATTTGAAGCGCTTCGGTGCCGGCCTCTCATTGATGGTTCCACCCTGTGTACTTAGACTTGGACTTAGACTTGGCAATGCCTCCGACCCTTGACTGCACTCTGCTTGCGGGCTGTGAAACCTCATTCCACCGGCTGGGATGAGTGTGAATGCACACGTGAACGCACGAAGATGTGGTCGAGCTGAACAGTAAACAGATGTGGAGATGAACTCAACATGCCTGGCAGTTCGTGTCCCATGCGCTGTACCCTGGGTGCTGCTGACATGACGGAGCCGGCTTCGGACACTGGTGTAACAGTGTAACGTAAGAGGACTGGCCTTTGTAAATGGTTTCGTGATTTTTTGTGGCTACTCTATATCCATCAGCTGTACAACTGTGCTACTGCGCCAGCTGGGTTTCGCTTAGGATCCCAAATAGCCACCGCAGACTGGACAGGCAGCAAAAGTTTGGGCTGCCTTATCATGACTCTTGTTTCATGATGAGAAGTTGCAGTGCCAAGGGTAAAGTGATGCTAAGCATTTCGCAAATCGCATACGGAGCATGGTGCCGGGCTCATGATGTGAGCACAAAGCTGCCGCATGCATGACAAACGAAGAGCACAGGATACTCAAGCTGAATGCAAACAAGCAAGCGGCTGGCACAAGCACAAGAAGCAACAGCCGTGCGAGACACAGACGAGCAAATTACCTCAGCAACAGATTGCAGCAGTTTGAACCAGGACTTTGCCATGTCGGGGCCTTCGGGAGCGTCGGGACCCATTGCAAGCCCACGCTTGTTCCTGACACCACCTCGGCTGCCAACACCTCCGCCTTTGCTGATGCCACTTGTGCCGTGCCCCTTAATTGTGCCTGGGCCTGTGATGCATCTCTGTTGTTGATGGCTCTTGAGGGCACCTGTTGGAATTTGCGTGGTTCTGTCGGTCCCACACTGCTGTTTGAGATTCGAGATGGGTACCCAGGTCAACACACCGCCGCAGCAGATGCAGCAGCCACAGCAGCCACACCCAAATCCTCCGAACCCAATCAGCTTCCATGGATCCTGCAACGTCTCTCCCAGGGGAGCCAGGGGGCCTTCGCCTACTCGCCGAGCTTGGTCGCCTCCACCGCAAATAATGCCAAGGGTCCTTTCACCGGCAGCCCAGAGGGAGGCACCGACTAACCTGTACAGTCCCCGCACGCTTGTGCCACAGGCAACTCACCATGCACACCTCCAACATTCCCCAAGGCAACATCAGCGCTCTCCAGTGCAGTTTCAGCCGCACGCCCTGGCCCAAAGCCACATGCAGGCTCGCAGTCCCCCCAGGCCCATGCAGCCCATGCAGGCTCAGAACCATCAGAGCCCCCCTCCCACACCCATCACCCACAGTCAACCAAGGCAGATCCACCCAATTGTGCATGCTCCGCCACCAGCGCAGGCCCATGCCAAGACCATGCCTGCAGCTCCTGGCAGCCATCCACCCGCCAGTTGGGTGCCAGCCTCCCCGCGTGTCCCAGAACCATTCCAAAGACCTGCGTCTCCGCACCTAATCAACACTCAGCACTTGCCCGTGGAGTACATCGCCTCGCCAGAACAGATGTCCCGAGGCTGCATTTGGCAGTCTGCCACTAAGTTGAGATCGCCTTTTGGAAAGCACTCAAGTAATTGCAATTTGCCCAATGACTGCATTTTTGGTGCAATGTGCGCAATGTGCTTTTGGTATGGTGACGTCGACCTCAGCCAAGCGCTGGCCAAGGTACCGCATGCTCGCTTCGCAGGGCAGAGCCATGGCGCCACCTGGGGTCCTGCAGCTAGGACGAGTCAACAACTGTAATCAACTAAGTTCAAGGAGAAGCAGCCTCTTTTGCCCAACATGTCTCGGAGAAGCTTCTGGGCTCGGCGTAGCTGAGGCAGCTGTCTGCGCGTTCTAGCCCAGAGCTTACGCCGCGCAAGCTGGCGACCTCAGACAAGCTCAGCCCGAGTCCAGCTCAGGAGGAAGTGTGAGAAGTCATACAAGACTAATGATGACATGAAAATAGGCATTATATACAATCAATACGCAGGGCCTGAAATTGAAAATGCGGAAATCTGACGACACACCGCGCGCTTTTCATTGCACACGCTGTGTGTCGACTGAGCACTGACTGTCCCAAAGCAGGAGCCCGTAGACTCTTTGGCAAAGCAGCTGCGTGCCCTTCAGGCAGCGAAGGCCACGCGATGCTGGGGAATCATGCCTTGCGGTTCGTAGTCGTGAAGTCAAAAAGATGTGGAGCTCTTGGGATGGAGAAGCCACGAAACATCAAGACAGGCACAAACAGAGGCACAATGATTCAATGATCATCCCAAAAGCTGTGAACTCCGGAACAGGCATGGTCAGGCTGAAGGAACGGGCCTGCAACCGCCTGTCACTGTTCAGGTCGATGCTGCCGCCAAGCAGGCCTGTGGAACGACCTTTCCTGGTGCATTTTGTGCCATTTTGTTATTCAATTCTCCATCACCCTACAGTGAGGCCGTCAACTCCAAACCTTCAAAGCTCAGAGTGCTAGGACTAGTAGCGCCATAGAGATCGCCCCCCGGACCTGAACCAGAAAACCACGTCAGGCAGAGAGCGACCAGTTGATAGCACAACGTCAGGACTGGTTGAGAAAGGAGCTCTTGGGATTTTCGAAAAGTCGCAGGGCAGGGAAACTCGAGGACTGGCTTCTCGCATGTCGTAAATGCCTTTTTTGGGACTTGTCTCTGAAGTCCACAACATGTAGATGGTGTTGCTGTTTGTGCTCCACATTTTGCTCCAGCAAAATCTGGTCCACATTTTTTTCTAGGCAGGGTGTTTGGGACAATATTTTTCTAGAGAAGCAACAAGAACCACAAGTTTTTAGACAGCTTGAACTATAGAGAGTCCGTGAACAATTACGAGATCTTGACCAAGCCCGGAATGGGGGACTTTGAAAAGGAAGGGTTCTTACTGAGTGTGCAAATCAGGCTCCAATGTAACGAACATGCCGAAGAAAAGCCTTAGCATCGAAATTCTTTCGATAAATAATCCTATTTCATGGGAAGCTGCGTGGTTGCAGCCCAGCACTGGTGGCAAAGCCGCTTCTTTTCTAAAAAGCCCTGTGCAAAGCTTTGTATACGCGGGTCAAGACGTACTACGACATCCAGGGGGATGTGTGAGCAAGACCAGTACCTAGACGTTCAGACAAGATGCGCCCCAAACAACCACTTCGGGAGCGAACAAAAACAAGCACATGTGTTCATTCCCACCTGGCATGCGCAGTTGGCAGGGCATTCGGTGCGTTCGCAAGGAGACTTTCTCTGCGTTGTCCGCTCACAACCTCGGAGATCTTCTGAGGTGCAGACATGTGAAAGAGTGAAAGAGTACCGACGCCATTGACCGCTATTATTGTGTCCTTGGATTCACCATGCACCATAACAGGCGATGGGGCGCACCAGAGCAACCTCCCGACTGGGAGTCGCCCCGACGCTGAGAGAAAGCTTCAGTTTGTTCAGTCTTTGTTTTGCTAGCAGGTTTTTGAGAACATGCACTTCCTTTTTGAACGAAAGATATTGCTCATTGCAGCCCCCTTTGAATCTAATCCAGGATCACGCCATGAGACCCTGGCCGAAAGCCCTGTGCCAGTGGTGGAGGAATCGCCACACGAAGCACAGGAGGCCGTAGATGAAAGCCAGGAACAGGTGCCGGAGGAGCCTCTGCAAGTTCAAGCATGGCACACTGCTGCGTGGTGCATGCCATGCGCACTGGTATTCACGAGTTATAGACAGGAGCCGCCAGCAGTGGAGCCGGAGATACCGCAGCCACCCAGCGAACCTGCACCGCCGCCAGCTCATGAAAGGGCCAAGCAAGCATCCAAGGCCAGCTCATGGATCCGGCATTTTGAGTTACCTTGACATTGGCTGGGCCGATTTTCGCCATGCAGTATGCAACCAGCCTACATGGCTACACGTACTGTTTTCGGTATCACGTGCAAACACAACATAGCGATTCCGACATCGTACAGAGCCTAGCGGCCTAGCGGCTTCAACACACACGATTAAATGTGTAGCTCTTGCAAGCCAAGAGCACGCCTCCTAGTGTTACATGATTATCTTCATGATACAATCTGATGCAAAACACTCATGTCCATATAAGCATATGCACATCATGTTGTATGTAATACGAACTCCCCAATATCGTGGTACAATTGCGTGCAGCTCACACGGCGGCAAGATGTTGGATAGTGTCGTGGAAAACTGAACCATAGAAACATGAGCTTCCCCTTTCGCAGCCCTGGATCTTGAATAATCTGAATAATGCAGTGAGTAGTACACTCATGCAGTTTTCCTCACTAAAGCAGGCGATAAAACAATCACGCACTTAAAGTGTAAAGATGTTTTCAAGTGGCCAAGCTTAGAAAACAAAGCTTTGGAGCCAATTGGCTCTGGTCTCACGTCCATCACAGCTTCCGGTTGCTTACAGATGTTTCATGCCCGTGTCATGCATTTGTTATCTTGATCATGGCTCGTCTAGCTTTTTTAATTTATGAAGAGTCAAAGAGCGAACGAGAAGTTCAAGTAAACCCGCAACAGCCCATAATTCATTGCACTTGAGAAGTTCAGGAAATAGTCGCAAGTCAAAACTATGAAGACCACAGCACGCTGATGTCGCCTTGACGATTACAATGAGTAGACGAAAAGCAGAATAGAACATAAATGATTTCGATTATGGTTATCTTTCTTCTTCGAGGTTCGCCCTCATTTCAGCAAGTGCCAGGCTTCCGTTTCAAGTACCTCGCGCACATCGGATCCAGAAGTGCCCAAGGAGCTCGCATCTTTAAACTGTCAGGAATGCTGAGACCCGCCACGACTGCTGGCAGCGGTCAAGAGAAGAACCGCCGGTCTTTGTTTGAAGATGCGTCCCTGGATGGAAGGCCGTCACGAATAGTTAAGAGCCACGAGTGCGGCAGACTTGAGAAAGAGTACCTGCACCTGTCAATTCCTGCAGATGTGGAAAGTGAAATTTCGCCCAAGGAGCCATCCCAGAGCTTGACCCAGAGCTCTCGAGGTGGGGAGAGTGCCAAACAGTCCCAGGCTTCCAAGGATTGCGAGTCTGGGCCGTGTGGCTGTGGTCACCCTGCAGGCCCGCGGCCGTCGTCGCTGTCCTTATCAGCGGAGGATGCCCCAACAGCAGATTGCTGTGTCGGTACTGGGGTGACGGCGCATTGCCCATTTTTGCAACCACAGCAACTGAAGCGCTGCCTTTGCAATGTCTTGCAATCGCTTAGCAAGCTACCCATGGAGACCTGTACATACCGAAGTATCGGCACGGTGTGTTCCAACATTCTACTATGCATTATGGCATTATGTCTTATGGTGCCACACTGTGCCCTGTTGGCTGCACATCAGGGATAGCACGATTTTCCAAAACAAGTTTGTGCCACTCGAGAAGCAAAAGAGAGGAAGCCCGGCGCTGCACGGCCGAACTTGCAGCCTTGGCGAGAAACGTTTCAGCGAAGGCCAGCGGTTGCGAAGAACATTGGGAGTCGACGCGCGTGATTGCATGTGATCGTGGGTACCCTTGACATCCCTTGACCATGGTCCATGATCCCGGCCTGAATACTCCACCAGTCATCTTCCATTCTGTTGCGATCCCCCAGGAGCTGCGCGAGCTGCGCATGCTCAAGCGGTCCTGTGCCTGATTACATCGAGTTCCTTACAGATGGCTCCGCAGAGTTGCGTTGATTCAGGCTTCAATGTTTTCATGCTCTGAGGCCCCCTCAGGCCGTGATGAAACTGCTGGAGGCCCTGAGCAGCTTTGCGGGAACTGAATCTCGGGAGCCTGGGGCTGGAGGGAACCCATGCAATCCATGCACATATCCACATATCTTCAGGGCAGGATCTGCTATTCAGGCCTAGATAGGTACCGTACTAGCAGGTGCCTGTGTGAAAGAGTTGGCCCTTGAATTTACAGGATGTGTAGACATATGTGTAGGCTCTTTAGGCTGCGCATTGACTTAAAACAATTGCATTCCATGGCCATACGCAGACCAGCTGGCGAATCCTCAGTAAGAGCAATCCGTCTGGACGGCGCCGGTTTCATGCGTACGCTGTGGTGAGCGCTCGGTGTGTGGCGAACAATAGTTGAAATGCATCGCGACATAAGAGTCGACCGTGGTCACAACGTGCCAATACCGCGAGCCACTGCAGTGATAGGGACCGTTGCTATCACTCTGTTGCAGACGAAAACAAGGAGAACGCATAAGCGTGGAAAGCGGATCTGCCTGTCCAGTCGGCTGCTTGTTGCAGGTTATTGTCAGCTCTGGTTCTGAACTTGAATATGCTTAAGTCCTCCCGTGTGCTCCCAATCTTCTCGATGCTGTGCAGTGGCTGGTCTGGAGTGAGCTCTGAGCCTCAACTTCATGACCCATCTCCTTCCATTGGAAAACATGAGACGACTCTAGAATCTGCACTGGAAATACTGGAGCTGGCACCATGCCCTGCACAGAGACTTCAGAGTCTACAGCGGCCGAGGTATTATCTTGGGTGAGAAGGACCTGCGGCCAGCGAACTTCCGGATGCTGGGAGCAATTAGTTAAATTGCCACACGCTGGCTTCACACTTCCCTACTTGCTCATCTTTTTGGACGGTGCCGAATCTTCACTTGCTATTGGCACGAGAACCAAGATAGAGCAGGATCGCAAAACAAGGCCGAAACTGCTGAAAGCCCTGCGTCATCCTATGTAGTTCCATGTACTCCGGACATGCCTACACGCGTTCACCGACACCTCCTTCTCTCAACTCAGGAAGCTCCTCTCCGACTCCTTGCCCCAGCGCTTGGGTGCTGTGGACGTCGCTTCCCTGGGCGCCGCGCGGGCTGCCAAGCTTCGGCATCTTGGCAGACGAGCTTTTAAAGGCTTTTCCGCGAGTGCCTGAGCATTCACTTCTCCACAATGATGTTCTATAGTCTGAGTATCTTTTCATGAGCTGCGTGTCGCAGGAGTCCTCGGCACAGGTAGATGCACCGTTTGTCCAAGGTCGCTGCTCAGCCCTCCAGATGCGAGCGCAGAAGCTGTGTCCAGGATACCGGGCGTTTTTCCAGGGAAGGAAGTGGCACGCTTGGTTCGTTCTTGGGATCTGTGGATGGAGTAACAGTGCCACCGCCTCATCTCGAGCATGTGTTGCAACAAGCGTTTCTTCTTCGAGCCGGGAGACCTTTCAAATCCTTTCAATGAAACTTTTTTGCACTTGCACATGAGCTGAAGCAAATAGAGTTTAAGGCGTGTTTTCCTCGGAGATCGTTTATGCTACTGCAGAAGCTGTGGGACAGACAGGATTTGTCGACCATGCACTTCCCTGGCTGAGTGGTGTAGCTGCCTTGACCTTGGTTGCAGGGGCTTCGTTTGTGGCATCGGCACATTCAATCTGTTGCAGGTTGGCTGCTGGAGATACCATAAAGCACGCACTCGGCGTGCTCTAGCTAGAAAACCAGTGCCTAGCAGCTTGACACCACAGATGATTTCTCCCCCGTCCAGCCGGATGTGAGTGCTGAGGCTTGTATTCCTTCCTGTCTCGAGCACAAGATCACACAGAGCTGGAAAATAAGGAGAAGCAGCTGCTTGGACGTGCACATTGAGCACGTGGCTCCCTCATAGATTCTGCCGCCCGCAGCCAAGGACCGGTGAGCCTGAGAAGTCACAACCAGACACCGCGTCACGCCCTGCCGTGGATCACTCTAAGCTAATTGTGGAGCCAGACCTGTCGCAGATGACAAGCGACGTGCCTGGGACATATCTCGGCGTCATTCGCTGCTGTGTTCTTTGTTGCACGAATGCTAAGTTTATGATTATCTTGACTGGCTGCAGCCGCTGACAGCAATTCCGCAGGAAAGCTTCCGTTGCACAATGTTGCACAGGAACAATCTTCACGGCTGATCAAGCAGCTGGGCCACCCCATGATGCCATTAAACATCGTCAAACTCTAAGGAACTGTCAGAAGTGCGTGACTTGACCGTGACGAAACCGGACATCGGCACCGTTGTGCCTTGGCTACATGTTAGTGGAACATGGAGACAGATTGAGCAGAGCGTGCCTTTCGAGCCGTTTTTTTTGTGACTTGCACGAGAAGAAATGCCAGCAGCATTCCTCGACTTTGTTTGTAATGATGTAGACACACACACACCACAACATTGACGCAGTCACCTGACAAGTATCAAGAGGCAAGCGCTCCAACGATGAAGCATCTCAAGCATGGGCATTGCCGGAGCGGAGCTGCGAACAAGAGAGAACGACAATGAAGCTTGCAACAATGTGAAGCTTCGGGCCTGCAAGCCGACACAGACGCTGTACGGCTTAATGAATGTCCATTCCTGATCACAATGCTCTCTAAGTCTCCAACATGTAGTTAATGTATGTTACCATGTTATGCACTCGGTGGACGTGCCAGCAAGGGGTAAGACAGAGCGTAGTGGCGCAGCAATGTGCTCAACTCAAGGTCTTCCATGGCCTCACGGATTGTCGAGACCTGGACATTGCTCAGACGGTGGTGCTCAAAAGGGGCTATGCGCCTCGATTCTGCCTAGTTGTGCACAGGAAGGCGCATGTGCAAGGTTTGATTGGCTGAGCCTTAAGCTTCTTGCTCAGAACCTGAACGTAACGAGCATAAAAGGTTGGTAAGATGCTGCTACGGCATCACTTTCCAGAGTGCAGAGTGGAGTGTTTGCGCTGTTTGGGTGTTGTGCTGACCGTTGCACAGGTGCTGGTCTACCCAGATCCGGCCAAAAAGCCCCCACCCGGCGAGGGCTTGAACAAGCATGCTACCGTGACGATGTACCAGTGTTTTCCTCCAGGCCTTTGTTTTGCTGGCGAAGTGTAAGGAGATGTTCTGCACAGACCTCAACGTTCTTGTAAACTTGGATTGGCAATCGTCAGGTGGCCATGTGAAGGATGAGCAAGCACTTGCAGACTACAAGGCGAGATGGAGATGGCGATGACGATTCGATGCTGCTTGTTGTGCTGGTTCTGTTCGCATGGGTCAGTCGTTTCATCGCGGTTCTACCTTCGACGGGATTCACGCGAAGAGCCAGGGAATTAGGGGAGGGGGCGCAGGCCAGAAGGCAGGGAAGGGGGTCCGGGGGGGCGGAGGGGGGGGGGGCCAGGCCCGGAACAGGCCAGAGAGGGCCAGAGGAGGGCCAGAGGGAGGGGGGGGGGGGGGGGGGGGGTAGGGGAAGAGCGGTGGAGAAAAGGGCGTTTTCGGCTCAAGGGGTACCCCCCATGGACCCTGGATTTCAGGATTTTGGGGTCAGTGTTCAGAGGGCGTGCGCAGAGGGGGGCCCAGGGGCCCAGGGGCTACAGGGTGGTGGACTTCTGAAGTAGAACAGTGTTCGTAACACTCCTCGAGATGTAATGCACCTTCGACGGAAACGAGCTGTTGTGCATAGTGATAGACGGATAGACCTATTCCGAATGACGTCGTGTACTGCGTTCATCAATACAAAAGGCATGTCTCCACAATCGTGCGCGCGTGAAGATCCCGTCCGCACGTTTTTACTTCTCATATGGTTGCTAGGTTGGCCGATTCCTCTCTGATCATGGTGCAGGGTCTGCATGCCGGGATGAAGTAGTAAATCGCTTGCTAATTGCAGACGACACGCTGCAACCACGATTCCAGCAGGTGAAAATCAAGAAGATGACCGAAGAGAAAAGCGCTTGCACATTCATCGACTACGACTGCTTGACGGGTGTCTGGACATTCGAAGTTGAAAGGTTCTGAGCACTTCTGCGCAGCTCAGCTCAAATGATGTTGAACTTGGAATGATCCAGGGGAGAGTTGTAATGCTTGTGCTGAAAAACAAGCGCTGCTCCAGAACGGCTCATGAAGTTTGCACCTTGTCCAAGGTCACTCTGAGCTTGTCTGCCAGCTTCTCTGTTCTATTCCTGTTCTTCAGAATCGGCAAAGTATTTTCATCTTGACAGATGGTTAAAATTTATGCCAATTGCGTTCATAGCTGCAGCTAGAGCTAGAGTCGGTTCTGATCCAGATGCCAATGATGGTGTGTTGTCTTATGTGCTTGTGGGCTGTCGACCTGCCAGCATTCCAGAATGAACGAGAATGCACCCGCAAAGATCTTGCTTGAAATGGAGCACCCCCAACTTTGCACAACCTCAACTCCTAAACAGTGGCAGAGGAAAGCAAGAATCAGTGTATGGGAATTCCTGCACCCCTTTTTACACTCCCCCGCTGAAGGATGTGTCACTTGCTCAATCTTGCCTATATCTGGCTAGGTCGTGGCCCTGCAATTCAAGCTGTTTCACCAAACCTGCCGCATCGTTGGGCATGCGCCCGATAACCTCGATTCCAAAGCCATCACGGCTCTCCACCACATTTGTTGTGTTGACATGTATTGATTGCCGTCCGCCCATGTTCTTCTTCAGCCTAGAAGATAAAGGCCCTTGCGTCCAGTTCGGTGTGCCTTGCATTGCGGAGGCTAGGCTGTCATGGACTTTGGCATGTTCCCCAGCCACCCTATGCATGGCACAAGTGAGGTAATTACATGGATTTTAACGCTGGTGCCAACAGCTGAAGTCCAAAAAAGCATAGGATGGAGCGTCTCGGCGTTTGGCAAGGACATGCGGTAGGAAGGTCAACGGAAAAATCGAGGGCGCCAATTTGCTTTCAGCTTTGGCTTCTACTTTGCTGAGCAGCGTGCCCGGCTCCGACTCTTGAATTTAGGCCGGTGCTCAGTAGCTTCTAGTCACTCTAGTCCTTCACGGGCAAGTAACTTCAGCAACGAGAACATGAACGGCCCCTGGCGTTGAGTCGGTCACAGTGCCGGGGCTTTGCCGAGATGCAATGCGGTTGGTGGCCAGGCAGTTTTTGCTCCAAGCCGCCACAAGCACGAAAGAGATACAGCAGCACTGCAAATCAGCATGCAGACATGCGGACCAGCGTCTTCTGCTACAAATTGCAGCAGACAACAGGAGGAAGCATCTGACCGCAGTATGGCCCGATGCAGTTCTTTAGTCGTTTCGGTTCATTGTGGTCCCACTCATGTTCACCTGTCCTGCCGTTGATGGCGATGACGGGAAAGCACCACACTTGCGCCTCCGCTCCAAGTAAAACGAACCTTGCAGATGCTGGTGCTAAGGGCCTTGGGGTAGCAGCACGCAGCCATCTAGAAAGAACTTAGGGGAACTTAACGTGTGTCTTGTTGAGGCAGCTGTCGGTCCTGTCCTTACCCTTAAGAAGCGTTCTGTGCCAAAGCATACTGCACGAAGCGCTCTCAATCGTGACCCTTTCTCTTCGCCCTGTCTCTTCGCGCGTTTGTGCGCCTAGTTCAAGTGAACTCCTCTGACAGGGTACATGCAGCTGCCGACATTCAATACTCAACTGCCTTCATCCGAAAGGATCCAGACAGCTGGCCCGCGCGAAGATGACGTGAGCGAGAAAGCCTATGCAAGTGCCACGCGGCCAAACTTCAGCAGCTCAGGGCGAGCGATGCTGCACCAGCTTCTATGCCGAGGGAAGTTCCACTTCTTTACATGTAAGCCGGCGACGCTAGTCAAACATTCAGAATCATCAACTGGTCCTATGGACCAGTCTATGGCAATCAGGCATTGCATCAGCTAGAGTGGTCTCAGAAGCTGCAGCTTCAAAAGGCCTTGTGCTTCAGCATCCAGAATTCACCAGCCTTGCAATCTGCAGCCTGATACACTTAGGTTCTGAGCCATCACCTCCAGTCTCTGGAAGCGGCCCTCCTCCAACAACACGCTGCAGACATCAGCAGACTGCGTCGCTTAGCTTAGTGTGCTTGTATTGTCACAGTGGCAGCAACCAACAACAAGGCAGCTCAAAGCAATCTGTCTAGGCTGACAGCGCATGGTAGTCAAACGGCGAAGAAAAAAGGTGTGTGACGAGTCTGAATGCACAGGCCCGGACACCTCCTCATTCCCTTCTGGCAGAAAAGCACGCTTAGTTTGCCGTTAAACGGTGGGAAAACCTACCATGCCTCAATGACCAGATTCTGTTGGAAATCAGGGCTGCTATCTGATATCATGTGCTGCTATTGTGTCAATAGAAGCTTTGCTTGAGTCACCGGAGGCACCCAAGCCGCTGCATCAGTTGCTGTAGAAATGCCGCCGCCTCCACAATTCGGCATTGATTTATTTATGCACCAGCACCTACCCCTATCCCACTGAAAAGAAGAAACACAAAAAGCTCTCTAAGTCCACCCGTAAGGTGCGACATCAACATCACCCTCGAGACTTGAAGTACTCATCTGACCAGCGGGAACACACCCATGAGTAGAATCAACGGTAGCACCACACAAAAAGTGTCGAAACAGTTCCAGACACTGCAAGCTTGAAGATTAACAATGACGATGAGCCCACATTCAAGGTGACCAGAATGCGAAGTTGCAGCGTCAGCTTCAGAACGTGCCTTGGCGATGCTTAACTGTTAAACCGAACCGAGTATGAACCCTTTCCTGTTCACAGCACGGTTCGCACGGTTCGGGTTGCGGTGAGTACGGTTCTTTACCAGGGTGTGCCATTCAAGGCTTCTGCGACTCCTAATTTTGAGCACCGCCTCACCCTTGCGGCTCAAAGCTCCAAAACGAGAGAGCCGTAGGCGTAAAGGCCCCACCCCTTCACTCAGCCCTGCAACATGAGGAGCGGCAGGGTGGTATCATAGTTCGGAAAACCCCCCCCCCCAACAACCCCCCCCCCCAGGCCCCCATCCTTACTGCGAACGACAGGCCTTTTGCTAATTAAAACGCGCAACGTCGACTGGGTCTTTGTTACCCCTGCGAATTGAAGACTATTCGCCAGCTAATAGCTGCTATTAGCGGCTTGTTGGCTTGGGGGGGGGGGGTCGTGTAACCAGGACTGCGTTCGTTAATAGCTGGCGAATAGCAGTCAGCAGTGCTAATAGCTAGCTAATAGTGCGGAAGGGTCGTGTGGCTATTAGCTGCTATTAGCTGCCCAATAGCCAGCTAACAAAAACAGACTTTTGTGAAGCCTGGGAGGGGGGGTTCTTGGGGGGGGGGGGTTTTCCGAACTATGATGGTAGGGGGGGGTCAACGCCTGCGGCTCCTCATTTTAGCTGGCAAGTGAGGGGATCAAGCCTCCGCATGGGCAGTTAAAGTTAAAGGCTTGGCCTTTTGCCACCTGGTCTAAATGCGACTTCACCTTGAAAACCCTCAAAAAGTCTGAGCTGACGAGCGTGCAGGCTTTGATATAAGGAACCTCTTTCCGGTTTGGGTTTCTACGGTTCGTACCCGGTTAGGTTCGCTCACGATTCGGTTGCTTGCGGTTCGGTTCCTGCTTTCACGGTTCCAGTTGGCGGTTCGGTTACGCGGTCGCCTTGATGTAGTAGTCGTAGCCCGAGCATGGGGCCAAGGGTCTCAAGACCCAGCACCGGGCACCCGGCTTTGCACATAACACGACATACACCATCCGTTGGCAGATTGGAGCAGTTCTTTGCGGCCTCAACAAGGTGAGTGATCTCGATGAGCCTACCATGCTGACTGGACCAGGCAGTCCGGGCTGCACGCATGCACAGACTTTTGTGGTCTTACCCGTACAGGCGTTCGATAGACTGACTGGACGTGTGTTCTGGATTGCTGAGGGCTTGCTGAATGTCTAGGCCGTCCTGTCTTGGAATGCGAAGCCTCCGACATCTTGTCCCACACCTCTCTGCCTGCGGATGTCGACCCCAACCCGCACGATCGGTGGCATTCCTTGACGGCAAAGGTGCAGCTTGGATGCAACCCTTGTAAAGCTTCCACGGTCGATGTCGGTGTCGGCTCGTTGAGAGGCATGTGTTTGCATGAAGCTGCAGGCTTGAAGCTGCCGGAATCATGGGCGCATTCGATACACCCAAAGCGAAGCCGAGGATGCACATGCTCAGCACAGCTGCATAGCGAGTTGTTGGGCAATGACCTGCTGATGAAATGACCTGGGTCAACGTCACGTGCTGTCAGACCCTGTCACAAGCCACGCAAGCTGTCCAGCGAGGACAACCACAGGCATAATGAGTGAGCTGAAGATGCGTGCAGTATGGAACCTTGACTGGACGGGAGGGTAATTTGGATAGGCATGAGCCTCACCTTTCCATGCTCGGCTTTTCTTGCCAAACTCAGGAGTGTCTCCCTGGTTCAGACAAAAGCAACTTACCAGAGGCGGGCGTAAGAACCTGCTTTTCGGAACCCAGCTTTGATGATTGAGGCCCGTAAACCTGTCAACTCAGGAGGGGCATTGCCCAGCCTTGAATTCTTCTCATGTGCCTAGATGGAAGTGCAACGAGTTGTTTAACTTTACGAGCTTGTCTTCTCCCTGCTTCGGCTGGACCCTGGCGGTGCGGTGGGGGGGGAGGGTCGAGTAAACGTCATGTTAAGTTAAGCGTCCAGTGCGCATCCAGGCCAAACGCATATACCCCCTTCGGATACCCGGCCATGCATTTTGCGGCCGCCGCAAAATGCACAGATTTTTCCCCGGTTTCACGCAGCGGGACACCTCGCCATGCATTTTTCCGGCCGCTGCAAAATGCACAGCGCCCCGCCCTGGTGCCGTACGGCCCTAAACCTTTACCCTAGGATGCACACTCGAGTCTCAAGCCCGCCATGCATTTTCCAGCTGCTGCAGAATGCACAGGGCCCCGCCCTGGCCATGGAAAGGTAGCTGTCCTCGGCAAGCCCGCCATGCATTTTCCAGCTGCCACAGAATGCACAGGGCCCCGCCCTGATGCCATACGGCTGGAAAACTTTTACCCTAGGACGCACACTCAAGTCTTAACATGATTCTTGCTCGAACCCCCCTCCCTGGCAGGAAGGCCGTTGGCTCAGGCTCTCTATTGTTGAGCGTTTGCTCGCCAGGTTCCACCAGTCTAGGTGCAAGGTGCAAGGTCGTCCAATGTGCGACTTGCAGTGGAAGGTCCCAATCCCACATCGCGGCTCTCGGGGAGATGTCGTCACTGAAGATCAACGCTCCTTCACAAAGCCTTTTACGTTGGGGTGCTTGTCGGGATCGGAATGACGCAGCTTTAGGCTTTGAATTTGAGCATCTTCATTGCTTGAACTGCACATTTGCATTGTTATGTGGCTGACTGACGACGTATTGGTTGAACCGCATCGTGAAACGGAGGGAAAGCTCAGTTCATTCTAGCATCCAATGATGTGGATTCTAAGTGACTTATTCATTGCCAGTCCACAAGATGCGAATGGCTTCCGTGCCTGAGGACGCTTTCACCGACACCTCGTTCCTCCAGCGCTTTGTAGTGGGACCCCACAGCAGCTGCGCGGGCAAATGGCATGGTGAGAGATGGGAAGCCTGGTGATGCCTTGCATACTAATCTGCTGATCAATATGCCAGTTGAGAGCCTGAAGTGTCACAGAGAAGAGGCGCAACCAGTTTCACAAGCAAAAGCTTCTTGTAACCAAGGCAAGCACCAGCTCGTGTGGGCCATCATAGCAAGCGTGTCCATCGGCTGAATTACATTCTGGCTGTCGGTCATCTCTATCGATATGAGATGGGATGAGTGTATATGCGGCTCTGCGGTTCGGCCAGCTATGCGCGAGCGAAGAAGAAGCCCTAAAACCAGTAACCCCCCCATCCCCACCCATGCAACCCCCCCGCCCCTACCCCCTGTGGTGTGGTTGGGGGCAGGGTTTCTAAGCTGTCACACGGGGCATTGTTTAGGGTTGAGGGTTGATTTCGGGTTTCCGATCCAAGGCCGCCCCTGTGGTGTGGTTGGGGGTTGGGGTTTGGGGTTTGGGGTTTAAGGTTTGGGTTGTAGGGTTTTTTCGGGTGCGGGGGATGATGGGGAGAGGGGGACCGGCGAAACCGCGAACCGTTTCGGGGTGCTCGTATCAAAGCACCTACCTCGTCTATTGTTCTGCTTTGCGGTTCGCCAGCCACCCCTGTGTCCCCGACCCCAAACCGAAGCCTTGCTTGCCTGCACGCAGAAGCAACATATCTCCGGTCACGATTCACTTCAGGCAGTCCTGGGCATGTGAGACAAAAACCAACACGCAAGCCCTACTTAGTCTAAATCATCCTAAACCCTCCACATCTTCCTCAGCTTGGCTTCCTACACAGCCTAGTTTCTCCGGATTTCCTGAGCACTTGTTTTTGGCAGCTGCAATTCCACTGCCGTCCCCCTGCGGCGTAGCAGAATCTAGCATTCACTGTGAGAGTGCGATCCGTCTTTTTCTACTGATGTCATCGAGCACAGGTTTATCATCTGGGATTTGATCACCATCCCGTTGGAGATGTTCGACGTTGCAGAGTCGGCAGCTGAGCACACCAAGCATGAACTGCATGATCGTGATTTGCATGTGTCAGAGGTTGGCATCAGATAGCAAGATTGTGAGAAGCTGGTTCAAGATGGCCATGAAACAAGGAGGGCTTTTCAACTTTAACCAGAGTTCGATTAGTGATGGGCATCGTGCTGGCGCATCTGGCGTGTAGCCAAAAATTAGGAACGATTAGTCTCTGAAAAAGTTTCTGCTGAAATAAGTTCTGTCTTGAAGATTTCTGAAATATGTTTATGATTTTCTGCAATATTCAATGCGAACTGAGAAGCTCTGATAACATTCTGAAAAATATGCGCAAAACTCCGAAGAACTGTCTGGAAGTTGTTTGGCCTGGGGAAATCACAACAATGCGGTTGATCACCGCGCGCTTGTCTCAGTTTAAACCTGCCTGCCAAAAAAGCAGAACGACCCTGCAAAAGAAACATCAAACTAGTACTGCAAATAGTAGTGGAAGCCTTTTTTGCCTTTTCTTTCACTGCCCCGGACGACTCAGACCAGAAAATCCACAACGCTAGTTCAGAGATTCTGGCAGTCCCCCTGGGACAAAGAACAATCAGATATTATTGCTTGTTGCAGCCACTTTTCTGGAGAGCTGTTCTTTTTCTGAATGTATTTATGGTTTGTCCCAGCCAGAGCGATCTGAAAGCAGAAGCATCTCCAGAACGCATCCAGAAGCGCGCTGCAACGCTCGTCACGATGGCGAGCTCCATCGGGCCTCTATAGCAGTCTCGTTTTGATGTATAAAATGTGGTTTCATCAGCGTTTCTAACAAGTCAGAAAAAAGCAATGAGTTTCTGGCCCGTGTTTTTGATACTGTACAGAGCTGCTCCAGAATTTGCAGAGTTGGTCCGGAACATGCTCATGCTCAGATCTACTTTTCTGAGACAAGTGAAGAATTTGTCGTTTGTCATAATAGTTTCAGGATTGAAAAGCATATCCCCGTCCAGAAAACCAGAAATCATTCAGACTGATTCGTTTAATTCAATTCATCCTCAGCCGCCATCGGCACCCGTTACTAAGCTAGATAGCTTCTGTGAGAGGTGTCAGAATGCTGAGAAACGAGTCTGAAGTCTCCCCATCCCGCAAAGCAGTCCAAAACAATCCTGCCGCACAGCATGCAGGTCTGAATGTCACCACTTTCTGTTCCCATCTGGTAAGTTGCATCCTGAGAAGTCTTGCCTAACGCATGTCTTCCCGTAAGGTTCATCCGGGTGCTGGACACTGTGGGCATGGTGACGCTCTCTTTCTGGACACTTTTCTGTTTCAATAGCACATGTGACATCATGTGACAGCGAGCATCATCAACGAAGTCTTGCCATTTGCCGCCTGCATTCCAATGTTTCAGGTTTTTTTGCTCAAAGAAAGACCGCAGGTGCCAGCAGGACAAAATCTCAGCCATGGGGGATGATGCTGATGTGCGCCTCACCACCGTCTCCAAGGATGGCGAAAAGATGAGCAACCTTATCCCCGCTGGATCCATGACTGCGGCTGAGGGCAAGGGTGCCATTGAAGGCAAGTGGAAAATCCCTGGCGTGCAGCAGCCTGTCGAGTTGAAGGTTTCGGGCTCTTCTGTGAAGTCCGTGGAGGCACCCTTCGGAAATCAGCCACTTCTGGGAGAGATTGCAGAGGGTGAGAAGATGCTCGGTCTGCATATCACGCTCGGCGGCTTCCCCATGAAGGCTTGGATGAAAAAAGACGGTCAGCAAACCGTGCTGAGCTTCTCCAACGGTGGGCGATGGAGTAAGCTGTGAGCATTGACCAGATTCAACAGGCTGGGATTGTCCACGAGAGCACTGACGTGGAATGAGGGGTGTTGCAAGAATTTGCAAGTTCGTTTTTGCGAGTATGCACTTGTACAGGGCTGAACCAGCCATAATTGATGGTCTAGTGGCAGCTCGTGCCTTGATGCACGGGCTTGCGCATTCGAGGGTGTGGCTTTCATGCTCATGCCGGGGAGGATGTTGGGCAGCCGCAAGCCTTACTCAGAGAACATGTGCCCGATCTAATCACATGAAGGCTGCTGGCTACCTGATCCATCTTGGCATCCTTTGACTATTCAGTTGACTCAGTTCACCATGGCAGGATTGAGAAAGAACTGGCGCTTAATTCCTGCATTTTCTTGCAGGGCATCAACATGTCGTTTCAAGGTTGGGGAGCATGTGTTTCTGCCGCAGATAGATAAGAGGGACAGGTTGGTCATGGAGACGTGAAAGAGGTTGCAGCTTGACGGGTCATCATTCCATTGCCTTTCCATGAGATGGGCCTCCCTAAAGCCCCAAACAGCGAGAACATGAGAAGCAAAATGTAACTTATGACCAAGAAGCAAAATTTTGTATACGGCCCCGAGGGCTGTGGACATGCCCCTGCACCTCATCTTCGGGGTGCAGCTTCGGGGATCTCTGGAGATGCGGCCTCGGAAGCTGTGGCCTCTCGACAGCCAAGTGTATAGGAGCCCAAAGGGGCAGCGGATGTAGCTGAAATCACGGATAACGCCTGCGCCAGGGCTGAACGATGTTGAAGGATGTTCGACATGTGTAAGTTCAGGCAGAGCGCATATGTGGGAACGCAAGTGGCACTCGATTCCTGTGTATCACTAGATCATGTCCCTGGCGTTGGGAACTCAGCCCGTTTCGGGGTACGTTTGCTTTGGCTTGGCCCTGAACTGTGATGCTGACCCTAGGAGTCTGTACATGCGCTCATGGTTTGCCACAGACCTGTTGATTGCTACTTGGCTGCATCCGTGCCGCACCTCTGAAATCGAGTGGCAAGCATGTGACCATCATACATTGTCGGCTATGCGCAGGCACCAAAGCTACAAAGCGTCACACAGGTGATTTCCAGCGGCTCCCAACAATTCTGATTGCTCAAAGGTGCCTGGTTCAGACAAACATGCCAGGACATTCAGCTGAGGTATTGCTTGATGTCGGACTCATCATTATGGAGAACTTGTCCCTTGGCGGCTGATTTTTGCACCTTGAACCTCGCGTGTGCAACTCCGCGCTTGCCGCATTCCGTGTCAAGCATCCCTGAGTCAACGCTCAGCTCTCACCCTCTACGCCTACGCCCGGCACTCTCCCCGGCACCTATATGGTGCTGTAGTCATTGGCAGCCCCTAGTCCTTAGCGCCTGAAAATTCCAGTTCTCCAAGTCTGCCAGGGAGCAAGAAACATTGTGATGTCACACCAAGTCCGCACAAACGTAAAGTGTCACGGGCCACATGACAATCCCTGCAGGTCCACAGGCCAGAGCAGTGGCGCCTTTAGGTCTGCCAGATTCCTGCGGTCCCTGCGGTTTCTTGGCTCCGGATGCTCAAGATTGCATGTTGCTTTGACCTGCCTTGTCTTGAAGTCTCGGGGTCAGAGTTAGGGCTGCAGATTGCTGCCTTCCGGGCTCGCAGGCTTCGCGACTGCCAGGTTCGGAGGTTTTGGATCCCCCATGGGACTCTGCAGCAAAGCAACATGAACTGCCGACAAATCTTTTTATGCTGTAGGCTGTAAAGCATCAGGGGGCCAACTCTGCAGGTTTCGGTCCCGACATCTCTTCCGGAAGAATTATGCAGCTTCCGGTCTTCAGCAACATGTGACCTGACATGACAGGTTGCTGCGACTTTTTCGGTTGGTGCGAGTGGCCAAGCTTCAGCGGGAGCTATCACTGGTGGCAAGCCGGTTCCTGTCAACTTATGCCTTCATGGTCCCTTGGTAGCCGTCAATGCTTCACTGCCTGTGCGTGAGTGATAGAGAGAGAGGGAGGGAGGGAAGGAAGGAAGGAAGGCAGGAACGGAGGGCGAGGGAGAGAGAGAGGGAGCGAGAGAGAGAATGCATGATGCATTATGCAGCGTTTGCAAATGTTTGCGGCCATTCGCTGCCGGTGGCAATCAGGTCATGAAGATTGTCGCAGCGTTGCTTATGATGGTAGCAATCAACCACATCATCGGATGCTGCTGGTATGGTATTGCTCTTGGGTGGCTTGGACACAAGCTAAGTGATGTCGGGAGCAGGGGCTTTGTTACTGCTTGGTCGTCAAAGTGCAGAATCTCTTCACACTGTTCCGTGGTTCTTGATCAAGTGCCGCTCTTGGTGTGTTTTTGCAGGACCGGGAGCGACAAGACTTGGGTTCACCGTAGCGGAATCGAAGATGCACCATGGCGGCAGCAGATGGCACCGTCTGTGCATGCATTGCACACGCCATGCCATGTTACACCGGAGAAGGAGCCACCGCGAGCCAAGCGTGAGCTTGCCAAATTGCCGCCAATGTGACTCTAGTGACTAGCATGAAGATGCACGCCCAGGCAGACTTTGGGACCTCTTACGTGTACTCCATTCACTGGGTGCCTTGGACCATTGGCTTCCATGCAGGTTGGACTAGGAAAGGCTCTGGCTGCGAGATAGCATGAGAAGCTTTCGTCGCAGACTTTTCCCTGGCATGTGTGCTCATGGCTGCATCTGTCGGAGCAGAGGCTTTGACACAGTTTACACCCTCCACGAACAACATTGCGCCGGAAAATGGCGGGGAAAGGCCGGCCAGTGTGCAGCCCTTTGAAGATGACTAAGCAATACTGTACTTCAGGAAACTATGAGGCCGCGAGGGCGCGTTGATTTTGCAGCTCCCTCAATATTGATCTAGAGATCGAATTTGCCAGCGTGCCACAGGATGAGCCAGTCTAGCTGTTTTTGTGACCTAAGTGGCAATGCCTTGCTTCAATGAGATGCCTTGTCTTTGACCTGAATCGAAACAGCCTCCGCAGAACACCGTATGGAAACTGCCAGCGCGTCGCCGACAGGTTTTTCGCGATTTGGGTGATCCTGCTGGCAATGGGTGTCTATTCGTCCTTCATTGGTTCAATCAGTTCAACTGTCAATTCTTTACGTGCGGTCCGCGGTGAGAAGATCAAGCAGCAACTTCCAGCTGCAAATGGTCTTCTTGTGAGTTTGTTAGCCATGATTCGTTGAGGTCCCGTCTGCAGCACTGCGCAAACCCACAGAATATTCCGGGAAGTCAAGCATTGCAAGCCGAGGCAGTCCAAGCTACTGCAGTTCTTCATCGAGCGCAATCTCTCATTGGATTTGTATGGTAGCATTCAGGACCAGCAAGCCAATTCGGAGGCTTCTGCAGTTCAATGGCTGAGCTGCATCACGCAAATGATTCCGGAAAAGTACGAGTACACAGGAACAGTTCTAAGGTCATCACACCTTGTGCCGGAACCAAACGGCGTGAAGAAGCAGCTTTCCAAGCAACAGAAGACTTATCAAAGCTCAAGCAAGATCGCATACCAGGGCACACTCCCTCGCAGGAGACCCTCCGTCGTGAAGGTACAGTTGAGGCAGAGCTCTAAGCCTTGAACAGACTGCTGAGCGTGGCACATTTCCGTGTGAGGCGCGTCTGAGCACTGAAAGAATTTTAGGTGCGGCTCAAGGAGGACGAGGTGAATTTGACACTTGGCCGCATCCAATACGTTACGCCAATGCCAGCACCACTCAAAATGCTTGAAAGGGATTCAACGGCTGAACATCTCTCCAGCAACCATGTTTTCCTCGACAGAGTGGGTTGACTGACACAAGTGCCAGCAAGTTTTTCTTGGAGGATCAGCGGACTGCCCGAGCGAGCCTTGGCAGAACTGTGGTCCCTTTCTCTTTGTTTCGATGTGCTTGTTCGGCATGGCACCTCCTTGTGCAACCATGCGCCAGCACGTAAGTACATTTGAAGGTCGTATGTTGCAGTAATTGTTTGTCTGTAGTCAGAAGTCGTCGCCTAATTACATGCATTCCTGGATTCAACGGCTGGAACAGTACTTGTCTGGAATTCTCAGCAGGCGTATCCCCCGACAGAGAGAAAGTCGACCTACTCAAAGAAAAAGAAATGCCTATCTCACCCTACTGACATCTTTTCACTCTCCGCAGCGGCCTTCTCCGGCGCGGGTGACTCCTTGTGGACGTTGTTGTCCGAGAGTGGTCGGCCGTGCTCCAACCGATTGCCCGCGAAGATAAGGTGCTGCTGATCGTGCTGCATGTCCGCTGTGACCTGGATCACCGCTTTCGTGTCGTAAGCTGGGGAAGCCTCTCATCTTCCAAAAGCACACCGCCAGGATCAAAACACCAGCAGCACTCGCCCTTCGCAAGGTTCAAACACTCAGGCATCAGCTCCTCGCAGGCGTGCTTGTTGGAGATTCGCGTCATGTGGAGCTTAATGTACGGGTAGTTCATGCACGCCTGCATCACGCATCACACCAGTGTGTTCGACTTCAGCGATCCGCGCTCGATCAGGCTGCGCAAAGCCTGTCAGGACAGTCTCTTCATCAGAGTGGTCGAAGGTGCGGCATTGTCCATCATCGTTTGCACACGCCGCAGAGTGGTGATCTTGAAGCTGCGGATCAAGGAGGTCAAAGCAGCATCCTCGTCCACACACTCCGCAACAGTCACGGTCATGCAGCTTCGTCAACAGTACACCTCCACACGCCCTACTCGCTTCTGAGTCCTCACACGGCTCCCACTCACCGACGTCCTGCTCCAGAGATTGATGTGCCACCCTCCATATAATTCCATATACCGGCCGGGCCGGAGACAGCTCGATGCCAAGGCGCCCTTGCAGATTGCGCACAGACCTCAAGCTCATCCACAGCACGGTCCACATGCACTTGGGTCAAAGCATCTCCAATCTCCAACGTGACTCGCATGTCCGTCGACACTTTTGCACACAGCTGCAGCCACCACAGCTGCAGCACCAAGCGCAGTGCCCCTATGGCTCTTGACGGTGGTCTGGGGCTTCGGCTACGCACCTACCTTCTCACAGCAGGAAGCTCGAACCGGAACCATATCTTGATTATCTGATTATCTTGCAGTCCTTCAGTAGGCTTTATCTAGAACATGGGGCCCTGAAAAGTTCACAGATTCTTGCAGCCGAGGCTTCAAGCAGCAGCTGCATGAGGAGGGCACGATGACATGTGAATCTTCTCGGTTGCATGTGTGTGTGTGTGCAGGTGGGTGTCGTGATGTTTAGAGCGCTGTGTATCATACTTGTTTGTAATCATCTAAAGCCCGAAGTCGTGTCTTGATGTAATCCTCAACAGATCCTGTAGTCAGTGAAGATCCCACAGATTTGAAGATCAAAGAGACAAGAGATCCGAAGATTTTGGAGCTCGCAGTTCGACAGAAGTCGAGTCTAAAGTGCGTGGGTGGGTGCGTGTGTGCCCGTGTGCCTGTGTGCCCTTGTGCCCGTGTGCCTGCGTGCCTGTGTGCCTGTGTGCCTGGATGCCTGTGTGCGTGTGGGTGTGTGCGTGAGGGTGTGTCTTTGTGTCTCTTTGTCTCTGTGTCTCTGTGTCCCTGTCTCTGTGTCTCCGTGTCTCCGCGTCTGTGTGTCTGTGTCTGAGTGTCTTTGTATGTGTGTGCGCGTCTGTGTGTCTGTCAGTGGGTCTGTGTCTGTGAGGGGTGTATGCCTCTCCGCGTGTCTCTCTGTACGCCTCTCTGTGCCCCTCTCCCTCTCTCTTTGCGTGTGTGTTTCGTCAGGAGCTCTACATTGCAGCTATGCAGCGTTTACCTTTTTGGCCATCCTGGTCGGAAGGCCCGAATCCTAAGCTTTCATGCCCAAGGCAGTACACGGGAGTTCACGATCCTCAGGGGGCCTGCGTTCTTGGCATGTGCTCCATGATGCCACGTCAGAGTGGAGCCCAATGCAAGCTGCAAGGGTGATTTTGAAAGGATAGCAGTCTTGCGCCTTGCTTCCGCATAGCCTTCTGCCCGAAGGCCAATCAACGGACAGGTTCTTCTTCAGCAGCTTGTGCCATCACGCCGTGAGCGAAGCTCGGGTGCACTCTGCATAGGCAAGTATTCTAGGCTGGCACACACAGACACATCCGTGCAGTTGCAGGCTGAGCAAGAATCACTTGTTGGAGACTGAGCCGCCAAGCCGAGGAGTGTGTGCTGATGCCTGGCGAGGATGCGTTTATGCCAGGCCAACCGGGCGCGGGAGATAGAAAGGTCGGGATTTTTAGCATTGGATAGGTCAGAATCAGCGCGGGCATGACGATTCTTTTGCACCAGTTGGAGTGCAACTCACACCTTTTGAGAGTTTGAGTCTGTCGCATGCGTCGTGTCTGCATGACGTGTGCAGTGTTGTCGAAAACGAGTAGCCAGCAAGCGTCACCTCATCAGGTAGCCGCGTACCCTTTTGCGGGAGTGTGTTTACGGCGCCGGTAGGGACATCAGAGAGGCATCAGGATGCGCCGTCTGGCACCTTATACACGGAGTTGACTCCAAGCCTGGGAACTTAATTCAGCTTACGATTACGTCTTGGAGTCCGAAATCCATTGACAACGTACCTCAGCATGCGTCAGTCTGGCCCGATGACATCCGATGACTGCAGTGTGCAAGCAACTTAGGGACATCCTGCGAGCACGTTTACATTGTGGAGTCCGGCTTCATGAACTACTCCTTGGGCAATCAAGATCCTAGCGAGATAGAAAGGCCAGGAAGGGTTTGGGCAGGGAAGATGTTTGGCTTCGGGTCAAACTTCATGTGGTGTTGGGGTGGGCATTGCAACATGGCTCACTCAACAGGTAGCTCTCTAAATTGTCGTCCCTTTTAGGGTCCTGTTGTTGTGGGCGCTGTACGATATAGGGCAGGGGGCCCCAAACGGGACCCTAAACAAGAGAACTACACTGTACACATGTGGGACTTGTGAGCTCCCCGTCAGCGAAGCTGAGTAGGGTCTGGTTGCATGGCCGCAAACAAGCCACATCAACCCACGTTCAGGGACGCGATTCTATGCCTCACCTGCTTCTGGTCCGAGTGGCAGCACGCTGGCCGACTGTCAGCAAACTCGGGCACCAGCTACTACATCACCGTCAACAGCGAAGAGTTCCCAGGCAAAAGCAAGTACTTTTTAGTCCGCGGTGTGCCTGGTGATTGTACTAATTTGTGGGATGCTGTGCAACTGCCGAAGCTCCGGCCGATGAAGCTTCAATACATCGCCAGATGACCGTAGCGCACTCTTGTTCAAACCGAACCAGATCCAAACAAGGCAAGGGTCGCAAGTCGCCATGTCAAGGCTGAATCATACTCTATCCACACGCCTTACCCCTGCCACAATTATAGCCTCAGATTAAGCGAGCGTTTTTTTAAACCCAGGTTCTGCAAGATCGCGATGCGCTTTGGAGGTCGCCTCTCCTTGTACCTGCACCCCCACTGCAGCATTTGCAAACACCACTGCCACCTGAGAAGGGTACATAGGTGCAAGTGGAGGTGAAGGTCCTAACTTGAAGTTCCTGCAAGTGCCATGGCCAATTCTGATAATTACCTCTCCAGGAAGTTTCGCTTCGTTTGGGTCCGTTCGAATGTTGAGCTGTAATGAACAACCCCCCCCCCCCCCCTCGCCCCCCTCCCCAAGCGATTTGTTTTGGTTGTTGCCGGGCACTCTACTACTGAGGGGGGGGGGGGGGGCCGCAATGTCTAGGAAGCCCTTGGGCCATCCTGACGGTACAGGGTGTAGGTGTGTAGCACCACCGCAAGCTACTCACGCTGGCTGCAATGGCCAACCCTGAAGCCCAGGCAAGTTTTTGGCATCCTGATTGTTGGTGCAGTTGAAAGCCAGCATGAACAAGGTGCGAGTTGGTTGTGTGGAGTTTGATGGAGTGCGGCGTTCCAGCTACGGGGCTAGCGAAACAGAAGTCTTGAAAGGTTGAAGCCGTCAAGTGAATAGCGCCCAAGCATTCCCCCAGCAATTTTTCTTGAATCCTGCAGGCGTGGTCACTGACCTTTGCTTTGACTGGCAGCGCATCGAGGAGCTCGCTTCAAGGGCAGAGAGGCTTGGATCGACAAAATGCGTTGTGCTTCTGCTTGAAGGCCCGCTTGCCTCAAAAGGCCGACTTGTTTTAACGGCGCCCCCGAGCACAGCTAGATTGGAGTTGTCCGTTGGCTAGCCTTCATTGGGGCTTAGTTTGGGGGCTCATACCGGCAACTTGGGTTGCTTGATGCGGTCTGCTTCCGTATGGGAGAATGATCTACGGGCCCATGGCACGTTCCTAAGTTGCGGCCTCAACATCAGACTGCGGAAGCAGAAGCACAACATTGATGGCCCCACATGATCACGAGCCAGAAGCAGTGGTTGGAAAATCAGGTGTTCCAAGGCATGTCGAGTTTGGGGTTTCGGCTCGGAACGGGATCCGAACGAAGTCCGGATTGAGCGAAACTTGAGAGTGATATGAGACCACATGTCTTCTGCTACAATGCAAGTCAGGAAGGCCGCAGGCACCTGTGATTGAACAAGGCCCCAACTTGTGTGACAACATCGGGTGCGCTAGCTTTCTACGGAAAGAGACCGGGAGCAGCAAGGCCCAAGTGTTTAAAGGTAATGGTCGATAGGGATAGTTGGGGCATTCGTATTTCACTGTCACCATGAGACGTTGGTTTCAAGATCTTTCGAGCTGCCTCAGTGGATCTCAGTGGCCCGTGCGTGGAAGGTTCCATTCCATCTTCGAGTCTTTGGACAACACGGCTCTACAGAGCACTTCGCACCTCGCAATGTAAAGTTGAACCGCCCTTTGGATTCCTCTTTGGCCAGTGCCCACTGTCAAGCTTGAGGTTGCAGGCGAAGATCACTATGGTGACTGCTGCCCCGACGCCAGCTTCTCCAAGAGCCGCACACTGGGACCACAGTGGAAATAGGGCACAGCTGGCGATGGACACATGGATTTGAGGCATGTTGCTTGCCTTTCCATGTGTTTTTGCAGGGGCTGGAGGTTCCTGCAACGAGTAAAGTGTTGAAGCACGAAGTAAGCTTGACGTTAAGGCGATGCGTGGCAGTTGCTAGGGACTTCCGGACCAAGTTCGAGTTATATCGCTGCTTGCCTTGAGATGCTCGGCTCATAACAGGCAAGTTTCACAGGTGAAGCCTGGATCCAACCCAGTGCCACTGACAGGACGAACATCCTGCTCAAGGCTGCAATGCCAGGTGTGTCCAGAAACTGCTGCTTAACATCCCAACTCCAACGGAATGTGCGGTACTGCACTCGGATCCAGGCAAGGTCGGCAAGAGCATATCCTTTCCAGAAGACCCGCAGTGCCCTGGGAAGCAGCATTGCCGGACCTTCCGTGCTTGCATTGGAGATAACAGAACGCCAAAACAGGACAACATGGTTCGTTAGAGGAGATCATCTAGACCATTCATGTGCTTCTGGCAGCAACTCGGCTCCTCCAAAGGAGGGGCTGCTTGATGCAACCCATAATCTGTGTTGCACGGCAAAGCCGGGTACTCTGTAATAAGGTTCACAAAGTTTGAGCTGTAGAGCTGCAACCTTTCGAAGAACTTCAGGGCATGGGCATCTTCATGCTGCATGCGTTTCGAGATCGTAACGGCGAGCTTGCCAAAAGATTCGTGGACTGGGCGTGCCAGCAGCTGATGCTTCCTCCTAGCCCCAGAGTATGCCAGAAGAGGCAGCTCTAAGCACGCAGTTTGACACCAGGCCGCTTCCATGAAGTTGATCGCAGAGCGGGCCATAGACTAAAACACCAGGCGGCAAAGGGTTCGCACCGGCTTTTTTGCTCAGAGTTTGGCAGCTGAACGGCCGCAGCTATTTGGGCAAACAGCTTGATTGAACATCGTCAAGTGCCGCATGCAAAGCGTGAACACTTATGTCTCGCTGCATCAAATATTCTGGAAGACACTCGCCAGGCTGGACTCGGTAAGTAGCTTGCTGAATGCAGGTGCCGCGATATCATTACACTGCAGTTGAAAGAAATGAGAAAATCGCTGTTGCAAACGATGAGACATGGAAAATGATTGGACTTCTCTGCATTCCACAAGAACCCGGGTTACGCCGTTGGATGGCTGAAGAAGCAGACAGGTATTTAGACGTCAGTTGGTCAGCAGTCCCACAGATGGAAGACGAAGCCTCCACGAACATGGCTGCCAGGCATGGGTCTCAGGGAGCTTTGCAAAGCATGTAGCTACGTTGTAGCTACTGTAGCTTTGTCTATGCTTTGTCGTTTTATGAAGGCACTGCAAAGCACAGAGCTTGCACGCAGCAGATCACGCGGCCTGATCTGGAAGTTGGTCAGAAGACCCTTTATCGACCCCAATGAATTCGTTTTACTTGTGCGCGCGAAAGCCGCATAAGGCAGCCAAAGGTGGTGCACGTGTACAACTGAGGTCGATGGATCACGGCCACGGCCTTGGAAAGCAGAACATCTGCCATTCTTGTGACACACACACACACCACGTGCTCTCACTCTCGACTTTTCCCGTCTGATGGGGTGCATGCTTCTTGCACTTTCCGGCCTCGCGGGCCCCAGGCATCGGCACAGTCCTTTGAACACTTCTGACACTCGAGTCCCGCGCACCGGCTTCGAAAGCGGACTTGTCAGAAGCTACTTGTAGTGCAGCTTGTGCAAGTAGTAACTTAGTACGTGGAGGACGGCTGGAGCCCCGACGTTGTTATGGTCTTGGCGTACTGTTGGAATGGTCGTCCATTGTTTGGGGTCTACACCGGCATGGCGGAGAATCTGTGTGGGAAGGTAGTTGAGACACACGCCGATGGATAGTCTTGTCAAGGGTTCTACACCAGTTGTACTACAGCAACTTGTCATCCCTGCATCGCCAGGCATCAGAAGCTCAAAAAACCTGATTCCAAAATGGCGTGCCGCAGGCAGCCCATCTGGAGTTGAACTTCCAGAAGGACTTACCAAAGAGGCAGCAGTGTGTTGGGCCTGGTTTGGGCTTAGTGCAGTTTGGAGCTTGTACTGGCCCGTAAATAGCTCTAGATGCATCGCCGACGTATCTCGAGGCTGTCATGCGATCGTTGTTCTTATCCTCTTGGTGTCAGTGGTTGCAGTTGTGGTGTTCGCGGCACTTTCGGAAGACCTTTTTCGGGTTGATTCCTAACTTGAGAGCGATTCAAACCTCAGCTGCACTTGCAAGTCTCCACGGCCTTGTTGCCGCTGGGCCAGGTCCTGCAAGAAGCCCCTGCAGAAAACTTTCGCTGCCCACGAGCAGGTGACAAGGCTTGGGGGAGCAGCGACCCCCACGGGCATGTCGTCATACTTGGCTTGGTGTATGGCAGTTGTGTCAGTGCATGCCTTCAGTAGCACCTTGTGGCACAGCTAGCTCCGCACTTGTCGAAGCTGTTCGATTCGAAGCATTTGGCTCAGCAGCCTGACCTGTGACATCTTGACCGCAGTTGCCTCACAGCGAGATCCTGCAATGGCAGACCGCAAGGCTGTGATCAAAAATGCTGACATGGCTGAGGAGAGCGGCGATTCAATCAAGCAGCCTTGAGATTCGGAGCCTACTCGTAGCAGGTTGTGATGGTTGGAAGTGTTGAGCTCAGGTCTTCATCCTTTGTTGCAAGCATCCGTCCTTGAGCTATGCTTAGTTGGATCTCGTACCGTGCAGGAGACTTGCACTGCGCCAGGTTCATGGTCCGCCTCCACCATACCATCATCCCACATCGCAATCCAAGTTTCTTCAAAGCCTTCACGGCGTTACACCGTTCAAGTCATGAGAGTTCTGAGAGTTCTTGTACACTTAAGTGCCGTCCGGGGTATTGGTCGTTTCGATGCTCTACGCTCAAAGCCAAGATGCCTCCCCCTTTGCTTAAGCTTGCTTGCGCTTGTACGGATGCAGTAATGCAGGACATGCAGCAAGATGCCATTGACTGCGCCACCCAGGACCGATGCCTCGGAGAGTTGTGAAGCGTTACCCCCATTGATCATATGACAGTTCTCAGATGTTCTTAAGTTATCTCAGGTTCTCCTATGCTCTCCTCACCCGTCCTGTGATAAAACCGTTTGAAGATGCACAGCTCACCGTGTTGAGCACAAAGCCTGGGAGGCAAAGAAAGTGGGCAATCAAGTATTCAGTCCGCGAAACGTTGACAACAAGATCAAAGCTAAATAGTGCTGAGTTCACAAAGGAAGTGAGGTAACAGTGTTGCAGCATGCGACAGCCACACGAAGAGAAAACTTGCGGCTATCCTCTATACCGATCTATACTGAAGGCCCTGGAAAAGTACAACATCGAGCACCTTGGCAGCTCTCGTGACATCTCGTGGCCTCAGCGAGCCTTGCCGTTTTTTTCTGCTCAGCTGGTGCACACAACCACTGCCGAGGAAGGACATTGCTGCCTTCATCAAGAAGGAGTTTGACAAGAAGCAGCCTGGTATCGCAAAACGGTCTGGGGAAATCGTTGTTGTTCAGTTCGCTGGTTTACTTCAGTTCTGGCGGCATAGGTGGGAGGTGCGCACAATGCTGGCGCAGCAGAGCTTCAAGATGCTTCAAGTCAGGAAGGCACAATTCCGCAGAGGTGCACTTTCACATGCTCAGGTACAATCCCACATGGCATGCTGTGGTGGGCCGCAACTTCGGCTCCTATGTGACCCATGAGACGAAGCACTTCATCTACTTCTACTTGGGCCAGGCCACCGTCTAACAACAAGGCGAGAGGCTACATAACAAGGATTCGAAAGTAAAACACACGGAGTCTAGTGCGTCCAAGCATCCCTTCGCCCAGAATCACGACACACTCTCAAAGGTTGCCATCTTACTCTTCAAGTCCGGCTAGCTGAGACAAGCGTGGCGTAAAGCTCCTGAAGGGGCTGCTTTGCGACTCTGTGCGTGAGGCTGCCAGGGTGTAGGCATAGGTTAGCAGGCAAAAAAGTAGTTGCTTTGAACAGGCTGAGCAATTGGCACCTCACACAACAGCCGCTGCGGCCACCGGGTCGTGAATTCGAAATTGAACCATTCTCACTCAGAACTGTTGGGAAAGACACTCACCGGTTCATGCATGTTCACAGACCGACTGCTGCGGCAGCACAAATCAAGCTTTAAGACCAGCAGGTTGTCATGCAAGATTTTCACGCTGCTCATGATTCTCATCGGTATTGTACTACGCTGCTCCGGGACGTTAAGCTGCCGAATGTCGATCATGAGTTCAGCGGATATCGTTATCTCAAGTCGGGGCACAGCCAGCTCAGCCTTCTAAATGTCGACCCTACAGGATGAAGGTCCGAGTAGCCTTAGGTGAAGGCATTGGAGGACACCCGGAAGCTTTTTCAATAAGGTTTGCCTGCTGTGCAAGATTGCGCAAGTATGCAATGCCGGAGCATCCACTGCCTTCGAAGGGAGTGGCAACTCGGCAACTTGAGGCACGATGACAGTCCTTCTGTCAAAGCGGGGCAAGAGAAGAGTCGCTTCTACCCTCGGCTCTTTGAAACCGGACGCAGGCGATTCCTTGCAATGAATTTGGACTGCGACTGGATCCGGGCCTGGAGCACTTTGGCATTGACAAGCATCAACGAGTACGAGGGAGGCCCCAAGAATTTGAGATGTGAACACGCTTCCCTTCACCGGCCTTGACAATTGAGAATACACGGCCGCGTGCACAGCGTCGTACAGCATCCCATAGCCACTGAGTCTATTGGAAGTTCCTTGGAATACATTCACGCAACATGCCAAGGCAGGCATTGGCATCCGCATCTCTGGGGGAAGAGCTGCGGGTGCATCACATCAATGCAGGGCCCTTGGGGGGCATCTCTGATTTGCGGAGAGGATCCGAGAGGCCAAAGGCTTGCAAAGGCTTGCAGATGCAGTGCTCCACTTAATGTGCACACACAAACACACACGACTGCCAGGAAAAATGCAAAACAAAGAATGCAAACCAACTTTGCCCGACAGAGCAGAGCGAAGCACAATCAGAGTGCTGGAGAGACAGAGAACGGAGCGAGTGCTTTTGGGCAATTGGGTGTCACGAGTTCAAGTCACGGTTGTCCTCTTGTTGCCCCCATGTTTCTTCCGATGCCCTGTTTGTTTACTTGGCCTACGTGGCATTCTGATTGCTCCAAATTTCTGACCGTGTTCCGGTATTGAGTGCCGGCCGTCGACTTGACTTGAAAGCGCGACAAAAGGGCCAAGAAACAGGGCAGGGAGAGAATCCCCGCTGTGCCAAGCTCACAAGAATCACACTTGATTGGAGACACTGCTGAGTAGTTACTGTAGCTAGTAACTAGTTAGTAGTTGCTAGTCACTAGTCAGGTGCTCGGTTTTCCGGGGCACCCTTGTGGAAAGGTGGGGCAGCCTGAGAGGTGAGGCAGGTGGGGGGAAAGAGGACAACTCACCTGAGAGAACGAGCAAAAGCCTTCGAAAAACAAAGCTCTGAGGGAGTTTTGAAACTTGTTTCGCCCAACGGCTCTGAGTGAAAAATCGAGGGCAGAACCGCAGCAGGCCAGTCATCGTCCAACATGCTCAGAACGTTATCAGTGTCCGATGCCCCCCGTAGCCCGAAGCCTGTGGCTCCTAAGTTCAGGGCACCTTGGCTCGTCTTTGCCCCGAGGCAGCACTGCGTCAGGTCTCTTGGCCTGCAGCCCTCCAGGCCTGCAAAGCGTTTACAAACTGCGAAGACCGCCATGCTTTGGACTGGTCTCGTTGCAAATTTCGCTTGTGCATGCCAGGGGTTGGTGGAGTTGCCGGCTCTGCGATTCCAGGCAGAGTGCATCTGACAAGATCTCACACAAAAGCCATGCAATAACGATGCTCTGCATTCTCAATAACTCAATGTCAAGGCCACGGACGTCTCTCACAACGCAGCCGTTGCTGCTGCAGCCACTGTGCTGCACATGTTTGCATCACACTGGAGTACAGAAATAGCGGTGGGAAAACCCCGCAAGAAGAATGTGTCAGATTGTGCAAAATATATCATAGTGCCTCCAGAACCCCAAAAAAGCCCCGAGAACTGATGTCATCCCATGTGGCCCAAAGTGGACGAGGCCATGTTTGGGGGGGGAACTCATGTGTCAGCTCAGGCCTCTCAAGTGAGCTGGCCAACGGCTTTGGGCGTTCTTCGCCGAAGCTTCCTACGCAAGCTGCATAGTGTGCCTCGTCCGGTGCACTGATGAAGGGTGACACGAAATTATACGTGGGAGAAAGACGAAAAGTTATGAAGGGTTGGCAACTGATGTTCAACTCACCTGGAAGCTGGCTCAGTTTTGGGTTCGCCAGTCACAGACTGCACTGGCAATGCACTACCAGCCAGCGAGTGTTAGCAGCAATTGCTTGGAAACCCCCCCCGAAGTTTGCGCCAAGGGTACACGAAAACTTTGCAAGCTGCTTGCAAGGATATTGGCGTGAATTCAGCACTTTCTGCATGCGGCAAAAGGCAGCGGTGGGAGATTGTCATAAACCTCTTGGCTTCCATGTCGACCCTGGGCCTGAACATTCCGTGACTACACACTTTGCGATGCACGTCGAGACTTGGGAGAAAGACTTCCGGATTTCATCTGCATATACCATCATATGTCTGCTCAGGGCTTGGCAGCTCCGCCCGTCAACCATAAGCAGCTTGGCTTTGTGCAGAACCTCCGGTCAGAACGAGTCGAGTCCATTGGCAGCCGGCCAAGGCCACAACAGCTCAATGACGGCGATGCACTACTCCAACCGCTGGGACTTGGCGATTAACCTGCTCGGCAATATGAGCAGTGCCTCCGCGGCCAGATTGCACGTTCAGTGGCTTCCGATCAGTGTGACCTGTGTGACCTGCGTGACGAGGCAGCGTCCGTGTCTAGTGGCGGGAACCATGATGCCAGGGTGTGGGAAATTCGGACAGTCTTTCTGACTGCGACAACAGCTCTCAGTAGACTCAGTTGACCTGAAGGCCAGTCTGAGAAGAGTCTCTCCCGACATGAGCATTGCAACAAGGTGCCAGAAGACACGATCTCCCAAAACGCTGCGATCAGCTCCTTCGAGCGCAGTCGCCAATGGTTTGGAGTTCCTTGTATTATTTGAGTTATTTGTATTGCATGTATAGGTCTGGCTACACATGCTTGCAAGCTCCACGACTCCACGAGCCTCTCAAGCATTGCATCAGCGAGCAAAGTGCATGCGGAGTCAGGCTTTGGAGATGTTGGCTCATTTGTCCCTCGGCTGTGCTGGCGACCGCGAGCACTTAAGCCCGTGCTGTCAACATTTGAGGCACCGAGGCACAGGAATACCTAAATTGTCCAGGCTGCCATGTTTTGAGTGCACAATCGCACACGCACACCCAACATACATGCACGCACAACATACACACACACACACACACACACACACACACACCGCGTGCGACTTCGCAATGCCGAGGCCTTTGAAGAGACCGTGTCCTTCTGCTATTACCTTTAACGCCACCATCAGTGCTTGCGAGAAAGCTTCAGCTTGGGCTTCTTCCCTGGCCGTCCTAGCTTTGATACCTCCGCAGGCTCTGGACGGCAGAATGCGCATCTGCGGTATTGGTCACTGGGCAAGGTTGAATTCTGAAGCCAGGTTGGTGCAGACCTCTGCGCCTGCAACAGCAGCCTGAGCGCCTGCTCTGGGTCCTGGCTCCAGAGCTTAGCGCTGCTCCACACGCTGCCACTGCGGCGGCTAAGCGCAGAGCCTTAGCTGAGATTCTTGCAACATGCGTGGCAGCGACAGGTGGTCTGCAATGACTGTATTCGCGTAGTGGGCAACTTGGGCAAAGGACCAGTTCAGCCTCTCCACCATCATCAGCTCCTTTGACCGAGCTAGTTGCTGGAACCTTGCCATGGCCATTCTCCATGTGCATCCATGGCTCCTTCCAAACGAGGCACGCCTATTATAGCATCCGACATAAGACTGGCAGCAGCAAGCCGAAGCCGACGATCCAAGCCCCAGATGTTGCTCACAGATTTCACAGGTGGGTTATGGTGCCGCCATCAGTGCTTGCGAGAAGGGATTTGAATGGAATTGGGCCTTGGAGCTTGTTTGCCGCATGGACGCTGCAGCCTTGGTGCCGAACACCACCTGCTGCTTGTCTCTTCTTGCGCCAGCTTTGTGCATCAGGTAGGCACATTGTTCACAGAGGCTTCACACGGCTTGCTGGAGAATGTTAGGCTACAACTCGGCAATCTCTGCCTGTGAGAAGGGGTTCAGCTGGCTGCACGCCCTCGCGCTGCTTCAGGCCTGGCAACGTCTCTTGCGCAAACAACTCGCGAGTTTGTGTGCCATTCTGTCTTTCTGTGTTCCATCAGGTGATGGCCTCCTTGCATGTCCAAAGCCCCCGGGCCTTTCAATCGTTTGTCACTGCTTCATGCGTGCCTCTCCTGAGTGTTTTTCACTCCTGAGACGCATCAAGGTGATGAGACGTCTGTCAATGCCACCGCGAGCTCGCTCGAGAAGTGCACACAATGGCTCAGCGCATCTTGCTAGCAATTAGCAAAGCGCAGTACACGAACCTACATACGATCTAGACAAGAACGCCGCATGAAAGTAGTTCAGGCAGTTCTCCTACTGCCTCTCCTGCCAGCTCTGTCACCAGTGACTTGGCGTGCTGGTGGTCTAAAAATGGTTGGAAGATTTTGGAGGGGAAATCCGGGTCGGTCACCAACAGACGGGGTCGTCTACCTGTGCTCGCGGTGTCGGCCGCTAAACGAGTCGGTTTGCCGACCGGGGCGGTTGGTGTCAGGGAATAGCATAGATCGAGTCGGGAACTGTAGATGGCACGTGTTCTGCCACCATTTTTGTGGTGGCTTAAGCTTGACATCTGCAAGTCGTGACATCACAGCCCTCACGGCCCCTCCCAAGCTCTCCTTTTTTTCGTGTCTACGCAGTCCTCACAGGCTCCGCTAGCCGTCATGCATTTTTACATGACGCCGTTTGATGAAGTAAGGATGCTTCACAGGGTCTTTGGTTTTCGAAGCCCTGGTTTTTGGGGATCACGAAGGTTTAGGGGGCTCGGTCCATCTCGCACGTCGTATCTCTCTGGGTCGGCTTCTCTTCCGAAGACACGATTTGGAGGCTGTGCAGCGCCCAATCGGCCCGCAATCGAGCATCGGTGTGACAGGAATGAGGCGCTTCGCCAGGCCCCGAGGCTATGAAGCAAACACCAAGAACTACGACGCATGTAAGAGCCATAAGAAATTGATCGTCGTAGTTCTTGGTGTTTGCTTCATAGCCTCGGGGCCTGGCGAAGCGCCTCATTCCTGTCACACCGATGCTCGATTGCGGGCCGATTGGGCGCTGCACAGCCTCCAAATCGTGTCTTCGGAAGAGAAGCCGACCCAGAGAGATACGACGTGCGAGATGGACCGAGCCCCCTAAACCTTCGTGATCCCCAAAAACCAGGGCTTCGAAAACCAAAGACCCTGTGAAGCATCCTTACTTCATCAAACGGCGTCATGTAAACATGCATGACGGCTAGCGGAGCCTGTGAGGACTGCGTAGACACGAAAAAAAAGGAGAGCTTGGGAGGGGCCGTGAGGGCTGTGAGGGGGCTTGGGAGCTGCATAGACAGGCATGCTTGGGGCTGTGAGGGGGTTTCTGGGTTCCTGACACCACTCCGGGGTGGTCACCGACACTGCTGTGTAGGTGTGTGACTCGGAGGGTATCTGGTCCCCGATCGGGTCGAGACGGTGTCTGACTCTGGTGTCTGACACCACGGGCACCCGATTTTGGAAGAGTCTGCGCACGAGGACCGAGTGGCTGCTCAGTGCTGTAACTCGCCAAGTGCATGGTCGCAGCCACATTTGCTTTGTTCTTAGCCACGACGTTGAGGCAGAGCCCATGGCACACAACGCGACGATTTGCGCCTGCTTCAAAGGACTTCATGTTGCTCTTGAGCCACACAACTGGGGCACATGGCCGGTCACATGTGGTAAGGAACTGGACCTAACCAAAACGGACATGGAAACAACGCACTGTTTGTGACAAGCGTAGACTCTGGGCGTGGAATTCACACATCGCAAGCTAGCCTTAGCCTGTATGTGCAAGGAGGCTGCAAGTGGGTTTCCATCCTGTGCCTTGCTTGAAGTATTCAGCGCAGCATAGCGCAGCCATGACAAGAACCAAGAGCCATTGGCCGGTCTGCCGGAGCGGTTCGTCGGCATGAGTTGGGTTTGACACAACCTAGGCAATTGCTTACAGAGATCCCATGCCTGCGGATGACAGCCACTGAGGCGGCTTCGAAAATTCTCTCCCGAACTGACCCACTGATCCTGCAAGCTTTCGTGTTGACATTTCGAGAGGTGTCACTATTACATTTTCCCCAGTAGTCGAATCTGTGAAAGAATGTGTTATATGCACTGGGGCAGTCTCGAACACCCTGCTCAACCCATATGTCATGAATCAAGCTAACACTTCCTGCGGATTGTCGTGCCACATGCTGCTCGCTGGTTGAACCATATCCGCTGGCTATGTTCGAATGTTTCGTGGAAACAGGAAGCTGGCGGTAGGTTTGCGTAAGTTTTGTTTGTGGGAAGGCGTGCCGCATAAGCTAAAGCCATTTGTGCGTAAGTTTTGTCTTCGCGAGAACAGCTTTTTCAGTGTTTTTCTTCACGGCTCATCTGTCTCTCTGCGCGCGTCCTCCCAGCAATGAATCCCGGATCGGTAGCTCCGCCTCCAGGTGTCCCTGGATTCCGTGGTTTGCGCAACGGCTGCAGCCAGAAAATGGCGCCATGCCGCGGAGCTGCGCTTGACAATGGAGATGCTCGGCACACAGCTGCACAGACCATCGCTGCCACGGAATCGTTGATGAACGCAGGGGTGCGGGTGCCAGTCAATGTTCATGATTCAATTTTGACCGCTTGCCGCTAACATCAAGATGCAAGATGTTCCAGATGGTGTTGCTTTTGCTTGTTCAATCTTTCGCTGTATATCCAGAATCCAAAGTACAGGAGATTAAAGTTAAAATCGTCGTCGAATGGTTCGGACTCCCTAGCTAGGCCTGCAATCTCGTCGCTAGGGCTCTTGCGGCTCATGTTTCTCTTGTACCTGCCCCTGGCTTGGGTGAGTCACAGTTTTTGTTGTGGACTCGAAACACTGGAGATGCTGCAATTCTGTGCTTGGGCAGAAGCCGTTGTGATTCTGGATCTGGCACGTCCCAAAGTGATCATGGCATGTCCTTGAATTCTTGTGGTTTTGGATGCTCGGGTTGCACTTGCAGATTCTAGCTAAATATCGCCCATCGAGAGAAGCCAGGCAAGAAGATTACCCAGCGACATTCCCTCCGGCAGTGCAGGCTCCGAGCAAGCAAGATAGCTGCGGTAGAGATGTCCACCCCCGAAGAGATGTCCACCCCCGAGAAGGCCGCCGACGGCGTACTCCCGACGACGAACAAGCACGAGGGCTCGTGGAAGAAGTACGAGACCTACGACTGCGAGGTGGACCCGAAGCAGGGCGACCGCGCAACCAAGATCAAGCTGCTCTCCTTCAAGCGGCCGCACATGCGCGGCTTCCACTTCGCGTGGTTCGGCTTCTTCATCGCCTTCGCGTCGTGGTTCGCGTTCGCGCCGCTGATGCCGCAGATCAAGAAGGACCTGGGCCTGACCAAGGACGAGATGTACAACGCGAACATCGCATCTGTGGCGTCGACCGTGCTCATGCGCTTCGCTGTGGGCCCTCTGTGCGACAGGTTCGGCACGCGCACCATGTTCTCCATGCTGCTGACGTTCGGAGCTATCCCGGTCTTCTTCGGTGGTCTCGTGAACAACGCTACTGGCCTGGTCATCATCCGCTTTGTCATCGGTGTCCTGGGCGCGACCTTTGTGCCATGCCAGGCGTGGTGCTCGCAGCTGTTCGCGAAGGAGATTGTGGGCACGGCCAACGCCATGGCTGGTGGCTGGGGCAACCTTGGAGGCGGTGCTGTTCAGCTGCTCATGGTCGGCGTGTGGAACATGTTCCGCACTGGCTTTGACGACGAGCAGGCCTGGCGCCTTTCTTTCATCGTCCCCGGAGTTTTGACATGCGGTACCGGCATTTGCATGTACTTCTTTTCGGACGACTCGCCGAAGGGCAACTTCAAGGAACTGGAGCAGAGGGGCACAATGGAGCGCCGGTCGTCCAAGAAGTCGTTCCAGGAGGGTTTCTTCCAGTACAACGCCTGGATTCTATTCATCCAGTACGCGGCCTGCTTCGGCGTTGAGGTCACCATGAACAACATCCTCGCTGTGTACCTGGAGACCAAGTACGAGCTGTCGGTCTCCCTTGCGGGTCTCATCGCCTCCCTGTTCGGCCTCATGAACCTCTTCGCTCGCGCTATGGGCGGCGCTCTATCTGACAAGCTGTTCCAGTGGTTCGGCGCGGGCACCACCGGCATGCGCGGGCGCATCTATGCGCAGTCTATCTCTCTGGTCTGGGAGGGCATCATGCTCCTGATCTTCACCAGGATGGACTCTCTGGGCGCGACTATCGGCGTCCTGCTGCTCTTCTCGCTCGGTGTTCAGATGGCGGAGGGCTGCACTTTCGGAATCGTACCCTACGTGAAGCCCGCCGCAACTGGCTCCGTGTCCGGAGTGGTGGGCGCTGGGGGCAACGTCGGCGCTGTGTGCTGGGGCCTCATGTTCCGTTTTGGCCCATCGGAGGCCGACGATGTCCTGTTCATCCTTGGGTTTATCGTGATCGCATCGGCGGTCATGGGTCTCTTCGTGCTCATCCAGGGCCACGACGGGTGCATCACCAAAGCCAAGGGCGAGCCGGAGTCCCTTGACGTGATCTGATCTCACTTCCAGAGAGTCCCGCTGATGTTGTCTTCATAGATCCTCCGTGCTCTCGCACTGCACCTATAATTAATGTAAACTAACTTATTATTACTCCTAGCTAGCGAATGATTGCATGATGTGCTAGGATGCCCAGTAGTCCCCTTATTCCCTTTTTGGTAGGTTTAGGTTCCCCTATATCCCCCTTTAAGCAAAAAAAACACCCTTTTTCATCCTAGGTCACTGGGCAACCTAGTGTGAAGATGCTAGGAGTACTTGTGTTGGGCGAGGCTAAGCCCCTGCACTTCCCCCACCCCCCCCTCCACGTTGGCTTTCGCTGCGCCTGGAGGGCCTGCGCAAAAGCTCGTGTAAGGGGATTCTTCCAACGTTTGTTGCAGAGCCTTCACAGGGCCGCTACTTTTCCAGCCGGCAACTGCTCCAGTTGTTCGCCCTCCTCTCTGCCAGGGGTTCGTGCTGGGTCTTCTTTGGTTTTCCTTTGCTTGGGTTTTTTCTTGGGTTGGTGCTTTGGGTTTTTGGTTGGTTTTGGCTTGGGTGTGGTGTGGGCTGTTGGGTTTTCCGCTTGTCCCTTGGCAGTGGGGTGTGCGCGCAGGCAGGCTGGTCTGTATAGTTTGCAGGTCGGCGGAGCTCAGGGTTTTTTCTCAAACGAGGTTTTTCCCTGAGCTTGCTTGCTCGAGTCTTGCGGCACGAGTCCACGTTGGCAGCCTCGCGCGGAGCGTGGGCAGAAGGCGCGGCCATGCTATATCAGCTTCAAGCCAAAAGCCCTGAAGTGGTGGGAGCTGGATACGCTTAGGGTTTTGCTTCCCAAGCCCTTGATCCATCTTTTCAGTTATTCTCTTGAATCGACTGGAAGCAAACTACAAGAAGAAGGCGATGAACATCAGAAGAAGACTTGCGTGCTTTCAAGCAATTAATGTCAAGAACTCACTGATGCCTGTTGTCCAGGACTGTGAGTATGTTTGCATTGCATGAAAACATGTGCTACTCGTACTGGCTAGCACGGCATCTTGGCCTGCCTTGCATGGCCTGAAGATTCTGAAGGGGTGCTTGGCACGTTCGGAGCTGGAGTATTCTGAAGTCTTGCCTTGCCCTCGAGATGCGCAATCATGCGGCACAACCACAACGTGTCTGTGAACCTCAGGAAAGAGACTGGCTGCACTGGTTTTACTTACGAGGCCTGACAGTCCGCATCCAAGCTCGAGGTGTGGCTGACTAGCCTAGTGACACATGAGACATTTGTCGTTCCATAGCTTGCAAGATGTTGCAAGTACCCAACGGTATCTCTGTAGTTTTTTGCATGTACAAGAATCGGCGCGAGCAATTACTCGGCAACAACATGCCCAAGCCAAGCTCAAAGATCAGCAATGAGAATACCCTTGGCCCACGACTCGCAGTTGCGAACGTAGAACTTTCTTCGCGCCTATTCGCAACGTGGTCCTTTGAACTCGACCATGTTCATGTTCAACCCCTTGAGCGAAAGCTGACTCAGGCTGACTCAGAATCGGAGATTCCACCGAAGCCGAAGCCAACGCAGGCCACCTTGGGAGCTGCTGCCAGGGCCACCGCGTGGTCGGCAGCTTCCGGCCTCCTACTGGAGGCCACACGATGCCACACGCATACACGCATGTGCGTGGATATGCACGGCCCAGTAGAGTGCCGAGGCAAGCTATACCTATGTGTGTATACACAAATGGCTGTTCTTCGTTTGCTTTACAGTTGTGTCGCTCCCTCCCTTCTTCTCTCTAACTCTCTAACTCACTCCTGTCTCTCTCTCTCTCTCTCTCTCTCTACCTCTCTCTCAGCCTGGAAATGCTGTTGTGTGAAATCATGCTCTTGGCTTACAGTAGAGAAATCCGACACGCCAAGCTGCGAAACCATTTTGACAGCACTGCATCGAGTGAATCCAGCAACACATGTGTCGCGTGGCACGGCAGAAAGGTTTTGCATAGGCTGGCAAACGGACAGAAACGACAGCACCTCGAAAGAACAAGTTGGAGCGGAATGTATGTTGCAGTACCTTCATGCAGTTGGTTTCTGCCTCTGACCTGCCTAGCAGCTTTCCAACTTTTCAGCTGACATGGATGACATGGAATAGAGTCCTAGCCAGACTGGTTGCCTGTGGTTTCAGCCAGGTCGCCGAGCCTGTCAGCTGTGAGATCAGTGCAGATCTGCGCCGCACAACCTGCTTCAATGCTTCAAGCAGCGGCATGAAAGTTCGAAAAGAGCTGTGATACGCCAGACTTTGTCAATCGGAGCTGTTTGCGAGTGTGTGCACCATCCCAGGGCGGGCACGAATCAATCAATCAGAACGTCGTTGGATTAGTCGACTCGTGGCAGACCTAATGGAAGGGGCATCTGGCATTTGGCTTTCGGCATGAACATAATAAGGGCAAGTCTTCCATGCTCTGGGAGGTCACGGTGCATTACACCGGACGTCTGCAGGCATGGTAAAGTGCAAAGAAGCGGTCTGCAGATGGCAAGCATTGCTTGGAAGCCGAGTGCCGGATGCAGAACGAAAGCATGCCACCTAGTTCAGGCCACCGGAGAAGAGTTTGATTCTTCAAAGGACAAGGCACATCCATTGTTCCTCGCTGCCCACACCCACACAGACACAGCTGGCAAGTAGGGACGCGCGCAGCGTCAAGCCTAGTAGTGCGCAAGGCCACCGACAGGGTTCCTTTAGCAGCACAGCGTGCGTTACTGTACGTGCTTCTGCGTATTTCTGGGGTCAGAGCCAGGAGCCCGCTGTTTTTGACCTTGGCAAGGGAGAGGTCATCAAAGGTCGCGGCCTACAGATGCGGCCGTATCCGAGACACCAGTCAGAGAGTGTCAAGCATGTCCGGCTGCCTTCATAGCATTTCCTAGTCTGGCCCATAGGGTGCCACAGGTTTTTGGGCAGAGTACACCTGATGCACTATTTGCGTAGACTTCGGTCACTCTTCATAAGAGCTCCCGCAAGCTGCAGCAAGGCTGGGAAGCAGGGATCCCCACAATGCGTGTGGGCGAGGCCTGGGGCCTTTTCGGCGGAGCTTCGGAGCTTCTCTGACAGAAAACTCCGACACGTTAGCCCGTCTTTTTTGGCTGTCGCAGGAAGCGCGGTTGACGATTGCCCCGGAGCTGGCCTACGGCATTGAGGGCGCCAGGGTCCTCAGAAGGGCCCTCCAGGCTCAGATCTTGCAGGGACCACTGGCTTCAGAGCAACACGCTCGTGCTTGAATGGGCTTGGCCCTTGGCATCGGCACTCGGGAACTGACTGCGGGCCCTGAGCACGATTTGATACTACTCGTAAGATGCTGTAGGCAGCTGACACCTTGCTTGCATCCGCTCAGTTACCGCCAAAGATCCCATCCAACGCGACCCTCGTCTTTGATGTCAATCTCATCAGTTTCGATTGCAAGGCCAGGCTTGTCAAGAAATTTCCCCCGCATGTTGCCGCCCGCACTGCAAAGATAGAACAAGCATGAACAAGCACCAACGCGATGCTCGCAGTCGGCCTCAGTACTAGATGTGCCAGATGCAGACGCAGACAGCCTTCAATTGTAAAAAACACGTGTGTCGCCTGGACTTTGTAGGCAATTGTCGAGCAGCCGGTTTATCTTGCAGCACCATGGCCCGTCCGAAATCTTAGGGTGTGCACCCTCAGCCCGGCTGAATTGCTGCTCCATGGAGTCAAGCAACTGCTGCACTCTCAGCAAGCACTACCCATTCCCGGTATGCTGTCCTGTATGCCGAAGAGACCGTCAACGATGGTCACAATGCATCCTTTCGGGCAAAGGCCCTGAACACCCGTGACGCCATGGAGATCAGTTTGGCGCGGGACATCATGGCTTTCTGCTTGAGCCAGACGCAGGAGACACAATCTGGACATCAGCATGTGGGCAGTGTTTCAGAACCCGTGTTCCATGATTCTGCACGGGCACAGCTGTGGCTCCACGCATGAATGACACAATGTGGTACATAACATGCCCTCAGGCACTGAGAGAGCGGTCCAGTAAACTCGCTTTTATTGTCGGTGATGACGACTGGCTGAGGAGCGAGCAGCCGAGGAGCTCCGAAGACGCCAGCGTGGCGAGCGTCCCTAGGGCAATGTTTCATGCGGGGCAGTTTTGGTGCAGTTTTCATTTTGGTTTTCGTAGCTTCAGTGGTCGCCAGAAAAGGCGACTGCACCGTCGCGTGCTGCTATTATTGGGTTCAGCTCGTCCCTGTTCAAGAACCGATCCACGCCATTGCCGCCACCAAATGAAGCACAGCCTCTGGCAAATTTCAACTTCGAAGAAGGCAAGAGTTCAATGTCCGGTGTTTCTCATACTTGTGCCCAGCGGTTCTCAGACCAAGCCCCTCGTTGAAGCCAGGCGTGGCCCGGTTAGGAACTTGCGACATGTACTGCTAACTGAGTGCCAAACATTTCTGTACCCTAAGGGCCCAAAGGCCCAAGGCTTTAAGACTTTAAGAGCTCAACAACACTCAACACTCAGGCTGTGCCGAGCTGCTCGACCAGGTCATGCGCCGGCAACAGGCAAGACCTCGGGTTGCCCCCGATTACACTTGTTGCCTTGTCAAGGCGATTGACGGCAAAGACCCTGTCATCATCCCAGTCAGCTTGGTTCAGGAATGTTCAGGATAGCCAAGCTCTTAACTGAAATGTGCTCACCACATTCAGAGCTTTGGAGCTTTCTTCTTGGAGCATCGTCCCAAAGTCAAGACCTGTGCACAGGTCGCTCATGAAGTCGGGCGCTTTGCGGGGCTGGAAATGTCCAGCCGGCTTTGTGCTTTGCGCCACTGCTGGAATAGCGCTGGTTGCATGGAGCAGTCACCTTGGACCTCAGAATGTGCCCGGCGATTTGTACCTGTAAGAGCATGCCGGAGCCGACACTCGGGATCGTAACACACAAATTGTGCTCGTTCGTCTTTTGGTCATCCCCAAGTTTGTGTTCTAAGATCTCGTCTCCATGGCGCGAGCTTGCGAAGCTCACTCTCACTTCTGCGCAAGGAGAGAATGGCATGTCATCTGACATCTTGGTGCATGAACCTCACCACAACAAACAACGGCCAGGATTGAAACGTTTAGGGTTTAGGGTTTAGGGTTTAGGATTATTCTGCCGCTGTGTATGTTGCATGCCCATAGCAAAGTCATCCCAGAAGTTGGTCTCAGACGCGGCTTTATGACAAATGTCTTGCAAACTATGCCGTGCATTTGGGAAGCTAGCGTACGCTGTTGACAAATGAAAAACCGAAGTTGCTTGTTGCGCTCGCTCCCGAGCTTTTCCGATTCCTCTTGCAGGATGCCCGCCCCGAGCTCTACGTCGCTTGATTCCATGACGAAACTGGAAAGGACCCAGTGTTGAACACGGAGTTGTCCATGTTGAATGATGAAACCACAAGTTTGCAGCTGCCTGAGCTTCGTCTCTTCGTCTCTTCATCACTTGCCACGCTATCATCGTATGTCCATGTCCGCAGCTGCAATATTGGGGCGCTATGTAGCTGAAGGGTCGTTCTAGTAGCAGCTGCGGTAGCTGCCAATTTGGCTTAGTACGGGCCCACAGGCAGCACGTGTTGACTCTGTTGAAGCTCGCAAAGTTTGCAATTTTCGCCATAACGAAGCACCAAATCAATTTTCCACGTGCTCTTTGAAACTGTACATCGGGGCATCTCCCAGTGAGGTTTTTGGTGGTCAATCCAGCCGCCAAACGTTGGCGTCGGTCGAGCGCTTCGACTGGGCAGCTTGGAAGCAGAGAGCCACATGGAATAGCCACACAGTCACTCTAGCTTTCCTTGGAATCGTCTCAGCAATACTCATTATGCAATCCGTCAAAGCAGAGAAGAGTAGAGGGCCGATGTGTGGCACAGGCTAAGAGTCACCTCTCCGTTCTTACTTTGCAGGTGTTCTGAGTTAGGGTCCATGTTTTCGGGGTTCAGCAGCATTCCGTAACCTCCCCATGTCCAAAGCTACTACAGGCATCGAATCCCCCGGTCCAGTTTCCGACTCCCCCTTGTTTGCTTCAATCCCTGTATGCAAGTTTCACGTTTGTGCATGCGTCTGTACGCAGTCTGTTGGAATTCGTACCCGACTGGTTCTCGAACCAGTTAAGCTATAGTGTCGAAGTCATTTAGCATTCGAGTGCTGTCGCAATGGTGTTCCGGATACGTCCGCCTGTTATTCCCACTTTCGGAATCAAGCAGGGCATAGTAATTTCTTTTTGCAATTCAGCACACGCCGGTTTATGGGCGCTCTTCTCAACGTACGATGCAGAGATTCCGGGCCTGATGCAGAAGCTACCGCGATTCATACACTGGGGGCCTTTCTTTTCTCATCCATACTGCTTCTCTGATCTGCGAATCTGCATGTGCAGTTGTGGAAAGGTTTTGAAAAAACATAAAGAACAACATAGCTCCCACCCAGACGGTCATACGCTTTGATGCAGTTACACCTGAAGGTGATGTGCTTAGGAGAATAGCCTCGTACTTGTCATCGGCTGGTTGCGGCGACGTAAGCCAAGCGAATCCTTTCAGCTGCATCCCAAGCTGTTCTTCAATACCGAATGAGGACTCACTTCTCTAAAGGGTTGGGGCTCTGCTGTTTGCTCAGAAGCTAAGTGCTTATTGTGCTGTGCTTCCAGCTATGAGGATGACAATGTCGAGACAGGTGTGTCCAGTCACCGTTGCATCCAGATGTCAGGATTCTGGAACCTGGGAGTCCCTACCGCCAATGCCCACAGCAAGGAGCTTCTGCTGCGCAGCAGGCCAACAACGAGTCCACGCAAGCACGAAGCAACCCTCAACATGCCTCCGTAGATCTCATGATCCTGCATGTCCTGATGATAGAGACATGGTAGAGACAAAGCCAACTGCTGTGCTGATGAACACTGCATGCCAGCCCTCGGTGGCAAGCTTTTCGTCTTCGGTGGCGAGAGAGCAGCTTGGCATAGCCTGACCAAGCCAGGAAGCCTTAACCGTGCAGGCTCAGCTAGAACCTGCCGACACGCATCAGGTCACATCAGTCGTATTCCAAGCCCAAAGTGCAGTTGCAATTGTAGTATGTGGCCTCCAGAGTCGGGCTCCCGGCGGCCTGAGCGCAGCCCACTGTGCAATCCCGCTATTGTCAAGGATCAACGTGCAGCCTTCGCAGCTGCCGAGTGCTTCGATCCGGCGACGAGCCTGGCTTTCCGAGACACATAGATATTCAGGAGACAGGCGCAAACGAGAGTGGGGTACTACTCATGCAAGCCGTTTGCTTGACAGTGTCTTCAGGCATGTGCAGACCATTCGCCATGTGCTAGAAAGGTTGCATGGCTGTTGGAATGTTGTAACATCGGGCCGCTGCCTGCATTGCATGTGCTGAGTGATCGGCTTCGGCTGATGTATTCGCACGCTCAGGTTAGCGGCGAATGGGAACGACTCCCTCCCCTCCCAACGCCTCCCGCGCTGCACTTGCAGTTCCAAGATGTTCGAAGTTGCGTTGTCATCCTTCTTGCAAAGACTTTACAGTAGGGTCCAGTTGTACAGGTATGCTTGTGCGATAAGTGGCGGGACAACTGCTAGGCCCAGGGCAGGCTGCGCGGCCGCTTCAGCGGCCAAGCGGCTCCTCGCGACTGGGCTAAAGCTTTTGCATGGCTCGTAACAGGGGTGTCTGCAGCGTGCAACCGATATCGATATCGACCGAGCCGTACAGCACCATCTGAGCCCTTGTCTCTTTAAACAGTTCCGGAGTCGTTACACGATTTCAAAAGAGATGAGTTCGAAAGGCATGCCACACGAAATGTTCTTTCGACACCTGGAAGACTTGACTTAATGGTGTATCCCAACGGGCACATCCCAACGACGACACGATCCTGAATTCGCAGGCTCAACGTGACTGAATTCCGGCCCCTACTAAAGCCGGTCCCAGACTAGCAAGAATACTCACAGCAGCAGTATCCTCCTGAAGACGCGCTTCGAATAGTTCATCCAGAGCGATTGTAGGGTGGCCCACGTCACCTTTCCTGACGTCAGAGGTCTGCGGTGGCTTGGTGATAGCTTGGCAAGTCTTGGCTTCTCGGCGAATACGCGAGTGACACGCGCATCATGCGCATGCTGCATCATCAATACACCGATGCACTGACTGCAGTGAGGGTACAGGTAGCACAGCTGTAATGCAGCTGGCACGGTGCCTTCCAGGATTCCAGCACAGTCGAGGTGCAACCCGTCCAAAATCAAAAGCCAATGCAAGCCTGAAATGTTGCCCTAAATCAAAGTGAGTTCAAGCTCTAGGCTGCAGTTATGTAAGATACGGCGCCTGCAAAGCGGGTTTCAAGTCAGCGCAAAGGCAGTTTCAGAACAGCCGGACAGCTGCAAGGACGTGGTTGAAGGCTACGATCCAGATAGTCGCAAGTGGAAGAGGCCAGGCTGAGCCATCCTTGGTGGTTCTAGTGGGCAAGATGGGCAAGTCATTAAACGCCTGCAGATGTTTTGGGGATGTCACACAGTGCAGATGGCACGCCTGTCAGGTATCCCTCGATGCCCACTCCTCGTTGTGGCTGTGCAGCCGCGGGCTTCGCAGATCGGGTCTCATGGCATTTGGCATGAGAGGAAATTGCAGATACTGTACGACAGGAACCAATTTCAAACTGAAGCAAGTGTCCATTGTGCCCATGCGCCTCGAGACATGCGAAAGCCACTTCCAGGTTATCGTTTGCGGCGGTCAACTCGCAGATGGTACTGTCTTGGACAAGGCGTGGGCCTGTGATGAAACATGCTGGCATGAGCTTTCGGCCGACTACCCCATGAAAGCATCTATGAATTCACCAGTGCCTGCGCCGACGCTGAAGCGCACAAGCAGGCACACAGGCAAGCACAATGGTAGTGCGCCTGCACATCCTCCACTTTCGAGCCTGCACCCTTCGTTAGGCCAGGTAGGAACTCACGGCCGTGCTCGCAATGCAGCTCAACTTGTCCACATGTGTGGGCGACGTATCCATCTCCCTCAGGACATGGTCACATGGCCACAACACACAAAAGGGCAAATCAAATCGCAAAACGTGAACTTCATTGAACTAGATTGCTGTGCCAAAGGTGGAGATGCTGGACATGCGCACAGAGATCTGGGAGCGCCTGGCCGCGCCCAGTCCTGATCGGACTTTTCTTTTACGAGGATATGTCATGTCATTCATACGCGCTTGTGCGTAAGCCGGAACTCAGTACTGTAGCGGACCGCAGCCGAAGCTTTACTTCTTCACAGCGCGCTTGTGTTGAAGCCCTCTGCGACGAGTAAGACCAGAATCTCAAGGCGTACGAAATCCTCGAAGTTGCAGGTCGGAAAGACAGAAGGCTCCAACTATACTTGTGCTTCGTGCTTTCGCATAAGCTTTGCAGGCACTGCCCTCGGCGAGGAGTGGCTGCAGTGCAGCCGTGGTGGCAGGGAACCTGCTGGTCGCGCAGCCATGCACAGGAGCTTTCAAAACCATTCAACAGACACATACGATCACATACGGAGACCTGCAGTGCCCTCTTGAGCTCACCATGCGCGCTGTGGTCACTGAACTGGGAGTCCAGTGCTTGGGACATTCCATAGACGGCGTAACTTGAACTGGAAATGTCACAGCAAGGAGGCTGGCTTGCCATAATATGGTGGTTGCCAGGTTTTGGATCTTTGGGTTGTGCTGACGCTTACGACTCCTAGGTGGTCGGTGGCCTGGGCGGCAGCGGTCTCACAATTCCTGTGGTGGACCGCTTCGACTTGGAGGCTGGAACCTGCGTCAGAAAGGATATATCATTCCAGGTCTCGGTGGCTTGGGCTACTTTTGGGAGGGCGCACTGTTGTTTCTGACAGGCCTTGGGTGCGGGGCATTTCTTCTGAGCCTGCGTCTGGTTAATTTGTGTCATGTGCTGGAATGTTTGGTCTGGCTTAAGGTTGTTGCACCATGCCTGCAGACCTAGCAGCATCTAGCAGCCAAACCACGTAAATGGCAAGCAATGTGACTAGCGTGTGGCTGGGCGGCTACTGTTGGGGATTGTTGGGGTCGGTCGGCGGCTTCCATGGCTCAACTCGCTGCAGGCCAGAGAGTGGGCCTCCCCCTTGTCGGTATCGCTTGCTCGGGCTGGTGCTGCTCTGTGCGTCGTGGGACACACTATCCACCTGCTCGGAGGTCGCCCGAGCATCAAATTTTAGTTGTGTCTAACCGCCACGGTATGAAGCCAATGTTGTTGTTGCCTCATGTCTAGTATTGGTTCGAGTCCGGTTGCGAGACTCAGATCTGAGGCTTTGATGGCAACCGGCAGGACTGCGACCGCCACGATGCGTTGGATGTGCAAACTGCCACAGTCTCATCGCTGCGGCCGCTGCCAGCCCCGAGGAGTCGCAGTTTACATATGTTTACATCAGCTGACGGCAGTTCCAACTTCTGATAAGAGCTGGTCAGCTAATGTTCGGTCGTGAATACCTGCACCAGCAGAGGCCCGAAACCAAGACAGACCCTCGATTCGCGAGTGCTGCCTGAAGGAGGTTGTGCTGCGGTGCTGCCGTGGCCCGCTAGCGGAGAAAAAGCTCCAACAGCGGATGTGGTTGGGATGGATGAGGTTGCGAAATCGAGGTGGTAGCAGTGGTAGCTCAGGTAGTTCCCACATGTTTGGCCACGAGCTTCCGGGCACGATTAGCTTTCGTTCAAGGTCCAGAACATGAACCGCCGCGCTGGCAAGCTCCATCTGACCATAGTAATTACAATGAAGTAATCTAAGCGGCTGCAGGTGGCATGATGGGACTTGCAAAACAGTTCTTACAGGGAGGAAGCTTTGTTGAGTCACGGGAGCGTAGGTTCATGTTCGAATCGCGTGCCGTCAGGACAATCTGTTTGGCGACTGGGCCTGCATGAGGTCGGGGATGTTCTCTTGTTGTCGCGCGACACATTCTTTGGATTCCCCGTGCGTTGCACATCAAACTGCAGCATTACCCTTAACCCGAAAATGAACCCAAACCGGAGAAATCCGGCATGAGCCAGGGAGGGTCAGGGGCATCCAAGGCATCAAGGGTTTGCACTTGAAGGCCTCGCTTCATAGGCAAATCTGTTTGTAAGCAAATTTGGCGCCATGCTGCCCCGATTTTGGGCCTGTCGAGCGCAGGCTAAAGTATGGCTTCAGCTGGAGTTGCGGTAGTCTGCCTTGCAATTACACCGATTGCGGGCATCCCACAGCTGAAGTGTCGAACGACTTTGACTTCGAAGAAATTTTTTCCTGACGAGCACCTCCCGCTAGCTTTCGATTGGGTGGAATAGGATGCTTTTAGCTTGCGCACCTGGCAAATTCCCGAAGCAGGCGATGGGCTTATGAGGTCGCCCCGGCTCTGTCGCGCGTGGCTAGTATCCACTGCTGAATGCATTGCAGGACAGTTATCCGCGAGGGCGATGGCTGGGGCTGTCTGATGGAAGATTGCGAGGCCTGGGCAGCTGTCCAGCTCAAGCTTCAAGCATCTACGAAGTGGTTCTGAGATGCACAGTCATGCAGCGCAGCAGGTGGAGATTTCTATCCGGGCGGAAGCAGAGGACTATTTCAGTGAGCTCAGGAAAGCTTTGTTTAGCACTTCCGGACGCAATAGCACCGCTTTTGCACAGGGCGTGCAAGGCAGTTTACTTGCAGGGCCATGTTCACTTGCTTTTTCTTCGTGGTAGTACACTGTTCGCATACACATGCACATAGAAACGGAGCCTTTCTGCAGGATGGTCGAACACTTGAAGAGCGGCGCCAGGCGGGCTTAGTTGAATCCGTCGACATGAAAGCATCATGTGGAGCAGCATGTGATTCACACAGCCTAATCATTGGGCTGGGGAGAAATGAGTGTTTGAGAAGCACGCATGAGCAGAGCAGATGTCAGAGTCTGCCAGTATGGCCATCTTTGCAGGTGCCGTACAACCTTGGCTCGGGAAAGCGCTTGACTTACTCAACGGATTGTGGCCATAAGTGTGGCCAAAGCGCGATGGATCGTTGACCCAGTAGTCAGGTCACTGACCGCTTGCCCATCTGCAGCTCCTTCTCCTGAAACCGGAAGCAAGTTAGCGGCCACACTTTTCCACACATTTACTTTTGTCAGCCTTTTGTCAGTATACGGTTGCCCAAGAGGAGGGAATCATGTTTAAGCCAATGTGGAAGTACGTGGAAGCACTAATAGAAGATCATGGAAGCAAGAATGGCGTAACATGCATGCTTCGCCTCCGCCGCGTTTGAGCCGGAAATGGTTCGGTCCTCAGCGGGTTATGAGTGGCAAGCCTGTTCCCACAAAAAGGGCAGCACAGAAGCGCTCCAGAACCGGGCTAAATGTCGAATGGTGAAGGGTAAGTGCATCTGAAGACCGATGCCAGGAACTGCTGGAGGCATTGACGCTGATTGAGGATGACCTCACCTTGTGCGCATGCATTCTGCTCGAAACTCTAGTGGTCCTGAGCCTGGACAACACGGAATAACTGGTTTTCTTTTCCTGAGGGTGTGCCATTGAAACTCAATCTAAAAGCACATTCTGACCTGCGTGGGCACCACAACAACCGCGCGCAAGTAGACACAAAGTCTGCCCGCGTCGCGCAGAAGTGCAGCTTCTGCTTGGGTACGGAAGCCAACATCACACAACGCGTATCATGGATGAGGGAAGACGCACACAGCTCATGTCCAGGTCGTACAAAAAGCACAACATTACCTTGTCCGTCACCTCACGTTGCCACGCACCAGAATCCTATGCCTTCTAGGCGCTTTCATGTTGAATGTCAAGTTGTCTGTTCACCAAGGAAGTTCTTTGTGCTTCTCCTTCAGTACCTATACCGCAGCCCACCGGGAGGGCAAAGACATCCAATACTGCGAGAGCTGTCATGCGCTTGCGAATGGGTAAAAGCTGGCTTGGGAAACTTGACTGGCCCGACCAGCAAGCCTGTAGCGGAAGCTTGGGACTCGCTACAAAGAAGGGTGCTCCTGTACTTCGGCAGAACCATGTTTGTTTTTGCCTCTTACCGCATCGTTGCGGTGCAAGTGTGGTATGTTCAGGGCAGGAGCCGTGACGATCCATCTATCGATTTGCCACTGCTGGGTGCCTTTGCGGTGATGCTGATGGTCTCGACCTTCCCATGTTTTCGAACACGGATGGCAATGGACCTAGTGTTCTGGCTGCTGCAGTTCCTGAGCTTCATCTCGATGCTGCTGGCTCGGACGGATCACATGTTCCAAGTCTTGTTGTTGACCCCAGGCCGAACAACATAGTGTTTCTCTGTTTGCTCCGGCCTCCTTCCCAATGTCAGCGTGACTGTATGCTCTCAACAGTCTGAACAGTTAGACAGACATTGAAAATGCGTCAAGTCTCTAAGGACTGTGATCATTCGCACTGTTTCATCCTTGTGGGTCCGATCTGGGCGGTGGGCTCTCATCGCACACTTGCCGAGCCCTGCCTTACCGGTGCAGTGTACTGAGGTTTGTCAGGGTATCAGGCTCAGACAGACGCGCGAAGGATTCCTCAGAATCTGACCGACAGCTTTTCTACTGTACCCTGCATGAGAAGACTTGTTATATAGGATGCCATTACAGTAGAGTAGAGCGTGGGAGGGTGTTCTCCGGACCTATCAATACCTTCTGAGTCACCAACTTGTTGAGGTTGCTTCGTGGTTCAGCGCTCATAAGCCCCAGATCATGGGTTTGGGATGCTGTTCATTGGACCCACCCACATGTTGGCAACATTCGAAACTCTTCCCCATTGATTCTGCTCCGTTGTTTTGACAAGGTGCCAGCCCTAACTTAGTTAAGTACAGCAGGTTCTAGCCACCAGCCCAGGAATTCCGTCTACGTTCTTTATGCAGTGCCGTCGCTTGGCTTGCACCCAGTATCTGTCCCGGCAGACTGCGTGGACTGAGTTCCTGACATGCCACCCAGCACGAACTCTGATAAACAGCACGGTGACTTCCTGAATTGAGCTGGGAGCTGCAAACTGGCCGGACTGGGCCTTGAATTACTACAAGGGTGGCCATAGTCTGTACAGCCCAGCAAAGCGTCCACATTCAATTGTCAGACCGTTTTCTAGTTCGCAAACTTGAGCAGGAGAGCCTTGAACGGTGAAGTCATTCTTAGTCACGCAGTCATGCACCAGAATCTTCGGCATTCGGGCTCAGCCAATGTTTTTTGAATTCAGCAACTTGAGGATGCCACGCTCCACCTCCTTGGCTGCAAGCCTTGGCCTCGCCCTGGCGATCATCACCGTGCGCCAATTCATGTACCAGACGGTGGAACTGTGCTGCTGGGCCTCAACAGCCTCAACATTGCCCCCACATTGGACGAGATGGCAAGTAGTAACTTAGTAGCCAGAGTCGAGAGCAGGAGAGGGTGCGCAGTTCGGCATCATTCGGGGCTCTACTGCAACGAACTCTGAGTCCTACAATGCCATGTTTTTTTGGTATTTGGGGTCATTGTTGGCTTAGCATGAGCCGCTTGATGCTGCCACTGCTGCCTTGAAACCTGAACTCGAAGCACGCCAGGCGTAGCTCTCAAGACGAAGACGATCAAGCTCGACGCTGTTTCCGCTCTTATGACAGGTGACGTGGCTAGGTCTCAGTGTGCAGAGATGAGCGCATGACAGCTTTGGCAAATGCAGGCTTCTGCGATTGCGTTGTGCATCTAGATCGCGACCTCAAGCTACTGGAGGATGGCGGGGCTTTTCCCATCAAAGCTGCAGTTGAGCTTGCATAGCACTTGCAAGGAAGCTGGCATAATCGTATGACACTCCGGAGAGCACCTCAACACCGGCTCCGGGTCCCATTTCTCCCTACAGTCGACTGCATCTTTTTTCAATGGGCAGTCTCACTCGGTCCCTCCCTGAAACAGGGGCGGGCAGAGCGGGGCGAACACCTCGCCCCACGAAAAAGAAAGAAAGGGAATAAAAGGGAGGAAGCTACCCCAGCCCCCACGCTGAGGCTCCCTCCGAGCAACCTCAGCCACCACCCCACGGAGCACTCACTGTGGCACCTCCCAGCAGCGAGAATCAAGCCGACAAGCTGCCCAGCGCATGCGACAACAGATCATCCTGGAGCACCAAAATCGGCATCACCCCATACCACCACGTGATCCATTGAGATTGCGAAGCAATGCAAACCATATGCCCCCTGAAGCACACTGCGTCCTCAAGGGAAAGAGAGCTCTATATGCCTGTGTCACTCAGGGAGCCTTCGGGAAAGAAGGCTTGCAAGAAAAGAGGAGGTGTGGCATTCAAGACAGGTTTTGTCGCAATGCAAATGCTGAGCTTTCCCAATGCTATACCACCAGGTGATCCAAGGCGACGAGGAATCAGATCCCATTTTTGAATGGTATCTCTGTAGGTTCAAGGGCCCCCAGCTTCAACCGCATGAGGTCAGTTCGGAAAAGCCCGTCCCAGAAGGACTCTCCGCGGATCGCCGCGCTGCTCCTCTGCGGCGCATCCCACGGCACCACCTGCACTCGTGGAGCCAGCTTTTTGGAGCCGCCGAGCAGCAACCCGAACCCTCAGGTGTTATCGGGCTCTGTGGGCGACATGCGTTCTGCATCTGTCTTCCATAGTCAGACAGACATAGCCAGAGCATGTCAGAGCTAATGTAAGACCGTTGCTGATGTAAGAATAAGGCAGCCGCCTTTTCGTACCCAAAGGCCGACATAACCACTAGTTTGTGAGCGCAAGAGGAATCGAGGTGTTGCAAAGATGCCCAGTTCACAGCTGTCCGGGTAATCTCACATCATACTGGAGACCCGTTTCTGCTCCATGGGACCCTCAACTGAGGTTGGTTTGCGAGGACGACCGAGGCAGTTTAATGAGTCTGCTTTGTGCTAGTTGTCTGGTTGGCTTGGGGTTCTTTTTGATTGGCACTGCGCTGCCACCGCACTTTGGACTCGAGACTCTAGACGCTGCAGCGAACGGTACCTTGATGGAGCAACGAACACGAAGAGTCGCATGCCGGCACATGACCCCTGAGGCCGCGTTCAAAGCGTGTTTGACGACTCCTTCGCTGCCATGCCTGTGACACATTCCTTGGCCCTCAACGTGCGCCTGGTGGATTCGGACGGCAATCAGGTCAAGGCCATTTGGGAGGGGGCTGACGCGGATGTCAAGTGCAGCTCAGTCATCTCGGTCTGAAGGTGAGGAATGGTGAGGATGTTATCATCTAGAGCAATGTCTAGCACAAGCTCAGTCGAATCCCGGGAAAGTTGCGAACTTTGTCAGATGTCGGCCACGAACCTGAAGTGCCAACAGTTGTTGACAGTTGTTGAGTTTCGCTTGGCCTGCGATGCTTGCAATCACACGCTGTACCAGGTGGAAATGATGCACATGCCGTTCTTTGACGAGCACGGAGAGCCTTGCCACTTGCTTGGGGTAAGGGAATCCGACGATGTCACTACTGCGGCGACACTGGCACCGCTACATCGCGACACGGTGTCGGCAACATTAGTCAATTTCGGAGGTGCGACAGAGAAAGCTTACGTCGTTTTTGATGCCATGTCTTTTGACATCCTTCTCGCGAGCAGTGACTTCGAAGCCCTGTTTGCGAAATGCACCGGACACGCAGCAAATCTTGAGGATATGAGTGTTCATGACTTATCCGCAGATGTTGGAAATTCGTCCCTTAGTCGGAAGATTCAGATTGCCGTAAACTCGTTCCACAACAACAGCACGTACTCCTCGAAGAGCCTGGATTTGGGCAGCTTCCGCTTCTTTGGCGCGTGCAAGATGAAGGCCAGATGAGTCGGGGGGATTTTGCAGAAAATGGTTCAAAAGGGTTCAAGCATTTCAGGCTTCAGGTTGAAGCTTCACCTTCAGGATCCATAGGGATTCTCCAGGGACTCCAGGCTGTCGGTGTCATCCGGTCACATACTGCAACACCAACGCGTTCGTGGGCACGTGAATGTTGGGGGAAAATTCGGAAATTCAGTCAGTCTATTCTGAGGCGTGCAGTCTATGTCTCAACAGTGTGAGATAGCGTGAGCGCGTGTTTGCCATGCAAAGGTGCAAGTGGATCTGCAGCACGATGCGGCATTGGCCACGCTTGTTGGGACGCTCCACGTCACGCCAACAAATCCCGGGTTGCTGCTTCAACCCGAGGCTGCAGAGAGAAAGCATATGTCGCTGTTTGACGTTTCGGGAGCCTAAGCTCCGAGGTCTTCCAGAATTTCAAGCTTCCCTTGTCACAGGTGCATGTGGGGCGCCGCAAGAAGGCTCGCAAGCATTTGGCTAGTCTGCTGCTCAGCGGTTGCCGCGTGACTGGTGGAAGCTCTGCACTCCAATCGCTAAAGTCAACACCGCAAGCCCCAGATTGATCAAGGTGGGCGAAGAAAGGCGACCTCTTAGGCTCACGAAGATTTAAGCTTCTCGGGCGATTGTCAACCGCGCAACGATCACCAGACAATTTTGTGCTTAGTTGGCCCCGAGCCTGTACTCATGGAACGCCAGCGGAACAGCAGCTAACATGAATCAACCGACACAGCACTGACCCGCTCAGTAAACAGCCTGTTACAGCCCAGCCTGCGCCGGTCAGAATGCTAAGTCAGATTGAAAGCTGTGTAAAATGCCTGGAGCTCTTGCCCACTCGAACCCATGAACTGGCTACACATACTCGCACATTTTTGAAGCAGCACATGGCACAGTGTCAGGCTCTAATGGATTCGGCAGTTGTCGAGCTTGCCACTTTGAGCAAAGCAAGGTCCACGAGCTGTGATGACTTCCTTTCCACCTCGCTCGGTGATTGGGCTTTAGCACAGCCATGCCGCTTGTAATTGGTAGTGGCTCAAAAGGAATACAGGGCTCAGGACTTACGGGCAAGATCTAGTGAGGGCTCGCATCATCTCAGGGCGTTGATCAGTTTGTATTGAACTTTCAACATGCTGCATACCCTGCTGATGGTGTAGATGCCGGGCTGCTGTTGTGGCTGAGCACAGCCGCAATCAGCATGGCATGTAATCAAACATTTCTCCACCAGAGACCGTCAAGTCAGGAAAAGTGCTCCTAAGTCACCTCGCCTGAACGAAAGAGTCCTGAGTCAGAAACATTCCAGACCCAAGCCGAAAGCAGAGAAGAACCACGCCAGAGGAAAAAGTAGTGTACCCAAACTTTGGACCCTATTGCTCATTGCTGAGTGGGCCCTTGTTTGTCGGATGTTATCCCCTCGATTGGAAAGCAGTTGTAATTTCGGGCCCTCAAAAAATGCAAGGGCTGCAACGACCCATACTTTGGGCACCGACTCGAGCCTCGATGCGGACATCAAATCCCAGTTGAGCCACCGTTCGCGTCCACCGGGGGTCCACCGAAAATGAGAAACGGCTGTTGGTTAAAGAGAGCCATGAATAGATCCCAAAGCACACGCATAACATGTGTAAAGGACCCTCAACAAGATGGCATCGCGCGGCCCTTGGATAAAAACTGATGATCGGTTTTGGGGCAAAGGGCTTTTTGTTTTAGGGTTTTCGGGTTTGGATTCCTGTTTTCCTCTCGTTTCTCTGACTCGTGCCGTCTTATCTTCTGACTCGTTTTTTTGTTTTCGGTTTTCCTGACTCGGCGGTCACCCGGTGCACCCTGGGATGGGGGTTGCTACTAGTAGATTTGCATTCTCATACTCCCAGAGAATCCCACATAGAATTCGACAGAGTGACCACTCTTTGCGAATCGTGTCTTTTCGCATTGCGCGACACAAGTCCAGCACATGTAGACATGCATCGACCTGCGAGAGGTAAAAGACAGCGATGCAATTGGCATTTCCGGGGCTCCAAAAGGGTTTAAGACCGTTTGAGGGCTGACCTCTGGGGGTCTTTGTTGGAATCGGCCATAGTTACCATAGTTGATCTGGCAACCCCCAGCCCGCGTGCTTCTTGGGAAGCTCCGGCACGCGATGTGCACTGAAATGATTTTCACTCAATGAAGTGAAGGCAGAAAGGGAACAAAATGTTTCCTTAAGGCGACGGCTATCCAAGGAACAGAATGTGATTGATATTAGATCTGAACATTTTCTGGAGGCAGTTGGAACCAGCTGTTGTGCAATTTGCATCAATTTGCATTTGTGCGCGTCTGTAACTGTCTGCTGCAGGCTGTAGTCGATGCATCGGCGCTTGGAAAAGAAGGTGCTTTGCGCGCCTGGTCGGGGCCGGGGCTCTTCAGTTTCGGTGTCGCGGTAGGACTGCCATACAAGGGACTGGTATGGGCCGCGATGGGTATGAAGTCTGGTCGCAGTCAGGTTCGCAACTCCAGCATGTTTCAGTTTGTGGGTCCTGTATAGCCGTATGAATGTGGCCTGTGCCTTCATCAAAGGAGCTCAGCTCTCTGCTGGGCGGGGTGAGGGGGGGGGGAGTTGGTTCAGCTTTGAAGTACTCAACTTGTGGATATCAATGAGCCTGGTAAGTCTGCAGCATTTAGAAACGGAACGTCCAAGAGGATGGCATGCTTCATTTTGTGGGCTGTGGGCATCTTTGGACATCTGTACGTGATTCAGACCATCATGCGTGGGAATCGCCCAGGCTTGGCGACTTGAGCCTTGTGGCGGACCGCGCCCTGCGCGAGATGAAGTGTGGGGCTGAGGTTCAAGCCGATCACGCTGGCAGAGTCGCAGATTGGGGAATAGTATAGGGGACGACAGAGGTGACTTCTCAGTGGAAGCATCTGCCCTGTTGGGGCCATGCATATTCTCAGGCCTAGTAGTCAAAGTGACGAGGGCACAAAGACGCTTTCTCGTACCTGAGGAAGGGAGGACTGGTGGAGCTGAGGCCACTTGCTCTCTTTTTGATTTTGGCCTTGGCTCTAGCTTTGCGTGTTGAACTTGAAGCCTGACTGGGCCTGACTCACGGTGCCAATTTCAAATCGTCCTTGACCACGCCCTTCGGATAAGACTGTCAGTGTGGTCTCAATTTGTCTCATTCACCTGGAAGGTGTGCACCAAAATATGCCTATGGAAACGACTCTCATGGGGAGGCCGTGTGCTTACAGCCGAAGTCTTTGGCAGCGGGGCTCCAGTCGGCTTCGGCTTGAATACCGGCGGTGCAGTTCTGGTTCGTTCGGCCAGACCTTCCTACAGACTTTGCAGCAGTCTATCTCCCGAAGTTTGACCGTTGAATTGGATGCTGTGACCACGTTTGTTCTTCTGCTGGCTTCTCTCAAGAGAGCACAAGGTCACAATCCGCATTGAAGTGCACGAAGTGTATATGGAAGAGGCCGCACGAGCTTGGCGCATAGGGAGGGCGGGAGAACGGAAGGGGATGTTTGGTTCGAGTAGCAGGTACCCGGTTCACAGTAATCTGTCCAGTTCTCAACATTCCTGGTTCTGTCAATCGCGTGAACTAGCTCCTTGGAGCTTGCCGGAGTTCTTGCCCTAGAGTTGCCCGAAGTGTAAGTTAGTTGCAGTTGCTGCCCTGTTACCCAGACTGGCTTGACGTTGCCGCATGGTATGGGAGCGCACATTCTGAAACTCCATGGTGGTCCATTTTTTCAGATTACGTCATCGCCCCAGACACTGACCTCAACTCAGTAAGGCATTTCTCTCACTCTTTGCTTTTCTGGCCCGACCTTCAATCCAACCAATGCTGCAAGACTGCACGTGTGTGTGTGTGTGCGCGAGCACGAGCAACAACATAGAACATGAGATACCATCAGGTTAATAGGCACTTGCCAGAAAGTCAAGGGGAGTCAAGAATCCTGCTCCACCTGGAGGATGTGACACCAAACAAGACCGGCGACGTGAAGAAAAAGCAAGTTCGGGAGGTCCACCTTAGTGCGTTGGAGGTTGTTTGAACTGGTTCGGGCGATGGTGCGCTTCAACGTGTCTCGCAGTGTGGCAGGCATCTTTTCCAACTGTTCTTGTGTAGGATCCTCCTTGCTCCAGCCACCTGTGCTATGGCGATTTTCTCTGTGTATTGCCTTCTGGTGACTTCGTCGGGGTGCATACGGGGATAGTGCCAGTCATAGTTTGGATCAGTAAATGAGTGACCACAATCGAGAAGACGGGTGCATGGATTAAATCCTTGCGACACCTGCCTGTTGACACAGGCTTTGTCATTGACGTGTAGGTGGTTGGAAAGAAGTAGGGTATGATTGTGTTGTATTGATGGGTAAGATTTTTTTTGTGCTAGACCGTTCCTTGACCTCTCCCCGGCCTTGCGGATCCCCAGCCGTTCTTTGCTGACCCGCCCTCACGCATTGTCGCATTTGCAGCATGGTCCAGACTCGGCGGTGCGGTCGCGCGACAGTTTACGCAGCGCTCGGAACTCGCCGTCGTGCTCGGCAGCGCTCGGCGGGAGCGCTTTTGCATCTTTTGCGATCATACCGCTGTCACGCGCTGTTGATGGTCGGAGCGAGGACGGACGGCCGCGGCCGGGCCATTACCATGATTGTTAGATGTTGCAAGCTGCTGATGACTGCTGCTCACAGCATGCGATATCGGACTTAAATTAGAAAGCTGGTATTGCAGCTCGCGCATGTTTATCGGACAGCAATGGTTTGAAAACTTGCGCACTAACGCGGCTAAGAAGATCTGCAATTTGTTTTGGGGTTTTACGTTCCGTTTGCGGAATCGCAATGGTCGTGAGTAGTGCTCGATGCGAAACTCTTGGCAAACTACGTTTCGTGTGAAGCGGCCGGCCAGGGCGTCAAGAACGAGTCGCCCCGGGACACTGCGCAATGCGTCCTGCTTGTGGAGGTGGGAAACAGCTTCAAGCGATTCACAATCACACATTTCCCAAGCCCGAAACACTGTGCGAAGCTCGGCTGTAGAAGTGTTGTGCTCATCTCTATCGTTCCCCATCCTTCTCAATCCGCAGAGCAAGTGGTGTACTGCTATTCTTCAGCCAGGTAGTGAAGGGCAGCACGGGCGCTTTGCTCGCCTGTTTCGATGGGCCAAATGTGATTGTCCCAGAGCCGAATGCAAGACATGTGAGACGACAGGGATCTCCTTCCAACAAACGGTTGGAGAGACTCGTGGGATCTGTATCTCAAAGTATTTCTTGATTCTTGACGACAGAAGATTCACCGTTCAGGACAACGCTCAGTAGTTTGCTTGTAGCACGCTCACGGCAAGTGTTTTCACGATCTGCTTCCCAGGAAGTCACCTTCCGCGCTGGCCCGGAACCTGAAAAAATGGTGCTAGATGAAGAGCTACCTCTATCTAGCGCAGCTAGGGGCAGTGTAGTGAGCTTGGAACTTGGAAATGCGTCATGGTTCAAGAGCTTGCAGCCACTTTGGCAGGGCTGGCGAAACATCACGACATTTTGATTACAAGACAGGTGGATCTTCCCTCATGCTTTCCGTTCTGTGCCAGTGACCCAAACTCTGAGAAGCCAAG